CGACGGGGAGGTCGGCGACAACGACGGGGAGGTCGACGACGACGACGGGGAGGTACACGACGACGGGGTGGTCGGCGACGACGGGGAAGTCGGCGACGACGACGGGGAGGCACACGACGACGACGGGGAGGTCGGCGACAACGACGGGGAGGTCGACGACGACGACGGGGAGGTACACGACGACGGGGTGGTCGGCGACGACGGGGAGGTCGACGACGACGACGGGGTGGTCGGCGACGACGGGGAAGTCGGCGACGACGACGGGGAGGCACACGACGACGACGGGGAGGTCGGCGACGATGACGGGGAGGTCGACGGAGAGAGCGACGACGGACGGTCGGTCAACCCAGCCCGTCAATCACCCGAAAAAGAAGAGCCGCCCCGCCCCGGCCGCTGTGGAGGGCACCCCGCTGCGCTGGCGGCGTGCGCGGCGTGCGCGGCGTGCGAGGGGCGCATCTTTGCGGTCGGGCCGCGCGTTGAACGCCTCGCGTTGTCATGGCAACGGGCGGCGGGCCGAGAATAGCGAGAGCGAGTCTGGGGCTGCCCTGCTGCAGCGCCCCGCCTCGAGGCTACACCATTCAGCACAAGGCGCAAGCACGCGCGCACGACTGGACGCCGTCAAGCGACCAGAAGGCACCGTCTCTTAGAGCAGTCCGCTTGGTGCACCTTGGTCCCTGTGCTCTTTAGGTGGGTCGCGTAACGCACCTTAAGCGACACACGGTTGTCCCTTAAGCGACCCAAGATGAGTGTCTGTGCCCTTCAAAGCAGCTCGCTTAACACCTCACGCAGTGCAGTTTCCCTCCAGCAACCCTTAATTAATGAGTGCCCCAAGTGTGCCAGCCAGACCAGTGAGGCTCGCGCTCGCTCCGCAAACGCGCGTGTCCTGTCTGAGGAGAAAGAAATGGAACCGAGCAGGCAGACCGGCCGGGTCTTCCTGGCCAATCAGGCGGCGGCACACTTCGCGGCGGTCATCGGCACACTAATTGCAGTGTGGCGACACCAAGGCCAAGGCCGCGTGCCATCTCATCCCCCCCCCCTCTTTTCCCCAGTTTCCACTTTGGCAGCACTTCGTCCCAATTATGACAGGCTGAGGCCAAAACTCGAGGTCGAGGGCTAGGGCGCGGGCTAGGGCGAGAACTAGAGCTAGGGCAGGCAAGGGGTGCGACGGGGGGACCGCCACGTCCACTACACCCACGAGGCCATGCTGTTGGTGGCACCGCCGTCGAGCCGACAGTGACAGACGCTTCCCCGTTCGGGGCGCCGGGCTGCGCCAGCGGGGCGTAATCGCGTGCCAATGACATAACGGGGGCAGTGCCGCCGGGGGAGGGGAAGGGGAGGGGGAAGCAATGTGAATCATACCACATACCGCCTCGAGCCACTTAAGCGGGGCGCCGCCGCCAGGACGCCGCCAGGACACCACCAGGACGAGAAAAGGGGGGGGGGGCAAAAAAGCGACGACGCGAGAAGCGGCAAGGAGGAAGCCCTTCAAAAAACGAGCTCTGGCTGGACTCGGCGGCGCGTGCGAGCTGCGCGACTCGTCCTGGGAAACAAGAGATAAAGGGAAGGAGGAGGGGGAGGGGAGGGGCAGCGTAAAGGCCGGTCATTACCGTTCCATGTCCCGTTCGGCCAGCACTGCCGAGCGTCCAGCGCGCCGCTCATTGTCAGCAGCCCGTCATGAAGACGGTCAGTCATGAAGACGGTCAGTCATGAAAACGGTCTGTCATGAAAACGGTCAGTCATGAAAACGGTCAGTCATGAAGGCGGTCAGTCATGAAGGCGGTCAGTAATTAATGAGGGCGGTCAGTCATGAAGACGGTCAGTCATGAAGACGGTCAGTCATGAAGACGGTCAGTCATGAAGACGGTCAGTCATGAAGACGGTCAGTCATGAAGACGGTCAGTCATGAAGACGGTCAGTCATGAAGACGGTCAGTCATGAAGACGGTCAGTCATGAAGACGGTCAGTCATGAAGACGGTCAGTCATGAAGACGGTCAGTCATGAAGGCGGACAGTCATGAAGACGGTCAGTCATGAGGGCGGTCAGTCATGAAGGCGGACAGTCAGCCATTGCAGTCATTAGGCGGTCCACCAGCCTGTCCGTCAGTCATGCGGGCGGTGCGGGCGGTCAGCGCGCACGAGGAGGTTGCGACCCCCGACCCACGCGGCCCGCGGCCCAACGGCCCACGCTACGTGAAGGGTGCAGGCTTTACAGGCTCCACCGCTTCGCAGGCTTCGCAGGCTTTGCAGGCCGCGCGGCGCCTTGTTTTTACGCGAGGGGCGACGGAAATAGAGGCGGCGCAGGAAGAGCCCAGGGGAGATGGATTTGCGGAGCGGGCGGGGGAAGGGCCTCTAAACGAGGGAACCAGGGAACGACCAACGTGTGCGTTGTGGATCTATCTGCCTGACGGCTCGCATCATCACTGCAATTTGGCGTTTTAGAACCCAGTCAGCCACTGCCACCGAGCCGGCCAAGCGGGTCCTGCTCGCGGCCGACCAGGGTGCCCAGGGCTCGGCCAAAACGGATGCCCTACGTCCTACGCCGCTGTGGCGCCCCTAGGCCGAGCTACGCCGCCGCCACGCGACGCCAACCCCACGGCACGGCGGCACGCCCCGCCCCGCCCCGCCCCGCCCCGCCCCGCCCCCCGCAGCTGACTGACTGGCCGGCCGAATGTAGGCCACGCCTGTGGGCCAAGCCAGTGGGCCACGGTGTGGCCAGCCTGTGCTCGGACCCCGCCCGGCCCGGCTCCTTCGGAAACAGGCCCTCGGGTTCGAATTAAAACCGCCATTCAGATGATGTGGGGGCTGCGCCAGGCTGCGCCAGGCTGCGCGGCTCCGCGAGGCTCCGCGCGCCGCGCCCTCGCTCCTGACCGTGGCACTGTGGTGTCGGTGCGGCGGCGCGGCGGTGCGGCAGTCAATACCGAGAGACACGCGCCTCCCGCCTGCCAGGAGTAATATTGGCACAGGGATTCGCCTTCGCCACTCCGCGCGGACACATTTAGACATTTACAAGGGAAACGGTTCAACGGGTGGTGCCGCCACTCCGCCCGGACGCCCCGCGCGTCTAAATCACGGCGGCCGGGCCGGGACCGTATCGGTAACCGCGCTGTCTCTCTCGCACCGCTGCGCGACTCCCGACGAGTGCGAGAGAGACAGGGCGACGAAAAAGGCTCTCGGAATCAGTGGGCGCTGGCCGACGGCGCCGACAGCGACGCGGCGTTAGAAGTTGACCCACTGCGAAGACTGCGTGGACTGCGTGTCGCCGACAGAGCAGAGAGCGCGGCCTGAGGCGCCTTGAGGCTCGACGCGGTGGAGTCGGCCGTCGGACGACGTCGGCCTGGCCTCTCGTTTCACAGAATTAGAATTCGCCAACGGCGAGCTAATATGAGCCTCCTATTTTTGACCGGCCCAGAGAGATGCTCTACATCATGGGATGTTACACGCTTGAATGGCACGGTTCGAAGCCCGGAGGTGGGTCAGGTCTGCGGCCGTGCATTCTACATTCTACCACCTGAAGCAAACAAGACAGACCTGCGGTCGAAACAGGGGAGAAGAGGCCACATACACAGTGTTACGTGTTTTCAACAGTAATTCAATTTTAAAGAAAATAAATTATGAACTTAATACTAAAACAGTCAGATAAAGGCAATAAATGGTTAAACAGCAAAAATCACACAATTCCTTGAACAAAAAAAAACTGGGAATTACAGCATTTTTAATAATAAAAAAATCTGTGAATGGAAGCACAATTACTTTTTTATCTTTCCAGAACATTTCATGTCATGCTGGTAAGACAACACAGTTAAAATGGATACTTGAGCAGTGCTGTGTGTCTCTTCTGCACTGGGCTCTGATCCAAGCTATATTTAATTAGCTACTGTTGAGAGGCAGTGGTCTGAATTTCAAACTTGCACACAAATAGCACACAAAGAGCTTCATTATTTCAACCCCGTCCAATACTTAAGTAAAAACATAAAAGTATAAAATTTTTAAAAATAAAACGAGACTGAAATACAGAAAGAACATAAAGGATAATTTAAATAACTTCCCAGTATTTAACATGCCTTGACGATTATAACAAATCGCACTCGACAAGAGGAAATTTTTTTCATTTTCATGGAATTGACAGGCTATTAACAGAATTTATAAATGAACATGGTAAGGATATAGGAATATAAAAATGAAATGTTTCCAAAAAAGTGCTTTCAAACTGTCCAAATCACAGAACAACGAAATAAATGAAGCGCAACCCGAAAGATGAATTGAGCCATCTCACATCCATTCGATGGCAGGATTTCATCATGCAATACACACACACACACACACACACAGCTCATTGGAATCTTTTCTACAACTAAACCAAATAAACGAGAGAAACACACGTAGAAGTAGTGAGCCAATGCACTTTCACCACTTGATCCTCGTTTGGTGACACTGTTTATAACCTCTCCACGGGCCACCGATCCTGACGCATCACAAGCCGGGCTGGCCCGCGGGCGGCAGGTTGGCTTGGCTTGGCTTGGCTGGAGCCACTAAAGTGGCAAAAGGCATGTCTGGAAAAGCACGCCGAGGCACGCAGCACGGAATCACGCCGCGTAACGGATGGAACACAAGATAAGGAGGAAAACACTTTGCACTCGACACTCAATGGACACGGCCAGTGGCCGCCGCACCCCAGCGGCCTCAGCGGCCCAGCACACAGGACCTCCTGCCGGTCGGTGTTCTTGTCCTTGTCGCACTTCACTCTCCATCCACACAGCACTATTCACAAACTTGATGCACTGGAAACGGCCAGGCCCTTGGCAGGCGCGCAGATTAATCCAATGGGCGGGTGTCGCGAATCCCGCTCCAGGAGGCTGGAGTCCTGGAGAGTCCTGGGCGGTCAAGCCGGGTTGACGCAGGACCGCAGGACTCGCCGGGCTGCCGCCGGCCTCGGCAGGGCCTCGGTGAAGTCCTGCAGGGTTGTCTTCGACTTGTGACACACGAATCGCCTAGGTCCTTACCTTTTTCTGCTGTTTCTCCCACGCCGGGTCGAGTAGTCCTTCGCGTTCCCACTCCTCCTCCGGCTCCATGTATCCATCACTGTAATGATTCTCTATGTTGTTCATCCCGTGGTCGTTCATCTTCGTTTAATTTTTGTAAGTTAACTTTACACCGAGAGGAAAAGCTCGTCGGGTCGAAGGCCCCCCTTTCACGACAGAAATATCGAGGCAGAGCCGTCGCTGCCGCTCGCTCACCGCACAAAACCCACCGCCGGGTACCGCTTGAAACTTGTGCGCCTGAACCGCTGGGCTGGCCACTCGCTACCCCTCCCCCTCTCCGCACTCCCCGCCCCTCCCCGCCAGCCTCCCCGCCCCACCTGACCCCACTTCACCGCGCCGGCCGGGCCGCGTGGTTACGATTCCTTCGCCCCGAAGCCCGGCATGAGAAACGCGTCACTCGAAAAGTCGGGAAGGGGAATTCGCGAACAGTGCGAGTCTATCGGATCGGGGTGAGACAAGGCGCGGGACGATGACTCTTAGAGTTCATGCACCGAAGCGTGCGGCGAACAGCCGAGTGAGGTTCAGGCAAAGTGCTCGTCGCTCTTGCAGGGGATTTACTTCTTTCTTCCGAGCGCGAACTTTGTCATCACGAACGGACGTGTAGAGGGTGCGTAAAGGAGCGTACGGACCCGAACCCCTCTCACCCCCGCCTCCCTCCTCCCCCTCGACCAGACTGTCACGTGACTTTCCCAAACAAACTGCCTTCCCCTCCCCCTTCCCCTCTTCATTCTTTCTTTCCTTTTCTCTTAAATTTCGCGCATGGTGGATCGTTTGAATGACTGCTCTTTTCCAAGACTGCCTGTCTACTGACTGCGCTGAGCCCGTCTTTCAAGTACAAATCATACCACGACCTGGGAATTTACCCTTCACCCCCTCCCCAGGCTCCCCTCCCTGCTCCCCTCCCCTTCCCGCCTCCCCCACCCCCACTTTCACTGGCTCAGCCAGCAGTTGGCGGTTTGGCGCGAAACCGAAATGAATGCAGTATGATCATGATGTTTGCGGTACTTTGTTGCCGTTCATGAATTTAGTGTGTGATAGGCCTTGTATTTTTCTGTTCAGTGAAAACCTGTGATTACTTCATCGTTCAGTATTGTGTTGTCATCATGTATATTCAAATTAAAACAGCCGATTGCTCCCAGAGCAAGAGAGTAGAGGTTTCTAAACTAACCTCTGTTGAAGAACTTAAATCTCTTGTAGAAGAAGTTTTGGAGGTGAAACCAGATAGGCAGAGACTGTTCTTCAGAGGAAAGCAGGTATAAGTCATTTCCATGTTGTTATACATTTTAATATCTTTAATGGTCAAATGTTTGTCAACAGTCCAGAGTCGTAGATTTGTGATAACTGTCTTTGATCCCTCCTATTTTCTTTTGTCTGTAAATCTGTGTTTCTCCTTTTCTATGATTATAGGGCAAGTGAGAGCTCATAAGCATAGTTATTGAATTGACCTCTTTTTTTTTCAGTTGGAAGATGGATACAAAGTCTTTGATTATAACATCAACCTCAACGATGTTGTTATGCTTATGGTGAAGCCGGACCCCTCACTATTGCAGTCAACAAGCACTGCGGAAAAAAAGGAATCAGACAAACCATCTACATCCAGTGAGAAGGTACCACTATTTACTATGCCAGATTTCTACTTGTGGTTTTTGATCTTATTTCACTGTCATTTTAATTTTTGGTTTGGTTCCATTGCAGGTTGAAAGTAAATATTACAAAGTAAGTGATGTGTTTCAATATCTTAGTTATCCTTTCTCTAAATTTAAGTATGAACAAAATATTTTTAATTTTTTTATTGTGCAGGTTGGAGACTTAGTAGAAGCTATTGATGACTTGTATGGGGGATGGTTTGAAGGAAAGATTGTTGATATTGTGAAAAATACTGAGCCACTAACTGACACTGTATCAGAATTGGCTGGGGATAAAGAGGAATCTGAAAAGTCTGAAGCAGAAAAACAGTCAGCCAAAAGCTATGATGAAGATCCATGCCTTCAAGATGATGGATTGCTCTACATGGTTCAACTTGATTTGTATGTTATTTTATTTTCATTTTCTACAAAAGAAACACTTAGAGCAGTGTCTTATCTATTTTGTTATCTTTTGTGTAGCTGCTGTGATGACCCTCCAAGTGGGTTCCCTCTGAGAAATGTCCGACCTCGCATGTGCACCACTCTGAAAGTTTCTGATATTAAAGTTGGTGATATGGTTCTTGTAAATTATAACATTGAGTCCCCTGATGAGAGAGGGTTTTGGTAAGTTGGGTTCAGTTTCTTGTATACTATTAGGGGTTTTACAATGACTTAATATCTCATTATTTATTTTATGTTGTAGGTATGACATGATTGTAACTGAAGTGTCAAATAAACGGACATCTCGCAAGGTTGTGGGAACCTTGTACGTTGGCAGGCAACGTACTGAATTAAGAAATTGTAAAGTACTGTTTACTGATGAAATAGTGAAAATCATGAAGCCTAAGCTGATTTCTGAGCGGACTAAAGAAGATGATGTGTCAATGTCTACAGACAATGACAATAAGCGTATGTATCAATACATTAATGTTGCATTTCTGTGTGATCAAATTCTTAAGCTTAACTTTTAAAATTGTACTTGAAATTTTCTTATCTGATCAGGCAAAAGTGCACCATTTTGTGCAACTTGTCAGGACAACCCTAAGCGGAAGTGCAAGGATTGCTCCTGTCAAGTATGTGGTGGTAAAGACGAGCCAGATCGTCAACTTATGTGTGATGAATGTGATATGGCATACCATTTACGTTGTCTAAATCCTCCTCTTGAAGCCATACCCGATATTGATGAATGGTATGTGGCTTTCTAATAAAACATATGTTCCCAAATAAACAGCAATTTTTTTAACTCAGCTTTTTTAACATTTTTATTTTGATGTCAGGTACTGCCCTGAATGCAAAAATGACGAAAATGAAATAGTGAAAGCTGGAGACAAATTGAAAGAAAGCAAGAAAAAAAAGAGATTGCCCAGTGCTAAAGAGGACAAATCAAAGAGAGACTGGGGTAAGGGTATGGCTTGTGCTGGAAGAACAAAGGAGTGCACCATAGTACCACCGAACCACTTTGGACCTATTCCAGGAGTTGATGTTGGTACCTGCTGGAAATTCCGTTTGAATGTAAGTTTTCGTAATAGTATTTCAAAACGCACATGATCTGGCCGTGCTGCCAAAATCTACAGGCTAATAATTCCCTATTTTACCATGCAGGCTTCTGAGGCAGGAGTGCATCGACCACCAGTGTCTGGTATTCATGGAAGAGATAGCGAAGGTGCTTACAGCATAGTTTTAAGTGGAGGATATGAAGATGATGTGGATAATGGAGAGGAATTCTATTACACTGGGTCTGGAGGTAGAGACTTGTCTGGAAATAAGCGCACCTCAGAGCAATCCTGTGATCAAACTCTTACTCGTATGAACCTGTATGTATAATATTTCTTTGAATTATTGTACTCGATTCATTTTCTAATTTTTTTATAGTTTTTGTTAATTTTTTTTTTTTTTAAATTTAGGGCCTTGGCATTGAATTGCAATGCTCCAGTAAACAAAGAAAAAGGTGCAGAAGCCAAGGACTGGAAAGGCGGGAAACCTGTTAGAGTTCTTAGAAATTATAAGTTAGCTAAGCATTCCAAGTACGCTCCTGATGAAGGCAATAGGTGAGGCTTGTCTGCTTTGGCAGTTTCTGATTTATTGAGTACAGAGTTTTGAGCATAAATTATTTCTGTCTCAGGTATGATGGCATTTACAAGGTATTGAAGTATTACCCTGAAAAGGGTGAGTCAGGGTTCATTGTTTGGCGCTACCTTTTGCGGAGGGATGATCCTACACCTGCTCCCTGGACAAAGGAGGGCAAGAAACGAATTGCTAGCCTTGGACTTACCATGATAGTTAGTATAAATCCCCTTTAAAACACACATGATTGTTCTGGTTATAAGGACTAGTGTGATTTTGATTATTCTTTTTTCTAAATTTCTACAGTACCCTGATGGATATGAAGAAATGATGGCTGCGAAAGAAGCTAAAGCTGCTGCTTCAACAGAGGAAGGAACTAAATCCAAGAAAAGGCAAAGGAAAAGTGTTTTGGGAGAGTCATCTTCTGATAGCCCCAACACAAAGAAAGCTAAGGTGGCCGCTTATGAATTGGAAAAAGAGACTGCCCAGAAAATTGATGAAGATACTGTTAACCAGAAACTATGGGACACCTGTAAAGCTGCCCTGAAGGAAGGAAAAATGGTAAATACCTACAAACTTGTGTCTGTTTTACCTATGTCAAAATATATTTGTGGTGCATTTCTTCCAACCTATGTGTATTGTTGCAGAAATTCTTGGCAGAAATTCAGCAGCATTTCATGTGCATATGCTGCCAAGAACTAGTTTATGATCCAGTGACTACAGATTGCCATCACAACTTGTGCAAGGTGCTTTATTAATAAAAGTGTAAATAATTTTTTTAAACTTGTCTGATAGAGTTGTACTCTAATGTTTTTCTCTTTTTAGGCATGCTTGAAAAGGTCATTTTCTGCTCAAGTCTATAACTGCCCAAGCTGCCGGCATGAACTGGGCAAAGAATTTCCGCTGGCTGTGAATGAAAAGCTTGCTTCTACCCTGCTGCACCTTTTCCCGGGTTATGAAGTTGGCCGGTAGTTTTATGATATTTAATTATGTATTTCTCTTCTATTTTGCTCTTATTTTTGGTATTAATGTGTCTCCGTCACCATGAATGAAAGACAACATTTTATTTAATGATGTACCCTTATTATTTGTATTACTGTGTCTCTGTCATAATGAATGAAAGACAATATTTTTACATTCCTTTTGTAATGAAATTAGGTTTTGACTTTGGAGACTTTATATTTCTTTTTACTTATCTTTTTATAAGCTGCTTATGCCAATGGAATGCATCAGCCAACCCCCTGTAATTGCGTACCATTATTTGCTTATGATTTCCATCCCTTTCATCTTGTGTGAGCATATCTCTTGTGCAATAAATTGGTATTACTGAACAATCAATTTGTTAACTTCATTGGAACCTTCAAACGATCCCGTTCTTCTCGTGCACTGCAACCTCTCAGACCTCATGCGCGGCGCGCAAGGTCGTGCAACGAGTGCTGTCTCTCTCCCTCTCTCTCGTGCACTGAGTGTCACGCGGACTGCAAGGGCCGCGGGCCCTCCGCCCGTCCGTCCTGTCCTCCTGGACAACACACTGCGTCGCAGGCAATTTGTTTGCGCGCCTTAGAGGCTCCGTCTTGGTCGGACAGCGTGTGGCTCTGGCCAGGCTTGGCCAGGCCGGGCCGCCTGACCAGGCTCGGGCAGCCTTCGGCTCGTCTGCTTGCACTTGCTGGGCTCACTCCCACCAGCAGTCTGCCGTCTGATTCCGAACACTGCTTTCGTCGCTCTGTCTCTCTCGCACTCATGGGGCGGTCCGCAGGGGTGCGAGAGAGTTAGAGCGACGAAGCAGTGTTCGGAATCAGACGGCTGATTCGGCGTCTCGTGTTGCTCTGTCTCTTTCGCACCTTCGAGGAACGCCCCATGAGTGCGAGAGAGAAAGAGATCAGTGGCAGCTCGGCGGAGTGTCGCGGTCTGGTCGTGATCGCCCTCATGCGGGCGAGGGAGAGGGGTGGATGGAGCACCAACACAGCTGACTGATTCCGAGAGTTATTTTCGTCTCTCTATCTCTCGCACCTATTGGGGGCGCCCACAAGTGCGATAGAGACCGAGCAAGACTTTCGGAATCAATCTACAGGACGAGAGCTCCTGTCGGCAAATGGAGGCGAAACTTGGACTCCGCGTACGAGGAGACAATGACACTCGCACTCCCACACGCTTCGCGCTTCGCTTCCCCAATCTGGAGTGACCTCCTTCCGCTCGGCACCGAAAGTTAAGGCAACCTGTTTGCCCAGTCCCGTGCACTCCACTCCTCGCCGGCAGACGCCTGAGAGGTGGACACTCCCGCGGCGCACGAGTGCGCCCGTCTTGCCTACCTCGCAGGCGCGCTGCCGCCCATTACCATTACCATTAAAGGCTAGACCACCCCGGGCGGGCTTTGAGCTCCAGAATCACTAAATGGGACTCGAACCGAACGTGTGACCCCACCAAAGGATTGTTCTCCGAAAGCGCCGGTCTTCTGGCCCACTGTGCGCCGTCACTGCGTCAAAGATATCCGTCCACCCGACGGCAAGGCAAGGGCCTCGCGGCGCGTGGCCTCCAGAGCCGTCGCGACGAGGAGCCTGCCCTCAGCGCACCCAAATAAACCGCAGCCGCCCGCTCATCAGAGGCACGCCGCCGGACAGTCCTCCCCCGCCCGCCGCGCCCCGCCGCGCCCCGCCGCGCCCCGCCGCGCCCCGCCGCGCCCCGCCGCGCCCCGCCGCGCCCCGCCGCGCCGCCCGCCCCGCCGCGCCCGCCGCGCCCCGCCGCGCCCCGCCGCGCCCGCCGCGCCCGCCAGGACGGCCAGCCCCGCCAGCCCCGCCCCGTCGACGTCCAGTTGGGCGGCTCTGGCTCCACGGCGCGGCCGCGCCGCCCGGCCCTTGATTGGCTGCAGTGCTGCGGCTCGGCGGTTGACGGTGACCCCCAGCTTGACGAGGCTGCCGCCCGCCGCCGCCCGCGGCCAGTGGGAGGACTCACGAGGCAGCGCCGCACAGCGTCGACAGTTCTGGAGCCGTCGCGACGCCACGCGGCACCGTCTCCAGCCGACGCCAAGAACGCCGTCAGGTCGAGTGCTTCCAGGTTTCGCTCTCCTCACCTTCACCGCTGTCGTGGCGAGGATGGCGCTCTCGGAGAGGCGCTGCTGAGGGACCGACGAGCTGAGCAGCGGGTGAGCTGCGATGGGCGTGTGCGAGCTTGGCAGCAGCGATCCTCACAGCGTTCACCATGAAGAAGGTGTGCTCGTCCATCGCGCACAACCTGGACTTCCGCCGCAACGTCCTCGGCGAGAAGCTGAGCTCCGACTTCATCAAGATGCCGTTCACCATCAGGTGGGTGCTGCCGTCCGCCAGCTCGAGCGTCAGCACACTGGTTCCGACAGTCGTTTTCGTCTCTCTCTCTCTCTCTCTCTCTCTCTCTCTCTCTCTCTCTCTCTCTCTCTCTCTCTCTCTCTCTCTCTCTCTCTCTCTCTCTCTCTCTCTCTCTCTCTCTCTCTCTCTCTCTCTCTCTCGCACTCATGGGCGCCTCGTGTAGGTGCGAGAGAGACAGAGCGACGGAAACAACTCTGGGAATCAGTCTGCAGCTGGAGCGTCAGCTTGACGGCCATTCACGAGCGCCTCCCGGCTCCGCTTTTCGCGTCCACTTCCCCTTGCATGGCAGCGGTTGCCGTCGCACAGCAGGTTGATTTCCAGTGCTTCGTCGCTCTGTCTCTCTCGCATCCCTGCGGAACGCCCCGTGAGTGCGAGAGAGACGGAGCGACGCGAAGCACAGTGTCAGGATGAACCGCGGCGGAAGGGTGACCAGCGAGCGCCCCGTCAGGCAGGTGCACCCTGGCGCGCCACCGCCACCACGACGCGAAGGGACGCTCCGAGGTCGTGACGTCACGGCCGCGCTAACGAGAGCATGGACGAGAAGGGCAGGCCCCTCCCCCTCCGTGGCGGCCGCGTCGCACAACAACAGGCTGGCCAGCCTGTACGGCCAGCCTCCCACTCCACTAATGGCAGTCCGGCCGGCCGAGTGCAGGACGACGGGGCACTGGATGGAGGCGGCGGCGTGGCGCACTGCAGACTCATTCCGAGAGTCGTTTCCGTCGCTCTGTCTCTCGCACTCATGGGGCGACCCGTGTAGGCGTGAGAGAGGCAGAGCGACGAAAACGACTCTCGGAATAAATCTGCTGGAGGTGCTGCTGCTGCGGACTCGGGCCCCTCTGAGCACGCCGGGCAAGCCTACCATCCCCGGGGCCAATCCACTAAAGGTTTATTTGTGTTTCTCCATTTTTAGGTCCGTTTTTCTCATCGGGTGGGACTGGCGACTGGCGTATCGGGCAACACGGCCGCCTGTGGCTTCCATCGCCGCAGCGGGGGCGGGGCGGGGCGGGGCGCGGTGGGGCGCGGTGGGGCGGGGGTGCCCGCAAGCCCCGGCATGGCATTAATACGGTGGATCGTATTCCCCAGTGTGTGTCCCTGTCCCTCTTCGAGTGTCGGCTGCGCCACGGCTGCGCCGCCCGGGCCACGGCTTCAGCCGGTAGCAGCCAGTAGTCAGTGTACCTTCGCACCATCGTGATGCCACCCCGGCGTCGCCGGCGTCGTCGTCGCGCGCAGCTCTAGGGTTGGCAGGCGTGGCCCTCCGTTAGTTTGCTTCTGCTTTCGCGAATTGTCGCCGTGAACCGCTGCTTGTTTCGCCTGCCCGCAGCGCCATGGCCGAGGCCGTGATCCCGACTTCAGTGGCGGCCTCGGCGGCCCCGGTGGCGCTGTCGGCACGCCCGGAAAACCCGGACACGGCGGCCCCCGCGGCCCCCGCGGCACCGCCCCCGGAGTCCGCGCCCCTGGAAGCGGGGTCCTCGGAGAGCGCCGCAGTGGCCGCAGCGCGACCAACGACGTCGTCCTCGGGCGCCGTCGCCGCGAAGACCTCCACCACCACCGCCAGCAGCACCACCACCACGCCGACGCACTCGTCGCCCTTCGTGGTGACGCCCGTCGACGGCGACATGTTCCGCACCATCGTCAAGCCCTCACGGTAAGCTGGCCGGGGCGATACCCCGCGCCGTCCTCGCGCTGGGGGTATTCGCGGCGCGACGACGGCGGGTTTTAAGTGCGGCGACGCGCGAGGCAGTCCGATTTCTGGCGTTGCATTGTGCGCACAGGAAATCCTTTGAGTCTCGCCCTGCCCTGCCGTCGTCGCACGCCGTCCACTGATAGCAGTAATGCGTCTGGCCCTGTCTGGCACGCCTTGGCGCAGCGCTGGGCCGCCCGCCCGGGCAGTAGGCAGCCCAACCGGCAGCGCTGTTCGCACCGCCGTTCCGCCGCCGTGCTCGCTGCTCGCGGGCGGCCACTGGGTCGGCAACCGCTGCAGGCTGACGAACGCCACCGCTTGATTCCGAACACCATCCTCGTCGCTCTGGCTCTCTCTCTCCCGGACGGGACGCCCTATGAGTCCCAGTCCTAGAGAGAGACGGAGCGACGAACGCACTGTTCGGAACGAAAGAGGCTGTCTCCAAATTGCCGCCAGGAATACCTGTCCTGTCCAAATCACCGTACTTTGCATACGCAAGCGCCCAAGCATTCCTCTCCTCTCACTCTCTCGCTCTCTCGGGAGGTCAGGCACCTCGTGTTTTTGTAGCGCTCTCTCTCTCTCTCTCTCTCTCTCTCTCTCTCTCTCTCTCTCTCTCTCTCTCTCTCTCTCTCTCCCTCTCCTCTCTCTCTCTCTCTCTCTCTCTCTCTCTCTCTTCTCCTTCTTTTCTCCCTCCCGCGTGCTCCTCACGGTGAACGATAACGCGTGCGCTAGTCGTCACGAGCTCACTTAGGCCCTGCCCCCTTCTCTCTCGCTCTCTCTCTCCCCATTAAGGCGTATCACTGCTTGACGCCTTCCCGCGCATCGGCTGGCCGCGGCCTGTGCCTGTCGGCCTGTGCCTCGGGTCGCGCGTTCCGCGTTCCGCGTTTCGACCAGCGAGCGCTCTTGCGTCCCGCTCGTCCTGCTTGTCCTGCTCGTCTTCCTCGGCGCGGCCCCCAGCACCCCGCCTCCACCACGAAGTACTCCCTGTTCCCCTGCCCCGTGTGGACCCGGTGTCGTCGCCGTCGTTGTCCCGCGGGCCTCAAGCGCCTGCTGCAGTTGCACCTGGCGGCCGCCGCGATGCACAGGTATACTACACTGTACACGGAGCGCGGCTAGCGCGGCTAGCTCGGGCTAGCTTATCGCAGCGTATAGCGGATAGCGGCGCGCCGGTTCGAACGTTCGACTCCCCGCGCCGGCCCTCTTCTGTTTTCCCTCCGAGTGGCCGCGCTGCCCGCCGCAGAGCGACGCAGCCGCCCGATTCAGCAGCATCGTTTCGTCACTCTGTCTCTCTCGCACCCTCGTGGGAGGCCCCGTGAGTGCGACAGAGACAGAGCGGCGAAATGATCCTGCAGAATCGGGCGGCAGAGCACTTTGCCGGCCGTAAAACACGTCGGCTTTCATGTTCATCCGCCGCGTCCGCCGCGTGCCCGTCCATCTCGAGTGGGATTGGCGTGGCCATTCCGTGCCGTGTCGGGGAGTGGGCAGGTTAGGGCACGGCCCAGCGGGCCAGCGCCGGCGAGCTAGGGCCGCTAGTGCCGCCAGGGCGGGGCGGGTACGATCGAACCGCACGCTTGAGTGACTCCACGGATGTTAGTGACGCGGACGTGTATTTCCTCTCGGTTCCCCGCGCACCCCTCCGCCTCGAACAAGGTCACGTGGCTCAGGCCGTATGTCGATTGACGGGAGGGCCCCAAAGGAGAGCAAGCAGGTCGTGTGCACGTCGTGTCCGGCACAGTCCGAGGCGAAGCAGGGCAAAGTGGGGCCGAAGTGGGGCCGCGCCGGCACACTGTCCGAGAGTCGCTGTCGTCGTTCTGTCTCTCTCGCACTCTCTCCATGAGCGTACGAGAGAAACAGAGCAGCAAACGCCTCTTCTGAATGGCTCGGCTGCATCTGCGACGCCCGGTCTAGTCGGCTTCTTTTCCTGCTCCTTCCTTAATTCGGCCGCTATGCTGCGCCACGCTGCCAAGCTGCGCCTACAGTGCAGGTCATGAGGGAAGTGCCACCGTGTTTACGCGGCGACGCGGCGACGCGGCGCCAAGGTCAAGCGGGCACTCCAGAGGGTCCACCAGGGGTCGACGGGGAGGTCGACGGCGAGGTCGACGGGGAGGTCGACGAGGTCGACTGGGAGGTCGACGGGGAGGTCGACGGGGAGGTCGACGGGGAGGTCGACGGGGAGGTCGACGGGGAGGTCGACGGGGAGGTCGACGGGGAGGTCGACGGGGAGGTCGACGGGGAGGTCGACGGGGAGGTCGACGGGGAGGTCGACGGGGAGGTCGACGGGGAGGTCGACGGGGAGGTCGACTGGGAGGTCGACGGGGAGGTCGACGGGGAGGTCGACTGGGAGGTCGACGGGGAGGTCGACGGGGAGGTCGACGGGGAGGTCAGCAGGGGGATGGGGTGGGGGTGTCGACGGGGAGGCCGACGGGGAGGTCGACGAGGAGATCGACGAAGACGTCGACGCGTGGGTGGCGCACTGTCCGCGGCACTGTCACGTTTTGTGCACGGCCCGGGCGTAGAGGCCTGGTGGACTGACGGGCGTGGTGTGGGGCGTTGCTGCCGTGCCGACAACGGCAGCATCAGGACGGCCCAGGCCAGCCGAGTTAGATGCAACTCGCTAAAGCCGGCCCCCTCCACCCACCCTCCTTTCCACCATCATTGCTACCATGGACGGATCCCCCAGGGAACACTCGCGGACTCTCTCCCGCAGAAACACACACACTTCACTCTCGGACACTTCTAGCTGACCACCCGCGATTTTCGAAGCGATGTCACAGCGTCGCGTTCTCGTGGCCGACTCACGCTCGCGGATCACGTGGGCCGAATACAATGTAGCATTGAGGGCAGCATTAATCGGCGTCGGCGAGACGTTGTTGGCGACGACGGCGTGGTCGCGGCGTCGCGGCCGCGCGGCGTGGTCTTCCCCGAAGCACTGCCTGGCGGCGGGGCGGCGCGTCAGTACGTCACTCCCGCGTCACCGCCCTGTCCGCCCAGCGGCGCGACACACTGCAGTGTGCCACTTTGTCGGAGACTTTGTCAGAGACTTTGTCGCACCGCGTCGTAAGTGTTGTCTCGCCGCTCGAGATAAGCCGCGCTTGATAACGAGGCGCTTGAAATGCGCGAAGCGCGGCGGAGCGAAGCGCCTCGATGGCGCCTGCACTGTACACTGCCGTGCACACTGTGGGACTGTGTACAGTGGCGTAGCGGCCAGTTTCTCATACCCTCGTGACCGACCTGGGCGTGGAAAACGCCTCGATGGCGCGGTCGAGGGATGCTGCCGCTATGCTCCGTACTGTAGTACGCTGTGCTGCTGACATTGGGCGGGGCAGGGGGCGGGGCAGGGGGCGGGGCAGGGGGCGCGGCTGGCTGGCTGGCTGCGCGGGCGGGGCGGCGCCGAGCATGTGACCGGGCCGACCGAGCAGGCAGGCAGGCAGCGCCGTCCGCATTATTGCGCTGAACTCTCATGAATTGGCCCATGGCTGTCCTGGCCTAGAGTGCTCCGTCGCTCTGTCTCTCTCGCACCCCTGCGGGACGCCCCATGGGTGCGAGAGAGACAGAGCGACGACGAGAGCGCCGTTCGGAATCGGCATGCTGCTGTGGGCCCAGTGGGCCAGACGACCGTTGGAGGCGGACAAAACTCTAGACGTGTTTCGAGCTCCAGCGTCGCTGGCACTCGAGCCGAACGTGTGACCCCACCAATGGATTCCTCGTTCGGAGAGCAATCCATTGGTGGGGTGACGCGTTCGATTCGAGTGCCATTTAGCGACGCTGGAGCTCAAAACGCGTCTACAGTTTTGTCCGCCTCCACCGGTCGTCTGGCCCACTGTGCGCCGCTGCCCCGAGGCGCGGCAGAGTCATTTGGCACGCGGACTGGCCGACTGGCGGACTGCACCTCGCGCCCAAAATCCTCGTAATCGTGTCCGCGACACCATTTGGCCGCAGTGCTTACGCAGCTCCGTCTCTCTCGCACTCGCGGGGCGTCCCGCAGAGCCCCTCGGGGGTGCGAGAGAGACGGGGCGACGACGCGCCGCGGAGCCGCGGATTTCACATTTCGCGGCCCGCGGCGCCTCCTCTCTGATTAGGCCTGGCGGGGAGGCAGTGCGGGCGGCAGTGCGGGGCGGTGTATTTTAGGCGGCGCTCTTATCGGCGTCGGGGATATTGATAGACAGGGCGTTGTGGTTGTGGCGAGCACGCTTGGCCAGGCCGGCCAGGCCGCGCTGGGGGCTGGGGCGCAGAGCGGAGCTTGGAGTAATACTAGTAGGAAGAGCGGAGGCGGTGCTGCCGCGCCAAAAGCAACAACAACAACAAATAATGAAAGAATGGTCCGCATGCAGACAGGGCAGAGACGAGTCTCAATGTCAGTCTTGCCGCCGGAGTAGTGCTACTCAGAAGAGCGTGGGGTATTGACCACATCGTGATAGCGAGTTGCCCTGAATGGAATGATTCCGCGTGAGCACTTAGCAGATAGGCCGGTTGCCTAGCGACGGATCTGTCACGGAGGCGGTGCATGGCGCGGACACTAGATAGACCTGCACCCGCTGGCCCGCTGGCCTGCGTGAGCGCGCGAAATGAAGCGCGCGAGGCGGCACGCCTTGCTTGGGCGTATCACACACACACACACACACACACACACACACACACACACACACACACACACGAAATGACGTCAACCCGGGCGCATATAACGACAACGGCACGTTGTTGAGGCAATTCGTTCCCCGCTTGTTGTCTGATCGAAGAAGGGGTGACTGCGCGATACGCGCGCCGCCGCGTGCGTTTGTGTTGGTGACGATTAGGGCGGTAGCGGCGGCAGCGGCGGTATAGTACAGTGGCGCGGCGAGCCCTGCTGCTGTTGTTGCTGCCGGCGTCCCACCACCGCGCTTCGCGCATCAAGTCTCCAAGTTCCAGGTCCAGGACGTGGACCTGGGCAAGCCCAGGCAAGACGCGAGGTTGATGCACTGTGGCCCGGCCCGCTCGGCGCGGCCGCTGCCGTGATCGTGATCACGGTCATGATCGCACTGCGGTTAGGAAAATGATGATGGCGCCGGCTGAGCGCGCTACGCGCAGGCAGCAAGCTGGTTCGCTCTGTCTCTCTCGCACTCACGGGGCGTCCCGTAGGGGCGGAAAGGCAGTGCGTCGAAGCAACTCGTTCGGAATCAGTCTGGCCCCCGGTTGGCGATCAGCGGCAACGGGGAACTGTGGCCCAGCCGATAGACTCCGAAGGATTGCTTCGTCGCTCTGTCTCTTTCGCACCGCTGCGGGGCCGTGCGGGGCGCCCCGTGAGTGCGACAGAGACGGTCGTCCGGATCGTTCGGCGGGCCGCAGTTTAGGCGCGCGGCGTGTCGTGCTAATGAATTGGCTGGGCGAATGACGAATCAGTGAATCAGTGGCGGAACGGGGAAAGGGGGAAGGGAGGCGGCGCCGTATCGCCGAGCTGCCCGGCCGAGGACCCGGCTCATTGACCGAGGGTCGGCTGACTGTGTTGACGGAGTTCGGTACACTCCGACGGGCCACACACTGCCACACACCACGCGAGGCGGAGACAGTCACGTGCCTGGAGGGAGCAGCGAGAGCGAGGGAGACGAGACGAGGGAGAGGGCGTACACGGGGCGTACAGCCAAGGCTACCGCCAAGCCTACGGCGGGCTGGGACGGCCCGCAGGGGCGGCGTAGGCAACCCCCCGGCGTGCGTGCGTGGAGCAGCCGGCGACTGCCCGCCTCGCAGGGGCCCGGCCCGCCCTCCTGCACAGTGGCCCAGAACCGGCGGCAGCGGCCAAAACTCTAGACGCATTTTGATCTGCAGAGTCGCTAAACGGGCCTCGAACCAAACGTGTGACCCCGCTAATGTATTCCTCGTTCGGAGAGCAATTCATTGGTGGGGTCACACGTTCGGTTCGAGTCCCATGCAGCGACTCTGGAGCTCGAAACGCCAGCTTTCCCCGCTTGATCGAGGACGCCGTCGTCGCGGTGGTCGCGGTGGTCGCGGCACCCAGTCACGGCGCTTTATTGTTGTCTCGTCTCCAGCTCGGAAAAGCGTCGGCGCCGCACCGGGGCGGGCTGTGTCGCTGATCCCCCCATCGTGTTCCAGGAGGCCACCGGCTTCCTCAGCAACCTCGTCAAGTACAGGTACACGGCCAGCACGCGCGGGCCCGGTGGACTAGCATTTTGGCGGACTGGCGGCAGCAAGGGCGGCAGCGCACGCCAAGTGCCCCGCCACTGTCCCGGTCCCGGAGGAGCATTGCCTGCGTTGTTGCTGCTGTCCTCGGAGTGTAAATAAACTGGCTTGCCGACTGTCCGAGCTTTACAGTGGACTTCTCTTCAGCCGATGCACCCAGAGCGGCCTAGAGGCGGCCCAGCATGTGTCTACACTGTACAGGGAGGTACAGTACACACGCACACGCGCGGGCGGGGCGGACCGGCACGGCAAGCAGCCCAAGTTGTACGACGTGCGGGCCGCGACTGCGTACCCACGAAAACATGCCGGCGTCCACCTGTCGTGTGTGCGTGATGCACACTGCAGACTGATTCCGAGGGCCGATTTCGTCGCTCTGTCTCTCTCGCACCTACAGCTGACGTCCCACGAGTGCAAGAGAGACACAGCAACGAAATCGACTCTCGCAATCAGTCTGCTGTGTACACTTTCCTTTGTAGACTTTGCTGCAGCCAAGCGGACGTACGGTCATGGATTCGGGGCGCGCGAGTTGAGAAGTCGCAAATCCATAAGCAAACATCAACAAGTTTGACCCCTCCCGCATGTGAATGATTTGTCTCCTTATCGGCTCCGTGGCCTGCGGCATGGCGGCCTGCGTGCCGCGGGCGTGCTGCGGTGCTGCATCCACGCGCATCCGTGCATGGTTCCAATGGTTCGCCGTCGCGACGCGCCGTCTGCTGCACACTGTCTCTCTCGCACCTGTACGCGACGCCCCATGAGAGCGAGAGAGACAGAGCGACGGAAACGACTCTCGGAATGAGTCTGCAGATTGGCGCCAAAGATTCGGCCGGGGAAGGCCACCCACGGGACGCGGTTCTGGCGCATTGGCCGCCATTGCATGGTCATTGGCGCGATGTGCGAGGTCCGCCTGGCTACGCCTTTGGCTACGCCTTTGGCTACGCCTCGCGCCTCGCGACCGCCTCATCAGAGAGGAGTATGTAAATTTCTCACCTGTGGCTGCCTAAGGCTGCCTGCCGCGGGCAGGTGGCGGCTTGGCGGCGCCTACACTGGTACAGGTGGCGGCCGGCAAGTCACCTAAGTCTGCAGTTCGGCCGGACTGTACCGCCAGTAATGAATGGCCCTCGCGGTCGCGGCACTGCTAGCCGATCTTGCCTCTCCGGATTCGGCGCCCGGCTTCGGAAGCTCCTGAGGTTTGTGGCGGCCATTTGCATATTCGCGCGCGCTGCGGCTGTTCGTGGCTGTTCGCGGACTGCAGGCATGTGTCGTGCTGGTGACCCGCGGGGCCGAATCCAAACTGCTTGCGTTCGGCGTCGGCGCCAGGGTCGTGTGTGACGGCATGCGTCTGCCCAGTGTGTCTCTGTCTGCCCGTGGCATGGCGTCGCAGGGGCCGGGTCTTGCCACTCTCCCCCGTTCATCCCCATCTTTGCGTTGTTGGCTTCCAGGAAAATCTCCCCCGGCCTGATGCCCCCGTGCTCGCCCGGCAGGTTCCGCCGCAAGACGTCCGAGACGGAGGCGCCCTTCCCGCCCCTTCCGGCCGGGGGTCCCGGTCCCGGTGCCGCCGGCGGTCCCGCCCCGCGGGGGTCCCAGGGGGGCGAGGGATCGGCAGCGGGAGCGGGAGCGGGAGCGGCGCCAGGAACGGGACTGGGCGTCCCCGTCCCCGTCCGCGGCGCTGGCTCTGGCGCTGCGGCCCGCAGTGCGAGCTCGGGCGTGAGCCAGAGCCGCGGAGTGGCGGCCAAGGCAGCGGCAGCAGCGGGGACGAGCGGTACTCGCGGCAAAATGGCGACGGCCAGCACCACTCCGTCGCAGACCCACGGCTGGCCGAACACCAAGGAGGACTACGAGCTGCGGGAAGTGATCGGTGAGTTTCGCTGGGAGTTCCCCGAGGGGTTGTCCGTCGAGGGGGTCCTCCCCGGGGGTCCGCCTCGCCCCCCAGCGACGTCCACCCCCTTGTCATGCCCGCCCCGCCGCCCTGCGCTGCGGACCTTCAACCTTTCGCAAGGATGCCGGTAATCCAGGCTCGGCCTACTTCACGTAACCAAGTGCCAGCCGTCCGGCGTGTCTGGCGACGTCGGCCGACTCGAGGAGGGCCTAAGTGCCGCATGTCGCGGGCGGACACGCCGGCCGAAGCGCCTTTCTCGCAAACACGGACGCGCCATAACCTCTGCCTTCGCTTGACAAATAGCAGAAAAATGCAGTGTGCAGGGCAGTGGGTGGTTGAATGGTCAGTGCTCTTGAAAGACGCGTCGATCACTAATTCATTCGCATGCCACTCAGTTGGCTCCGTTTTTCAGTCATTAGAGCTGTCAGTTTGGTAGGTTAGGTTTACGCTGGAAGTTTCAAAGTCCGCTTCACCTGGTTTGATCAACTCATCTTCCCTCTCGCCGAATAAATTTGTTTTTTTTTTTATTTTCTTTCAGGTGTTGGAGCCACAGCAGTTGTGCATGGAGCGCTCTGCAAACCCAGAAACGAAAAATGTGCCATCAAGAGAATAAATTTGGAAAAATGGAATACGAGTATGGATGAACTTTTGGTAAGTTACATTAATATACATATTCCTTAACATTTTTAATCCCATCAACTCAATTAATTTTTACTTGTGTGTTATTACAGAAAGAAATTCAAGCTATGTCCTCTTGCAACCATGAGAATGTGGTGACTTACCACACCAGCTTTGTGGTACGGGAAGAACTATGGCTTGTGCTCAGACTTCTTGAAGGAGGCTCACTACTGGACATAATAAAGCACAAAATGAGAGCGTCAAATTGTCGACATGGTGTATTTGATGAGTCTACCATTGCCACTGTTCTAAAGGAAGTGTTGAAAGGTCTTGAGTACTTTCATAGCAATGGACAGATCCATCGGTAAATTTTGTACCATATACTTTAAGTGGCTTGTGCATGTAATTTGTTTTTGACTGTATATATTTCTCTTCTAGTGACATCAAGGCAGGAAATATCTTGCTTGGAGAGGATGGCACTGTCCAGATCGCTGATTTTGGTGTTAGTGCATGGCTTGCTACTGGAAGGGATTTATCTAGACAGAAAGTTCGCCACACATTTGTTGGGACCCCTTGCTGGATGGCCCCTGAAGTCATGGAGCAGGTTTGTGTCATTTGTGGATAAATTTTTTAAATTTGACCAATACTTTGTTGCTTTGTTACTTTTGTTACTTTGTTACATTGTTTTTACCCTCTTTTATAGGATCATGGATATGACTTCAAAGCGGACATCTGGTCGTTTGGAATTACTGCAATAGAGATGGCAAGCGGAACTGCACCATACCATAAATACCCACCAATGAAAGTGCTCATGCTGACTCTCCAGAATGATCCACCAACATTGGACACGGGTGCTGAAGATAAGGACCAATATAAGGCTTATGGAAAGACATTCCGCAAGATGATAGTGGATTGTCTTCAGAAAGACCCCTCAAAACGGTTAGACACAATTTTTAAGGTTTATATTTAGATGTTTCACGTTTATTCTTACACTGTAACCTAATTTTTGCCCCACTTTTCAGGCCATCTGCTACTGAGCTGCTCAAGCACCCCTTTTTCAAGAAAGCAAAGGACCGTAAATACTTGCAGCAGACATTGGTTGCCATTGGCCCTAGCTTGGAAACCAGAGTTCAAAAGGTAGCCCTGGGTATATTAATGTCTATTTATATTTCTTTTGTTTTGGGACCAATTTTTGATTCTTACTCATGTTTGTTTTCCTCAGGCCTCTAAGCGACAACCTGGTGCATCTGGAAGGTTACACCGCACTGTGACTGGAGAGTGGGTATGGTCATCTGAAGAAGAAGGAGGCATGTCATCAGATGATGAGGTACAGTGTGCACTTCATTACTGAAGGTTTTATTTTATTTTAAAACAGGCAGACTAACTTAACTTCTTATTATTTTCAGTGTGAGCCAAAGCCACTAAACTGCATAGAAGCTGGATCTTCAGGCAGTGAGCGGGACTTGACCGACAATGAGGGAGGTAGTTCAGGTGGAAGTGCTGGACCCATGGGAGGCTCTGGGGGCTCATCCAGTCCTGCTCCAGTCAACTTGGTTTTACGGATGAGGTAATTTTTGAAATTGCTTAGTGGTAGAAGTTGTGGACATTTTCTGAATGAAACCTCTTGTCTAATGAATTGCATTTACGCTTTCAGAAATCCAAAGAGGGAATTAAATGATATCCGATTTGAATTTGCGGTTGGCAAAGATAGTGCCGAAGGTATAGCTGCTGAGTTAGTTGGAGCGGGTCTTGTGGATGGCCGTGATATTGTTGTCATCGCAGCTAATCTACAGAAGCTCATTGATACCCAGTCACAGTCAAAAACTGTGACTTTCCCTCTGGTAAGTACTCCCTCTATGCTCTGTTGTAAAACATTCATTTCTACAAAACAAGATCATCATCTTTTATTTTTTGTTTTTCCAGAACTCTGGGTATGCAAGTAATGAAACTCCTGATGACAAAGCTCTCATTGGCTTTGCCCAAATATCAATAACAGATTAAAATTAGTGTCTTTAAAGATTATTTACTTTATAGTATTTATTGGAATGATTGTATTGACTGAGTGACAACAGGTATATAGCCTCAATAATTTTCAATGTGAAGATGGTACTGTGATTATACCAGTTGGTTGTCGCACAAGTTGGTTTCAACTTTTTGATCACAATATGAATTTGCAAAATCATAATTAATTGAAATCAGAGACATTTCTCAACAGTATTGTTCCTTATTAGTTTTATTGTACTAATTTTCATTTTATTAAAATCAGGCATGGTTTTACATTTTGTGTCTTGTGTTGCTTCTGTTGTAATGTAACTTTTATACTCAGTTTTAGTTTCTTTTTTAATCAGAATGAGCCATTGCCACACTTGTGTGATAACCTGCCCTTTCCATTTTCTTGTTGACTTAAAATTCTAAGTTAAATTTTCTACTTTTATTGAATTTAGGGTTTCAAATCATGTTGTCTTTGTATAATAAAACCCCTTAGCAATACTATTCCTGGAATTGGTAGGCTCATCTAGCCAATGCTACTGTTAGTCTTGCAGTCAGATTGAGGTACTATCCAGAGGTCAAGAAACACGCTTGTGAAACCAAAATGTGTGTTCATTAAAGGTGTATTCACTGGGCAGTGAGATGATTTTCAGAAAAATGTTAAATGAACTTTGTTTTTGAAGATATATTACTTATTTGAAATGCCCATGAGAGCTGTAAAGTTATCATAAATTCTTGGACGTGGAACTGTAGTTTTAATCTGAGTCATTTGAAGAGTATGATGACCATAGTGTGCCTATTAGGTGGTTTTGTGGGTTCCTACAGGAACATAAACATTGATGTTTGGTAGTGTAGTCATACCTGACTTTCAAGGTACAAGGAAAGTCATTAGTTATGGCTGGGTATAATGTGTGTTCATTCTGGTTATTTATTTGTAATTCAGTTAAAATAGTTGGCCGTCTCTTTCCCAGTGAAGTATATGTGTTTTATCTGTTCTAGAGCCAAAATGACATACCTAAAGAGAGAGAGAGAAACTTACACTGGGATGTTCCTCTGTGTTAACTTAGAATCTAAATTTTTTGATTGCAATTTTCAATTTGGATGTGTTTGTGTAATCTATCTGGAAAACTCCACAAGGAGTGTTACCATAAAGCATGTACTTACGATTCTTTTAGGTGTGTTTTCTTTCCTGTTGTGAAGTTAACATAGATGCTTGTTGATGTGGAAACATTTAGTGACAATCAACAGTTTAGTTTCTTTTTTGTTCAGCTCCAGTCACTTATATGACGTCAGCAGAATAACAATTTAGTCCAAATTGCTTTGTCTTGTATATGTTGTTCTTGTTATTTGTTATCCCTGGTTGCCTATGTTTTGACCAGTCTTCATTTATAGTTTAATTTATTTGTGTTACTTTTGTCCATGTCAATTAACTCATGTACATTGCTTCTGATGTTAAAACCTGTATTTCAGACTAATAAGTCCCTATTATACTGAGGAATGTGATAGTATCTGAAATAATTGTCCTTTTTTTTTTTTTTTAAGGAGTGTGTGTGTGTTGGATATCAGTTTGTTCCCTTTTGCATTTTAGGAGAGATGGTCAGTGACTGTTTGTGCCTCTTGTATCCTAATATTCCTTCCTTTCCATGAAATTTTCCCATTCCTTCTAGCAATATCAGCTGTTTTATGCATCACTAAGATGATTGATTCTGGTCGTCTTTGGTTCATACATAAATAATTCGACTTTTCTTGCTGTGATTGCTTTTCTATGACAGTTTTATTTAATAAAATAGTCAGAGATTTTGCACATGTTTTGTATTTGTTGTCAGTTCCTTTTCTATTACACTGCACAATGCATTGACTGGTAAATAAAAGGGTGCATACCCTAGTTATGTAATCAATATTATACTGAGGACCTTAAATTATGACAATGTACAAAAAAATATCACAGAGTTAGCAATACGTATACCTAAAATTTATTGAACATGTATTTTAAATTGCCTTCTGGTATCTCCTGCCATTTTGGTACATCAGGTATAGAATGTTCAATTAGAGAAGACTTCTTTAAGTTTTAGCATCATTATAATCATGCAATGTTCTTGAAGAAAGTATTCCACAGAGAGATATGGTCTGGTCTGTACCCCTCCTGCAATGTACTATCAACATTGATCTTCATCACAGGAGATCCAGTTTTTGTCATTGAAGGCCATTTAGGATAAGACTTTTCTGGTCTAGTAGGATTTCTGAAAAGAAAAAAAATAAGTGTGATTTTAAACATGGAATGAGTGAAGATGGCTAAAAGTATAGCGAATGCAGGCTCACCCTGTCTTTATAAAATTTGAAAATGATGTCACAAAGTTTTTTTGAAATGATAGTTCAGGGTCAGACTCCAAAAGATGTACTTGTGGAAGTAAGTCATTTCCAAACAAGTAACCCAGATCATCACTGTGGGTAGCACCTTTGAACTCTGGAAAATAAATTAACTTGGCTATAGTGAAAACAGTCAAGACTAGAACCTTTGCACATATCTTATGCCGGGGAGACATTCCAAAGAAAAGGTTGATCTTGGCATCATCACCTGGGACGTGGTAGACTAAAACCCTCCTGAAGAGGTTCTGGCGTCCCTCAAATGTGAAGTTGTAGGCGAAGACGGGAGTTTGGGACACGGCAGTCAACTCTCTCGTAAAACGGTAGGTGTCGTAGTCAAACATTAGAGTGCCATAAAACTTGGGGATGTAAAGAAAAAAAAAACAGAAGAGAATTGATTAACCTGTTGAATGGAATGGGTTAAAACTTCTCGTTTGTTTCTTTTTTTGTTGTATTTTGGCACATTTATACTTTGAAATGATACTGACATCGACGAACTGCTGCATGGAGCCCTCGGCCATGCTCTGCTTGCCGAAGTAGAACTCTTTGGCGGCCACCTCGGCCAGCCTCAGCGCCTCCGAGCCGCGGGGAAGTCCCTTGCGCATGTACTCGGGCAGCGCCCAGAAGAAGTCCGCGTCCACCAGCCCAGCCATGTTTTCCAGAGTGCGGTTTCTCGTCAGGGAGCCTGCGTGCAACGGATGGCGGCTTGTCTATAACGGCTTGCGTGATTAACACGAGAGGCAACCTTCGGTTTGACGGTGTGGGTGGACATGACTCACTGGGGAAGATGAAGAGGCCCTCCCTCGCGCTGAGTCCCAGCAGTGTGGGCACCTGCTGGAAGCGTCCGGCGCGGAGCAGGTCCAAGGGGGCGGCCGGCACCAGGTCGCCGTCGACGGTGGGCTGGAACGGGAACTCGTCCATCAGCCACCTCGACTCCTGCAACGAGAAGAGCAGCGGAACCAGTCATAGCGTTGTCGATGTCACTCCGCACGGGGATGGATGTCCTTGGCCAGCTCGGGGCTTACGTCCTGCACGTCGCAGTAGTTGGTGTAGTCCGCGAGGGCGGCCGCGTCCACGCTCTGGAGGAAGCGAAGCGCGTCCTCTGGGCTCTCCCCGTCGGCCTGGGCGTGGCCCATCTTCGCCCGGAGGCGGCGGGCCAGGATGCGGCCGCGCTCCAGAGCCTTCTCCGGGGTGCTGAAGGCCCAGTGGTGCAGCGCGGTGCCGGACATGCTGATGGCGCTGCGGAACAGGCCTGCGAGAAACGCAGAGGCCGGGGCCATGGAATGTACAACGCGTGCCGTTGCCTACGCCGGCTTTCGGGTAGTGAACACTAGAAGCGTTTTGAGTCGCCAAACCGAATTCAAACCAAACGTGTGACCCCACCAATGGATTCCTCGTTCGGAGAGCAATCCATTGGTGGGGTCACACGTTCGGTTCGAGTCCCATTTAGCGACTCTGGAGCTCAAAACGCGTCTGGGATTTTGACCGCCTCCACCGGTCTTCTGGCCCGCACCGTGCGATGCTGCCTTTACCTTTGGCGGCCGGCACGAGGGTCATGTAGCTGGCGATGGCGCCGCCGGCCGACTGGCCCCCGATGGTCACCTTGTCGGGGTCGCCGCCGAAGTGCGCGATGTTGTCCTTGACCCAGCGCAGCGCGGCTACCACGTCCTTGAGCGCGGCGTTGCCCACGCCCCGCGGCGCGCCGCCCACCTTCTTGCCGCCCTCGGCCGCCTCGCCCAGCGCCAGGAAGCCGAACGGGCCGAGGCGGTAGTTGGGGACGACCAGCACCACGCCGCGGTCCACGAAGTGCTCCGGGCCGAACATGTCGCTGCCGCCGTCGCCGTAGACGAACGCGCCGCCGTGCACGAAGACCAGCACGGGCAGCGCCGCGTCGGCACCCACCTCGGGGGTGTACACGTTGAGGTGCAGGCAGTCCTCGCTCTGCCGCATCACCTTGAGGGCGCGGTGCGCCAGCGCCGGGACGGTGCCGAGGAAGCGCACCACGTCCATGACCGTCATGTTGCTCTGGCGGGCCGAACGAAACAAACCACTCTGCAGGACCATTCTGAAGAGCCGCTCTGTCTCTCTCGCACTCGTGGGGTGTCCCGGAGCGGTGCGAGAGACAGAGCGATGGAACGAATCTTTGGAATCGCTCGGCTGAAGCGCCTGCGAGACGATCATGTGTGGTCTAGCCCGTAGTGGTAATGGTAATGGTGCGGGTAGGCCGCCCGCTGCGCATGCCTGCACCCCGCTGCCTTGCTGCCTACCCCGCGTCTCGCAGGCGCTTCAGCTGCTTCAGCCGAGCCACGGCCAACGACACCACCAGGTACTCAAGCTACACTTCGGCGTCCTCCTCACCGGCAGCACGCCGGGGACCTTCATCTGGGGCTGCCTGCACATGGGGCCGTCGGCGCGCGCGTCCCGGACTTGGGGCGCCCAGGACCGCGGCGGCACGGGGTCCAGGAAGCGCAGCGGGCCCACGGGGGGCTCTGCGAACGGCAGCCCCTGGAAGGCCAAGTACTCCGTGCCGGCCTTGGTGACGGCGGCGCGCCCCTGGACGGGGCCTTGCTTCGTCTCCACCACGGGGCCTGCGATGCAGAGGCACCGAAGTGATTACTGCCCTCGCGACGAACAAGAGCGGGTGGCAGCCGAGCGGTTCAGAAGAGTCATTTCGTCGCTCTGTCTCTGTCGCTCTCACAGACTCCTAGGTGAGGGTGCGAGAGAGACAGTGCGACAAACCGGCCTTCTGAATCGCTCGGCCGAGTCACAAAAAATGAACCCGAATCCTTACTTAACGAGTGCCAGTAGTTATGGTACTCGAGTCCTCGGTACACACACAGGGCCAGCACTGCCACGAGTAGGGGAGTCCTCCACCGCGAAGGAGTCTTGGCCTTCGCCGCCTGTGCGCTGCCTGGAAAAACAATCAGCGAACTCAACTCACGCCACACGTGCAGAAAATAAAAATGTGTCGTTTCGAAATCGGGCCCAGCGGGTTCCGCATCAAGTGAGCGGTGCCGCGCCACGCCCACCAGGTGTGCTAGCTCAGTGGCATACAGTGTAGTGGCGCCAGTTGGGTTGCCGGCGACATCTACGGCGCCCTGGGTCGGGGCTCTGGGGGTGGGGGTGGGGGCCTGGCATGGCCAGCTGATGGGACCGGGGAGGGGAAGGGCAGTCTGGAACCAGTGTTTACTCACCGCCGCCGCTTCGTTGCGGACTCTGACTTTGCGTCTTCTTCTGCTTCTTCGACGACGCCATCACGTATTCAAATTTGAACAAAAACCCGTCGACAGAGTTCGCGTAGGTGCGCGACAGGGAATCGGCGGCGCCGCGTGTGGTTCGCAGCGGAGTGCTTCGGCGAGCTGTCTGTCTCCTTGGCCGCGCGGCCGCGCCGAGAGCGCTGTTATTGTGTGTGTACTCGAACTTGCTTACGGCGCCGCGCCGGTCGGTCAAGAGCTCCGCCACGGGTCTGACTGACAGGTCCGAATCCGAAGCGCGCGGCTGTCACCGCTAGCGCTAGCCTCCGCCACTCCACTTGGCGTGCTTCGCGCTTTGCGCTTCGCCACAGCAGCAAAGGCGAAGCAGGCAAAGCCAAACCGGACGACCCGGCGGCACGCCGACAGTGAGTCTCGGCGGCGACCGACGGCGACACAAGCAACGGCGGCGTGGCAGGCCAAAGGCGGAAAGGCACAGGCCGCACAGGCAGGCCGGCAGATCGCGCCTCTGTTGTTTGGCTGCGTGCTGCGCCCACTGCGCCCGGCTGCGTGTGGCCGCCGTGGCCGGCGCGCCAATCGTTCTGACCCGCCCAACCGAAGTCCAGTGAAGCGAGTGGGCGGGCCACCTCGGGGGCCGCCCAACAAACCACGTGGCCTCCGCGTCCGCTCCTCCGTCTCCCCTGTCCACTCTGTTTGCGCCGCGAAAGAAAAGGCTCGCGTCCTGGGGCCAATTTGGTGTGGCGGTCCGCCGCCTACTGTACACACCGCAACGCCGCAACCGCACTGTAGTACTGTGTTGTACACTGTACGCGCCAATCTGGCGGGGAATTGCGACGAGGCGGCGCCCGGCTCAGATAATGCGGCTCTACCTTCGCACTGAAAAGTGCTATCAGCAGAAGGGAGAGAGATGACCCTACTCCACGATGCACAAAGTCCACACGGCCCGCCATCACATTGTAAAAGAGTCGCTCGGGCGCGGGGTATCGCCGACTTCTTCCTCGTTCACAACACTGTTATTTTCGCCGGATTCGGGCGTCGTTTCGAGGAGGGGGGGGGGGCTGACCTCTTCGCCCTTAGCACCTCTGTCCAGACGCCCCTCCGACCGCCTGATTCCGAACGAATCGCTTGGTCTCTCTCGCACCCTTACGCTCAGCGACAGCGACAGAGACAGAGCGACGAAACGATCCTTTGAAATCGGGCGGCAGTAGTAAGCTTGGCTGTAGGCGCGACAGCCCCTCCCTTTCCCGAAACTGCAAACCACCCTGTCCAGATTGGGACTTCCCTCCGGTGCACTGGTGAGTCCGTGGAGGGCGCAGGGTGCAGGTCCGTGTCGCGGTAGGATGTGGCCGTGAACATTCCTGCACTGGGATCTATCCTTGCTCCTCCAACGGGACAGAAAGGGGCTCTTCTTTTCAAAACCCGCGCGCCTCGTTCAGCGAATGATGAACCGGAACTGAACGGTGCGAGCTGTGGCACTTCCGGTCTATCTCTCAGAAAGGGTGGAAGATGAGATGTTTGTTTACGAACACTTCACCAAGGCAGTGAATAAAAATGTTGTGGCGTTTTGTATCTTTAATTTTTTGTTACTTTTAATTTTATTCAACGACAGTTATTAGAATTAAACTGTTGCTTTAAAAATGGCCACTATCGAGAAGCTTATGAAGTCATGGGAAACTTTAAGACACTTACCGACCCAGTTAACAGATGAAATCGCGTCAAGGTATTGTGGGGTTATGTTTCTTTATTTTGATTGATTCAAATCTGAAATGATTGGTTTCAGGTTGAATACACTAATTTTCAGCACTGTCAGTCCCTTCTTTAACCACGTTCACATTCTAAACTTGCCCATTTATATCAATCCTCGTCATTTCTTTTAATCTACAGGCGTAAAGAAAAGATATCATTATGTGTGACTACAGCAGACACTTTCTGCTCATCTCCTGGGCTCAAAACAGGAGGTGTCAATGTCATGCTTTTAAGTTTTGCCATGGAATCATTACTCCACATGTGCAATGACTCCGATTCAGACGTTCGTATGACAGCAGACGAAAGTCTCAATCGTATTATTAGGGTAATGTCACACATTTAACATTACTTTCATTCATTTCTACATTGGTGTGCGTCTAAGTGTTCTTTTTCCATTCCAATTCAGCAAGCGGTACTGGACAGCAATGTCATGAAAGTCCAGGTAGAATTACATAAGGAAATTAAAAGGAATGGTAATGCTCGAAGCTTACGAGCTGCCTTGTGGAGATTTGCATATTTAAGTTATATGATCAGGTAAATTCGATCACTCTTTAGTGTGCTGTGTTTTGTTGCATTTATACTACAAGATCTGTGGTGTCATTTACAGGCCTCTGAAAGGAAAACCTTACGTCAATAACCTTGTGCCTTGTCTAATTCAAATTTCCAAACGTTCTGAAGAACCTGTTCAAGAAACCCTTGCTAATGCTATGCCTCAAATATTTAAGGCGCTAGGTGTCTTTACCACTGATAAAGATGTGAAGGTATGTTCCATTAAGTTTTTCTTTTTCTGTCTTCTACTGCTACCGACATCTCTTTTCACTTATTGATTGAATTTTGTGTTTAGGAGCTTTTAAAAGCGTTCCTTCTGAACCTTTCGTCAGACTCTGCTCAGGTACGGAGAACTGCTGCCACTTGTATTGTGAGCATATGTCGTTATTGTCGAAAACCTAAAGCCTTTCTCCTTGAGACCCTCAACACTCTTGTTGGTGAGAATTTGCATTCGAACGTGTTCAATTTTCTCTTCAATTTTGTAATTTTTTTTCAGCATTATTTTCAACTTTTACTCTTATTACAGATTCTGTGATTCCCATAAAGGAAAATCAGGCAGTAGCTGAAATATTGGGAGTCTTAGGCTGCTTAAGAGCAGTTTTACCCCAGTTTACAATGTTTGATGCAGAGCACACTGGTCAAGAGGAACTGCAAGGAAGTTTTGGTGTCAAGCGAGGTCACAATAGATCAACTCATTGCACAGACTGTATGGTACAGGTATGTATTTTCTTGCATTTTATCCTCATCTTGAGATATTGACTCCATGCTTCTGTTCATTAATTGTGGTTCATTGCCTTTCAGGTGTATGAGCTTAGCATTCATTTCTCAAGACACGCAGATCACAATGTAGTCAATGCGGCTCTGGAACTGTTGCATCAACTTCTCCTTTCCCCACCAACTGGTCTCATTCCTATACTCCTTTCTCCGCATGGAATCTCAAGATCAAAGATTCTTCCTTCTTCAGTTGAACTGAGTCCTTTCCAACGTCGATCCTTGAGTAAGCTCTTTATCAAACTTTAAATCCATTCAATTCAGACTCGAACGTCAAGTTGAAGGTTTCTTTATTTATTGCAGGTCAAATGAGTGTTGCTGCTTCAATACCTCCATGTGATGAAAACTCTCTTCTTGAGCTAGATGCCGACCTTCCAACTGCTATGTCAGCTGCTGTATCTGCTCCGTTGCTGGAAAGATGGATTCAAGACGGATCTTCCACACCAGTAGACTCCGTTCAACTTCAGCACACAGCACCATCTAAGATTAATGCGGCTCGTTTGCAGCTTTTAGATGCTGCTGATCCATCTGAGCCAGATTTGATGTTGGTGCCAGAACATGACAATTTTGGGAGCCCTGCTGCTGGTAAGAGGACTTTTATAGGAAGAAAGAAAACAAAAACAAAACACTGATCATATTCTGATTGAGATCTTTTTTATGTAGGATGAATAAATGATCATTTTGAATGTTTGCCTTCTAGATGTGCTTTCAACAGACTCTTCTCCTGATGATGTTAGAGAAAATTATATTCTGGAAATTACTGATAATGAAACAGAGCTGGCCCATCTGAATACCCCTCCTCCTTCTGCAAGTGGAGTTTCTCTAGCTAGCTCTCCTGGAGCCAATCAGGCAGAAGCCAAGTACCAGGTACTCCCTCATAAAGTTGTTATTTCTTAAAAAAACTTCTTGTATTGTTTGAATTTATGTAAAAAATGTGTCTTCCATTTTAAAATTTCAGGTCTGTGACATAGGTTCATTGACAGATGGTTCGATACCTCTTGTGTATTGTGCACGACACTTGGCTACCTCTTTCCTCTTAACCGGCCATCCAGGATACCGTATGCCAGATCGCAATGTGCGTGTGAGTGTTAAAGCTCTTGCTTTAAATTGTGTTGCTGCTATTGTTCGGCTGCATCCCAATGTGTTTCAACTTTACTTAGATAAAGATCCGATCTCACCAACTCGCCGTTCCTCAACTAGTAAGTGAATTTCATTGACTGATTAAATTAATTGTTCCATGTTGTGGTATTGTAAATCTTTGAATGAGAATCTAAACAGCAAACACCTCTTTCTCTCTAGATTCTGCATCCTCACAACCACTATGTGAACTTCTTCTCTTTGCAAAGCATACAGATCCCCAACTGCGGGCTATCTGTTGCACTCTTCTAGCTGGCTTGGTTCGTTCAGTGTTAGTTCAATCTGGTGGTAACTGGCAAAGTTGGCAGCGCAAAGCTGATGCAAAGGTTTCTGCTTGTCTTGCATTGCCCCGTATTGTGCAGTTCCTTATTCAGGTATGATTTTTTCTCAAGGTTTAGTTTTGAAATACAACTGAGATTGATTCAGATTTAAACTCTTTGCATCCTTCTTTTTAGGGTCTTGAGGATGAATCTTCGACCACATGCCGTCAGACTCTAGTGGCACTGACTCAATGTCTACCGGAACTTCTCAGAAGTAGGGATTGCCACGAAGTGCAACCAATTCTGAATACATTGTCAAACCTTGCAAAGAATCCTTACTGGCTTGTCAAGGTATTAACACAAAATTTGAGTTCAGTATAGATAAGAACCCTTTTATTTCAGATCTCTGATTTTTTCCTTGTATGTTAACAGGTGAAACTTTTAGAGTTAGTGTGTGAGCTCCCATATGTAGTCATTCATTTTGTAGTAGGCTCGTCTACCTTTCAAGACAAGGTAGCTCATGGCATCCTTTTTGACCTTCTCTCTGATGAAGACTGTAGAGTTCGTAAAGCTGCCTCTGAAGCTATTGTTAGGTAAAAATTTATTTGTAGAATGTTACAAGTAACTTGTAAAAGCTGTAATCTAATTATTATTTTTATAATTTCAGAATAATCCCAAATTTGTATTACCCAGTTGATCGAAAAAATGTAAGCGAAGTTATTGCTGTGGCTAGTGATGACAGTGAGTCACAGTTGAGTCATCTTTTGGTAGATTCAGAACCTTTAACATCTGCATCATTAGGTAAAAGCTACCAAAAAATTCCACGGCTGGATAATCTTTTTACACCTTTTGATAGATGGAACAACATTGGTGGGTTAAATTTTTAAAAAATATGAAAACAAAATAAAGATCTACTAGTTTGTTCTAAATACTGTATTCTTGTTGCAATTTCTTGCAGGAGTGAAGTCTCAACACCACCATAGTGTGGAAGCTTCATTGTCAAGAGTTGTTGATTCGCTCTCACAATTGCTGCTAGAGTCATCGTCCAAGCACCTTACTGTGAGTTTCAACATGATGTAATTAAAAATTATCCTGATTTTTTAAAAATCTGTTGTTTTGGATTGTACTGTTTTAGTTGGGATGCTGTGAAACCCTTTCTTCCCTTGCTGAGAACTTCCCTCCCGCTTTGTATGTCAATGGCTGGAGTTGCTTATTTTGTCCCAATCCAACACAAGCAACCAATTCCAAGAGGGATGCAAAGCATGTAGTTGGGTGAGTGGAAGCCAAATATTGAGTCTCATCTAATAATCCATTCCCAACAATATATTGTGGGTTTGTGTTATTTTTATCATAATGAGGTTACAAACCATAATAATTTTTCATTTGACTCTTCAGAGACGGTGTTTCTCTCGTCAATTTTTCGCCTGCAAGTGGCCTTCTTCATACAGTGCTGGGTCTTTTACTGACAAGCCCTACAACGTTAGAACTTAGTGCCCAACAATGGCTAAATTTGCTATCAGGAAATCTATTTTGTGGTGTAGCAGTGGCAAATATGCACCCAATTGAAAGTCCACCGCCTGGCCTGAAATTGGATCCTAATCCTTATCCTAATCAATTATGGTCAATGTTTAAAGATAGACAGGTAACTTTTCCTCTATCAGATAGTGTGGTAAGTTTTGAATGTATGTTAATGTAAAACCAATCCTGTTGTTTTATGTCTAGATATGCATTGCTTCAGAATCTCTTCTTCTCCATGTTATGCGTACATTAAACATAATATCACACATTTTGGAAGATTCTCATCCAATAACGTCAGGAATAAAACCGGGCCTTCCTTCATTATCACCAATTAAAAGGCATGGTAGTAGTGCTGGAAGGACAACTCCAAATGAATTGCCAATAGAAAATAAGGCTGGTCGTGGTATGTCACCAATAAAAAATATCATTCATGGTGAGCTCTTTCTATCCATTTAATTATTTAATCTGTTTTTGTATTGCATGGCAAATATTGCATGTTGTTTCTAACTTATTGTATATTTGAAGGTGAAAAAGAAGACAAAAGTGATGAGAAGAAGAGTGGCAAAAGTACTTTATTTGGTTCTTTTGCAAACAATCAGCATTATCTTAAGTATTATGATCTTCTCCGTTCATCATATACAAATTATAAGGTAGTTGTCTAGTTTGGTGCTTAAAAAATGTTTTGTCACTGTTACCTCTTGATTGATTCTCTGTGAACAATTGATTTTCTTTGGTTTTCTCTTTCTAGATGTCTTTGGAACCTGAAATTTGTGATAAGTTTGTAGGATTAGTAAGTTCAACTTTGAAAGTACTTTCACAACTTTTAGAAGTAATGACCCTAGCAGAGGCAGGAAGGATAGCAGAGGAGCTATTGTTCTATTTGAGAGGGACTATGACCCTTTCTCCAACTGCAACTGTCAGTTGTGTAAGCCAAGTGAGTACATTTGGCAAAAAAATTCAAATTGTCCAATGCAACAGCTTCTTTTGATTACAATTCTGATACAATATTGAAATGAATGTTCTATTTTCAGCTTTTAAAATGTGTTGTGGGTATGAATCTTGTGTCTTTCTGGGGTGAACGTTCTTTAGAGAATGAACTTAAACAGCCGTCTTCCGTACCAACTATAAGTGCCAAAGAAAATGGGTTTTACTTCAACTGTTTTCAAAAACCATACCAGCAACTTGTTCAGTTTTTAACTGCTGCTTCAGCAGCTAAACCCCTCAGTGTGGAGGTTGCAGGGTTAGTATACAACCTTTTGATTATTTATTTTTTTTAAGTCAAAAATAATTTGCAAACATGAAATTTATAATAATTGTATTGTTTCTACAAAATTTTACTTGACTGAACAGGGTCATCGGTAGCTATCGTCTGCGAGCTGATGCTAAAACAGGAAATAGGATGGCTGACACAACTTATCTTGCATCTTATATTCGATTGTTTGAACCAATGGTCATTGAATCTTTACAAGTATGACTCAAATATTCTGCATTTTTCTTTTCCTTCCTTTCTTTTTTTTTCAAGTTTTATTTTATATCATTGCATTTTTTCATTCCTGTTATTTTTTAAAATTTCAGCAATACACTGTTACAAGTGACATCCAGCTGCAAGTTAAAGTACTAGCACTATTGACTCAATTGGTTCAGTTAAGAGTTAATTACTGCCTTCTAGATTCAGATATGGTTTTCATTTCATTCATCCAAAAGCAATTTGAGTTCATTGAGGAAGGGCAAATTTTGTGAGTTCTTTTATAAACTACATTTCTATATTTGATTTTGATCTGAACCAAACAGTGAAAACATCATGGACTCCATTTAATTTACCTCATCTTATTGTAGGAATTCTGAGGAGTTAATAATGTGCATATTTCACTTCATGGTTCTGCTTTCTTTTGAGAAGCACCATTCAAAATCCATCACTACCATCCCTAAAGTAATACAATTGTGTGATGGACTCATGGCGAGTGGACAGAATCCACTTTCACACTGTAAGTGCTCTTGCTTGTTTGTGTCTTAATTGCCATTGAGGTTTCTGTTACACAGCTCTTTAAATTTTTTTTTAAAGGTATACCTGCACTTCTGCCTGTTGTCGAACATGGCTTTCTGTACAAGTCTTCTGGAAGTTCAGCCACTATAGATACTGAGGAACTGGAAACTCAGAGAGAAGTCATGGTAGCCATGCTACTAAGGCTAGTTGAATATCATCAGGTACTTTTAATATTGATTTTATGTTTTCTTAGCACTGGCACAGTAAACTACATTTTAATTATATTTCTTGAACTCATCTGCAGGTTATGAAACTTTTAAGTGTTGTTTTAGTGGAATGTAGATCTTGGCCGGATGGAGAAGAGCGGTGGAGACGTTGGTCACGTCAAGTTTGTGATGCTGTCTTGGGGCATCTGACTAGTGGTCGTTTGCGATTAGATTCTTGTGATGCACAGAAATCTCTTCATCAGCTGCTGCTGCATAGCCTTGCTCCAAGTGTCTTTAGACCTGTCGACCCTTTGCTCAGAGTTCTCTTCTCTCCCCCACCTCATGTGGTATGGCTAGATTCTTATTGTTTTATTGTTAGTACTTTTGACTTAGAAATAGTGTGGTGTTCTAAATTGTTGCTTGTCTTCTGGTGTATTAGGAGAGTTCTCTTCAATCAGTCATCAGATGGCTTGGAACTGTTATAGCTGTCATGTTAGTTCTTGTTGCTCAAGGAAAAGAGGAAACTACTTTGACAAGACTTGAAGAAATGGAGATTGTGTTGCCAGCCCTCTTCTTTCGTGGAGACACAGTTCACTTGGCAAGCCCTGATCCTTTGAACGCTGCAGCCATTGCAACATCTCCACTTTCTACCAGCACACCTCAGCTCACTTTTGCCAGGTAAAAAATGAAATTTGACCTCATATTGCTATACAACCCTATTCCAGAGAATGTAAAGGGCTCATGCATGTACTTTCTGTTGGTCAGATTGGTTTTGCGAGTGATCGGACTTGTTGGTGAAAGGATAGACAGCATTGTAATGGACCCTGCCTCATCACCAGAATTGCTTAAAGAATGCCACTACCTGGAAGAACTTTTGGCACACTTTTTGTTAATCTGTATTCACATGTTTCAATCAGGTCAATACCCGATTTCAGTGTCTCAATGCCATTGCATTCTATTTTTTTTTTTTTAATTCACATTTACTTAGTCTTATTATCATTCTTTCAGGAAGCCACTGCAAAATTGCAAGTGCTGCTGTTGAGTTGGTTGCTGGTCACGCCACAGAGGACAGCCTTCTGTTGGAGGATGCTAATGCAGTATTTCTTCAGCTAGCACCTGCATGTCCACTTCTCATGTTCTTGTGGTGTTATCTACTTACATTGCTTAATTATGGAAACCATGCATTTTGGGCCAGAGTCTTGCCTTTACCAAAAGAGAGCTCCAAGAAGGATGAGGCAAGCCAGCGTCATCAAAGTCTTAGCATCAATGTAGAACTTGTACGGACAGGTGCTACCATTGTTTACTGTGACTTTATGGTCAGTTATATTTATTTTGGTAACGATAAATTGTGTTGTCATCCGGTTTGAATTTTTGAAGGTCACCTTGAGGTATTGTTGTACTTTACAGTGTGAGAATTCCAGTGAGTCAGAGCAACTGCATTGGTTGTTGAGCACACAGATGTTGCACATAATTGAGCTTAGCTCTGAAGCTCCCGTTCAAGAACTTATTGCTGTTTTACACCGCAGTCCAGATCAAAGTAGCTCAATGCTACAGGCTATTCAAAAAAACAATTTTCCTTTGAACAAGGTATGGGGCATCTGCTTCAATTTTGTCTCAGACATACACAATGGTAACTAATGGCAGTGTATATAAATGTTTATGTTTTCAGGCAACTACTGTTGTTCGACTTCTGAAGTGCTTGGAGGGTGTGCACCCCGCGTGCAGTGGCTCCTTGCTGCTTCTGCTTGCTGAGCACTTTGTGGGCCATGCACATCCTGCGTTGGCTCGCCGAGCAGCTCAACTCTGCACTCGTCAAGCAGAGTACTTGCTGACACTACCTCCCCCCCAAGTTGCAGAACAGTTGTCTCGAGAACAACTAAGAGATGTCCTTCATTTGTTGCACCATTCTCATTTGGATCGGAAGTGAGGCTAGACCATTTTTTTCAGAGTTGCTTTTTACATCCATTTCATGTCAAATTTGTCTCACCACTTAAACTATTTTCCCAGGCACAGTGGCTTGATAAGCATTCTGAATAAATTGGGATCTCAATGTCTAGCTTTGTCTCCTTTGGAAACAGATCAAGTTCGCCCCTTAACTCCAACATCAATACAAAATCTGAAATTAGATAAGCAATGGTACCTCAGTCAAGTTAAATTAAGGTATACTTTAAAAATGATTTTACATCAGGCAGCTCTAATGTGGCACTAGCGGACTAGCAATTAACTGATAACTTTTCTTTGATCCTTTTTTAGGTGCAGCCAGACATCTTCCACAGGTGTTGCAGTGGAAGAGTCGACTCAGCTTCTTGGTCATCTGGATGTTGAAGATGCTGTCTCTGTATTGAGTAGTCCAGACACTCACCTTTCAATTTTACAGCTGTGTTTCCGCCATGGCACCCAACAAACTCTGATGGTAAGTACTGCACACTTGCTGTTTGCATTCTTTCATTATTTTTTTTTTAATTATATTTTTTTTCTCTTTTTTCTTTTGCCAATGTACCTTAATTTTCATTGTAATAGGCCCATGCCACTGCAGCACCTGGGAGAAATGTTGAGGATACTTTGTCACCACTGTATCGAGCTGCAAGGATGGTTCTTATGCAACGAGTTCATCATTTTACTGAGCTAGTTCCCAAAGATCATCAGGTAACTAAGACAATTTTGGTTTGTTGTGTTTGTTGTTACTTCATTCAGTTTTTAAATCCTCTGTCTTTTTCTATTTGTAGGTGTTTCTGCCATTCGGACGTCCCATGACGGATGCTGAGTTAGTCTACTCACGAAACCTTTGCCAAGTTGTTACGAATGATATGCAGCTAGATTCATTGTTCTGCATAGCTGCAGCTGTTAACAGCTATATCCATTCTCTTGAAAAGCTTTGTGGAGTTGTGCCATCTGAAGCTGCAGAAGATCTAGTGGCTTTTGCTCTCCTTTGCCTAGAGGTTGGTATTCCCTCATGTTGTTTTGTGTGGTTTTTTTAAAATTGTTATCTCTTTTGCATCCTCAATTACCTGCTCTTTTTGGTATCCCAACAGGCTGTGCATAGTCTGCTCGCACAAGATGAGGGTAGGGGAAATACTAATGCAGAGAAATTAAAACCAGAAAGGAGGTCTAAATCACTTTCAGTGGATGCTCATGAAGTACCTTCTTCAGGCAAGGTGATGGCTTCTGATAAAAAGCTTAATACCCCACAGCCTTATTGTTTTGAGCTAGGGCTGGAGTGTGCCAGCAGGGTGCTGTGTGAGCCTAGTCTTGGTGTCTTTCTGGAGCAACCCAATCATTTGACATGGCTCGCATCCGCGTGTTCTGCTGTAACTGCTGTTGTTCATTTTGTTACCTTAGGGGAGCCCCCTCCAACAATTCCCATGAATGGTTTGTAAATTATTGTATTCAATGGCAACACAGTTGTTCAGCTTTTAAGTTTTCCACATTGATAATTTACCTTGCTCTTTCATTTCCAGGACTATCTGAAGCACTCTCAAAACCAGAATCCTTGACAATAGCTCATGCTTGTCACCAGATGTCTACCCTCATAGCATGGCTTGAAAATAATAGCTTTAACAAAATTTGTCAAAACATTCCTAGTTTTCTCACTTCCCCAATTCAAAAGCTAATAGTGCGTCTGGCAAGAACTCCTCTTCTAAATTCCTATGTTTGGACACCTCCTGACGTCTGGAAACACGGCTGGGATGTGATCCCTGGTGGTCCGTATCAAATCCAGGTTCCTCCGTTACCCACAGAGTTTTTGCAAGACATGGAAGTCCTCCGTCAATTTATATTCAGGTGGGTTATGAAACATGAAAATTATTCTTGTTTTTTATCCTATTCATTCTATAAACGGTATATTTATTTTTTTCATTTCCAGGGTCACTTTGCTTGGATGGATAAGCCGTCAGCAGTTTGAAGAGACTTGGATGTCCCTTCTGAGTGTTCTCAGTTCTGAGTCAAACAGTGAAGATATTCCCTCTGAGGAAATGGCTATTGAAACTGAAGCTAACAGTGTTGTAATAGAGGCAATAACAACTTTACTTCTGCAAACATTATTGTTACCTGTACCTGGAAATCCCAATATTGGTCACTATTTGCACTGCACAAGAGATACCCCCATAAAATTTTCAAGTGGAAGGTACTTGTTTGACAACAAGCTTTATGAGCTCCAACCCACAAATCAATTTGAGTGCAATTTCAAGATTAGATACTGAACATCTCCTCTTTTGTTTAGTACATTACAGAAACTTCATTCAATTCAGCAGCGTCTTGTTTGGAAAGAAGAAGGTCTTTATGGCAAGAAAGTTCATTCAGTATTTGACAGACCTAATTTAGAACACATTCATTCTTTGAAAAGGTTTGTACATGTTACTGTATACTTGATGTAATTGCGTGTATGTAATTTGTACTCTAGACACAAAATAATGCTGTTTGCTTCCAGATTTTCCTATGGCCAGGTATCTGTTGAGTATCTTCAATATGCTCTTGCGTGCTCTCAAGGGACCCCAGAAAAAGATCTCTTTTCTGAGTCTGGTAAAAAGAAAAATATTATTTGCCTCTAGAGTGACATTTTGATCTACATTTGATCTACTCAATTTTTCTTCTTCTTACTTCCAGTTGTCTCAAAGTATGAAGAGCGTTGCAAGGCTCTTCAGTCGAGTGGCATGGATGTCAACTCATGTCTCTTCTTCCTCCTTGACCTATGCACCCAATGGACGCAACCACAGGCACGTTTTAACTGTATTGTTAGGTTCGAGTCTTTTGTAATTATAACTGTTTTTAATTCTTTTTCTCATCTCAAATTTAGCTGGCTGGAATTTCAGGAGTACAGACCCGTCCTCTTCATGAAGCACTATGTGCTGTTTTGTCTGTTTCTGATCTATTTACCGAGCAGTCACAATGGCAATGGCTACTGCAGACAAGTTTAGATCTTGGGAGAAGTCAACCAGTCGAAGATGAAATTTTGTTGCAATACATAGTACTTTCCCAGTGCAAAGCCTGTGCTGTCCTCCAACCAGTAAGCAATGGTTTGTTAGAATTCTTACAGAAAATTATAGGTGTCACCTTACATGTTTTTTTTTTCTCTTTCCAATTTTAGGATGCATCAATTTATGAGCGTATCCTTCGCTCTCTAGATGGTGCTTTGCGATCTAGTTTTGTTCCAACAGTTACTGCCGCTCTTCATGGGTTATCTTATTTACTGCAAGGGGGTCTACGTGTGCAGTGTGGAAAAGAAACTTCTGTAAGATTCAAAGCTCTTTTCTTATGTATATTCAATATAGTATATAAAGAGAGGAGCTTATGAAAAAAATTTTTTTTCAGAAAAGTGACACGTCTTCTTTGCCTGAAAGTTTACAAGATCCTTCATCAACCTTGCCTGAAGTAATCAGACATGTGGTGACTTTAACATCCGAATACATTTGCAAGAAATTAGTTTCTAATTCAGTTTCAAGGTAACCAAAATAGTTGAGGAGATCTCTTTCTGATTTTTAAAATGTTTGCCAAATTCCAAATTTGTTTCTCATTTTCAGTGTAAATGAAGAACCCAACCTCATTTTGTGGTCTCTTGCCTTCTATCTTCTGGATAATTGGAGCAGGTGGAAAGTTGATACTTTAGAACAAGCAACTCCTGTCATTCTACAACAAGCTATTAGTTTGGCGCATCCTCTTAGTCGAACTTCTCCAGCTCTTCAGCGAGTTATCTCACAGGTGCTTTTTTTAAATAGTTATTTATGTGCTTTATTGTTACTTTATCTTGCTCTGGTCCCCTTGTTTTTATTTTCTTATTTATTTTAGGGGCTGGAACGCTTGGTTGTGTCTCAATCTGAGGCACTTTCGTCTCGTCTTCAAGAGCAGATAACAAAGCTTGCTGTTGAGAACCTTGCTGACCCTAATCCTGGAGTTCTGTTCCACTCATTACAACTTTTGTTATCCTGCATGTATAGGGGTAAGTCATGCAATTGACTGATGTCTGTGGAGCTTTGCTATTATGTTTTTATCTGTTCTGCAATAAATTATATTTTTTCCCTTTTTGCAGGTCATGATAGTCAAATTATGATACAAAGCAGTGATTTAAGCAAAAGTGATTCTAATGTCAACATTACTGATCCAGAACAACTTGTTCAGGCAATGGAAAAAACATCAGCGCTCTTTGACAGGTTGGGATCACTTACCTTTTGTTACTCTTACCTTCCAAGTTGCCTTTGTTTGCATATATTATGTTTGCATCTTTCAGAATAAAGAAGGGGTATCCACAGGAAGTTGAGCTAGTCTGCTCAGTCTTACCAAAATTGCTGACTGACTTCTTCCCAGCATCAGAAGTTCTGACAAAAGTGGTTGGAGAGTTTCTGTCTCAACAGCAGCCTCATCCAAGACTTCTAGCAGGAGTAGTTTTTCAGGTACTTGTGTGATCCTTTAAAAATGCACTACACAAGATAAAATATTAGCATAAAACCACCTGCAGTAATCCATCCCATTTTCTTTGTAGGTGTTTGAATGTGCAGTTGCCCAGTCTCAGCTTAGCCTGCTGCAAGAATGGCTCGTCCTATCGCTATCAAATTTCACTCAAACCTTACCTGTGCCAATGGCCACCTGGTGCCTGACCTGCTTCTTCATCAGTGCGTCTTGTAATCCATGGCTCCGAGCACTTTTCCCTCATGTGCAGTCTCGCATTGGTCGTTGTGAATTTGAGGATCGGAAGCTCCTGTGCCTCTCTGCCACAGATTTCTATCGTCAACTTACGTCTGAAAGTCAAACTCGTAAATTTATGTCAACATTCCAAGCTGCTGTTCAAAAGCAGCCAAACTCTCCTTATGCTGAGCTCCTTGCCAGCTTAAATTAGTCTGCCACTAATTGTTCTAGTGTTGGATTAGGGAATAACTAGTGATGTGAAAATACAAATATACATACATCCATATATTTTGTATCATTTTGTAGAACAGTTATATTTGTTCTCTCTGTTATTGTAACTGTGATGACAATCACCCTTTATGTAGGTCTTTATTTTAAATCCCTTGTTTGTAAATGGCAAGGTTTGATGCCAATAATTGTTATGCAGAGGAAAATATTTTATGTAGATACAGTGATGTTAAAAAGCTTGTGAATTTTAATTTTGAGATTTAAGCCATAATGAAAAGAAACTTGTTTGCTTTGAGCCTTACAAGTAGTAATCTGAAAGTCTTATGCTCTGATCAGGATTGACCAACAGACAATCCTTCTTTTTCTTTCTCCAGAAATCACAAATGTTAATCTGTAACGCTCTAATTGCTGTGATTCAAAAAATAATCTTAGTTTGTTAAAGTGTTGTTTCATTATGGTTGTGTTACTTTGTGTTACTCTGTATTATTGCGCGTGATTCTAATTTCTAATCATTACAGAAAAAGAAATGAGGAGAGTTAAAAATTTGTCTTCCCTGTGGAGCATGCATGTAGACACTAGTTTCATCAAAAGGAACATACTTCTTTTTTCAAAAGTGATGACTTAATAATGCTACAACTTTCTGATTTGCAGCAATCTCATTCATACTTCAGTAGTCTTTGGTTGTCTACAAATGTATTTTGTAAGATTATCCTGTGTTGTTTCTGCATATTAGTTCTGGTATATTAAAAAAAAAAGTTTTCATACAGTGAAGAAAATCATGCATGCTTAGGAACAAGTCTGTTCCACAAATTATGTCTTGTTTACTGTTTGTTACTCTATATTTAATTACCTCTTGGAGGTGCCTGTTCTGTGATTATCATTATAAAATAGTTCATATCAGTCAATAGGTATTTAAAGTAAGTCACAGACTTGAATGTACTTTTGTGAAAAATCATTCCAGCTCTGCCGGTACATTTCTGAAAGCTGTTGTCTAAATTTTCTCAGTCTAAATTTTCTTCATCTCCAACCCACCAGTAGAAGTCTCATAATGCTACATGGCAGGGTATTGATGAGTCAATCATAGAATAAAGAAACTAAAGAAAACAAAAGAGATATTATCTAGAGCAAGAGATTAATAACAATAAGATATTTTATAGTTATGAGGTGTGTAAAATGAATTCCAAAAATAAATTTTATTTATTAAATTTCTATGAAGTCTTTTTTATCCTTTCTGTCATTGACAAGCAGGTAGATGTTTGGTCAGAGTCACAGGATATAAAGCTCCTCCTGAGATTACTTCAATGGCTCTGGCTCCTAGCAGTGCTGCAGTGGTCTTTGGGTCCACTGTGACCATAAAAGAACTTTGATGATACACTAGTGCCACTACTGACGGCCCCCGGCACCGCCCCCGCCCCCGAAGTGGTTGCCTTCGAGGGTTCCATTGAAGCGGAGCCGAGCTCCCCCGCAGAGCCACCAGAGACCAGACATTAGTGGAGTGGACCTAACCTTGGTCCGGGGTGCCCCTTGCCCCTCGTCCTGTACAGTGTACAGGCGCTGCTTGGTTATGCATGCGAAGCGCGGCGGACTCTGGACAGGCGGGCCGGATGGCCGGACAGGAGGGCGAGGATGCGTGGCACCCCCGCCATCCGGAGGCTGTTGCTGTCCTGGAAGGATGCCCTGGAGGACATCCTGGAGCACGTCCTGGAGAGCACCCTGGAGAACATCCTGGAGAAGCAGGGCCCTGCCAACGGGGCTCTCTATTCCAGGTTCCAGGGGGAGGGAAGGCCACTTTGGTGTCCGGATTGGGAGGGAGGGACTAAACCGAAGCGCTCATTCGTCGCTTCCGATTCGCAGACTCTTTCCGGTTGCCAGTGGGCAGGATAAGAAAAGGGAGGGGGGGGGGGGTTGCCAAGTGGAAGGAATGCGCCGTGACCTCCGGAGGACCGCTGCTGACGTGCTGCCGCAAGTGAAGGTCACCCTGGTCCAGTAGACTGTTTCCGAGGGTCGTTTTCGTCGCCTTTGTCTCTCTCGCATCCATACGGGACGCTCCACGAGTGCGAGAGAGACAGAGCGATGAAAACGACTCTCGGAATCAGACTACATAGGACGGGACGGAGATGGAGACTTTCACTACCCTCAAGGGCGAGAGTTCTTGCCTCCAGAACGCCACCGTGAGAGGCGGCCGCCCGGAAACTTACAGCCCACTGCCCGCCGCGCCGCGCCGCGCCCCGCCGCGGAGACGCCGTCACTCCGACCACGCCGCTCGCCACCGCGCGGCCGCGGACGAAATCTCGAGACTTTGTGTATCCGTCTGTCGCGTTTCCTGACGTAACAAGAGATTCAATGCCGCGGTCGCGCTCCGATCTTAGATCTTGGATTCGGAAGGGAGGCCCGGCGGCCGACGCGCCAGACGTCCGGGAAGGAAAGGCAAGGAAAGGAAAGGAAAGGAAAGCCGCTCATCGAGATTCCATTCCCCCATTCCATTCTGTTTCGCGAAGGGAAGGGGCGGGTCCAGCGATGGCGTCGATGGGGGCTGCAGTCTGATTCCGAGAGTCGTTTTCGTCGCCCTGTCTCTCTCGCACTCGTGGGACGTCCGCTTCTAGGTGCGAGAGAGACAGAGCGATGAAGACGACTCTCGGAATCAGTCTGCAGAGACTGCTTACGATAATGCTCTCGCGGAGTGCGGGTTGCCTAGAGTCGACTCAGCGGGCGCCGTGGGCGCGTTGGCGGGGTGCATTCCGTGCATCCCGTTTCATTGTGTACTGGAATAAAGCAGCGCTGCAAGGCACAAGCTGGAAAGAGGCGAGGCGCTCTCTCGGCCGCTGTGGCGACGAGAGGGTGGCTGACGGTGGCTGGGCGGGTGGCGCGTCTCGGGGCTGGGTCCGGGTTGGGCGGGTTGTCGCGTTTTTGGCGTCGGGTCAGAGGGTCGGGGGGTCGGAGGGTCGGAGGGTCGTCGGGTCAGAGGGTCGGAGGGTCAGAGGGTCGGAGGGTCAGAGGGTCGGAGGGTCAGAGGGTCGGAGGGTCGGAGGGTCGGAGGGTCAGAGGGTCGGAGGGTCAGAGGGTCGGAGGGTCAGAGGGTCGGAGGGTCAGAGGGTCGGAGGGTCAGAGGGTCGGAGGGTCAGAGGGTCAGAGGGTCGGAGGGTCAGAGGGTCAGAGGGTCGGAGGGTCGGAGGGTCAGAGGGTCAGAGGGTCGGAGGGTCGGAGGGTCGGAGGGTCGGAGAGTCGGCTTGTACCGGATGGCCGCTTGCCGCGGGCTTGCCGCGGGCTTGCCGCTTGTTTGTTGCGGATCATTTGGAAGTGTGATCCCTGGGCCGCGGCCAGGCTGCGAGGCGCTGCGAGGCGCTCCGAGGCTCCGAGGCTCCGAGGCTCCGAGGCTCCGCGGGGCAGGCCTGGCAGGGCGCAGCGCAGGCCAGGACCTGCCAAGTCCTGCCAGGACGACGGGATGACCCTGGGCGATCACCCCGACCCAGCCCCCTCCCCACCCCCTCGCTGTCCCGCGACGCCAAAGACGCCTTCCCCACCTAACCCCGCCCCTTCTCCGCGTGCCCGACACTCCACCCCCTCATCCCCCCCGCATTCATGCCGTCCTCATCCTCTCCCGAAAACATTTGCAGCGCGCCGAGAGCTCGGTGGCTTCCTCTTTCCGGGGATGTTGGAAGTTGAGACGAGACGACGAGGTGGGCAGTGGGCCACGGTGGCGCGGTCACGGAACGCGGCGCTGCGGACTGAGGGTCGTATCCGTCGCTCTGTCCCGAGGGCGTCTGCACCGCCACGGCCGCCGCGCCGTCGTCGCGCGCCCGGCCCGGCTAGGTCGCGGGGCACAGGGAAGTTTGCCAAACTATGCCACTCCGTCGCGAACCGCGTAACGGTGCAAGGCGTGCGAACCGAGGTGCGAGCTGAGAGGCCGAGAGGTGGGGCGGCCCGGGCGGCCTAGGTCTGGTCCACGACCCCGCGCCACCGAGAGGGCCTCATCCCTCCACCTCGCCGGCGAGGCCTGCGCGGGGCCGCACGTGCCAACTGTCGGCACAATGGCGGAGCACGGAGGAAGAAGCACTCCACGACCCGGCCGACAGTGGGCCAGAAGACCGGTGGCGGCGGTCAAAATCCCGGACACGTTTTGAGCTGCAGAGTCGCTAATTGGGACTGGAACCGAACGTGTGACCCCACCAATGGATTGCTCTCCGAACGAGGAGACCATTGGTGGGGTCACACGCTCGGTTCGAGTCCTGTTGAGCGACTCTACAGCTCAAAACGCGGCCCACGGTGAACCCCACAGCGATCGCCAAGAGTTTTGGAAGGGTCGGTCCAATCATTGAGTCGACTGAAGTGAAGGTGTCTTGACCTTGTTCAGTGCGCGGTGCTGCCGCGACGCGGCGTGCACCGGCATAAGCAACATGACGACAAACATGAGCCCCCGGGACGCAGGGCGGGGCGCGAGGGGCGCACTGTGTCGGTCAGCTTATTCATGGATTCGTCTTGGATGGGCTTCTTCCTCTCGCCCTCTCTCTCTCTTTCTCTCGCTCCCTCGACGAGTGCGTCTCGGCATAATGGCTTAATCCCGCGCGCCAGCCCCCCGGCAACAAGCAGCCGCCACCGCCTTCCCTTCCCGCGGACGTTCGCGGAGCCTCTGTGGCGTAGCACAACCAGCACAGCCAGCACAGCCAGCACAGCCAGCACGCCGTCAGTCCAAGGGTTTGCCGGACTGCAGAATGATTCCGCACTCCGCACAGCATTTCCTAGCTGTGTCTCTCTCACACCCATACGGGACGCTCCATGAGTGCGAGAGAGACTCAGCGGCCCGGATGACCCTGCCCTGCTGAACCGCGGCGCCCCGCGCACGTCCGCCCCGTCCCCGTCCACGCCGCCGTCCACGCGCCGCGACGAGCCTCCCGGGAGTCCCGGTGTCGCTTGGTCCTGCTTGGTCCCTTGGGTGTCGAGGCCAAGGTTGCGCTCGACGCCACGACAACAACGACGCCCGTTCCGCTGCCTCTCTCGCACCCACATGGGACGCCCCACGAGTGCGAGAGAGACAGAGCACCGGCCTGCACGTCCTGCGTGGCGCTCGGCGAGCCACGCGCCGCGCTCTGCCCCTTCCTTCCGGGTGGCGCGTTTTGGCGCGGCGGCGGGGCGGGGCGGGGCGGGGCGGGGCGGGGCGGGGCGGGGCGGGGCGGGGCGGGGCGGGGCGGGGCGGGGCGGGGCGGGGCGGGGCGGGCCGTGGCGCCCCGCTAACCCTATAATATGGTGCCCCCGCGGTCAGCAGCGCACGGCGCTTGGTGGCCCTTGGCGGCGCCTGGCGACCCCGGTGCCTCCCCCACCCCACCCCGTGTCCCGGACTCGCTGCGGACTGCTGTGGCGGAATGCATTAGTGAATCTGCGGCGCGGCACGGCACGCTACGAGTTGAGGAAGTTGGGTGCTGCCGCTGGCCACACGCGCACAGCCAGTGAAGTGCCTCCCCAGGCAGACTTATTCTGAGAGTCGCTCTCGTCGCTGTCTCTCTCTTGCACTCGGAGGGTGCCCCGTACAGGCGCGAGGGAGACAGCCTAGTTTGTGTTGCTCCACCCCAATCACGCCTCCGCCGCGCGAGGGAGGTTGCACTGGCGTTGACTAGCGTGCTGTGTCCTGGCGAACAAGATGAAAAGCAGTCTGCAGTGCCTTGCACCGAGTGCCGAGTCCCAGGGCGCGGCGTCCTAGATGCAGTGATTTGTTGTTGTCCGTTGGCGATGACGCTGGCGATGACGGTGGTGGCGGCTGGCCCAAATGGGGCGCACGGACGCCGATCAGGCACCAGCCCCGTGGCCAAGCAGGCCGGGCAGGCCGTGACGTCGTCGGCACCCTGGATGCAAGCCATGCAAGCGCAAGCAGGCCACGCCGCCACGCCGCCACGCGAGATGACGATAGACTTTCCCTCCCCGATCCGGACAGTTCTGGCGCTTTCTGCCTCCGCCCGCCCCCCTCTGCCCCCGGCCCTGCCCCCGGCCCTGCCCCCGGCCCTGCCCCCGGCCCTGCCCCCGGCCCTGCCCCCGGCCCTGCGTCGGCCCTTGCCCCCAATCGGGTCATCGGCCGGGTCACGGCGTGGCCAGCAGCCCGCCGGGACACTAGGACCACCAGGACCGCCGCCCAAGCGGCAGGGTGTTTGTTTTGCGTTTCCAGGGAAGCAAGAAAGCAGCCGGTCCAGTTCAGTTCCTAGTAGAGTGGTAAACACGCCCCCCCCCCCGGCCTCCCCGGCCGGCGCGATGCAAATTCAGCCCCCTCCCCCTCTCCCCGCCCTGCTTTCCCCGGGCCCGAGGGGAGGGAGGGGGGGGGGAGGGGGTATTTCGCTGCGCCCGTCTGTTTCCCTCGTTGTCGTGGGATGGGATGCCAGGCCGACCAGGCCGGCCAGGCCAGGGGTCACCTCATAAATAAGTCGGGCGAATCTAACGGTAAATCGGCACAGATAAAAGTCCCATGGTGACTGCGACTTTGCGACCATGTCATTACTTTTCCACGCCGGCGATGGTTGACGTTTTTTTGCGGTGTCATCGGTGGAATTCGGTTTTTAAGTAAAACTATTAGCTGCGAGGCGAGACGCCTGTGAGGCGGGCCGTGCCGCCGAACAGCAAAGCATTGCAGGACTGCCTACCTGGACTTTGCCAGGCGCTACGGTGGCGCAGACACTTCGGACACTTCACTGAAACAAAAGCAGAGGAGGAGTTTCATCACCCAACATGTCTAGGAACTTTTTTTCTCTCTTTGCGACGTCGAAACAAGTACTGGCTTAGCATTAAAACTGTTTTCTTTTCTGCTTGTCTCCGCCTTGAGATATAGTCGACAGGTGGCAGGGGGCCCTAGGGGGGCGGGGGGCGGGCGAGGGGCACAAGAGGTGCCTGGACGAACCCACACAGGACACTCATGCATAGATTGTCTGTGAGCGATAGAAGTGAGCAGACGCGTCCCTGCTCTGGCTAGTGTCTCGGTAGATCACCCCTCCCCCTTCCCCCTCCCCCCTCCGTCGCTTTGCACGAGACCCAAGGGGTCAAAGCAAGGGCTGGGACACCGGAACTTTCCGCGAAGAAAACATACCCTTTTTCTCGTGTGTCTCAGGAACGTTATATTTTTTGTTTTTCTTTTTGATGTGTTGCCTTTTTGGGAATGGCAAGAATCTCAGCCTTCCATGCTCTTTTGTCAACATTAGACTTGGTGGACCGCTCTGTAAAATCCTCATCGCTCTGCGCCTGGTCGTACATTGTCAGCGTCCCTCCGAAGTAAAAGTCTGGGAAATTAAAAAAAAAGACTAGTTGTTGTTGAGGAATATTTTGAAAATCAATCTTAAATTCAACGACTGCGATTCACCCGGCCGGCCGGCCAGGGAGAACGTGGCGAAACGAGACACAAGGATGAGTTGTCTCATAAATGTTCCATTTCGAAATGGATTCCGGACTGAACGTGATTGATCGGCTGGGGCGCGTCTCGTGCGTCATTCAGCCATTCAGCACGCGGTCCCAAAATCTTTCGGTTTTTTCTTTTTTTTTTTTGCGCCCGTTCAAAACTAAGTAGGAGTCGTCTGCTTTCCGAATCCCGAATGGCGAATGGGAGATGTGGCGGACGGACACGTGCGTACACGTGCTTTGCCCGTCCTTGTCCGCCCGTACTCCGTAGTGTACAGTGTACAAGGAAACGCCGTGGATGAACCCACACTGTCCGAGAGTCTCTCTCGCACTCACGGGGCGTTCCCTAAAGGTGCGAGAGAGACAGAGCGACGAAAACGACGCTCAGTCTGCAGGCAAAGGTAGGTCAAGCTGATGGATACGACCTGACCCGGTCGGGGCCGGCCGGCCTGCGACTGCCTGCGACACGCCGGCAACTATGACGGTGTTGGCAACACTGTCGTGCAGATTGCAGAATGCAACCGAATGCATCGGTGCCACGGCATTTCCATGGAGCCGCGGCAAAACGAACCCGAACGCGAGCGTGGAGCACTACTACTTTGTCCCCCTTCTCGACACTCTCGCAGAACTCTTCAGAATACTGACCCAGACACTGCTTCAGCGCTTCAGCGTGCCACGTGCTTACGAAGCAGCCAAACCCTTGCCAGGTTCAAGCAGAGTAAGCACGTACCACCAACAAAAGTACACCGAAAAAACATTAAAATTGAAAAATGGGTCTTGGTCCTTGGTTGCGTCTCGTCGCTATGATTCGAATTCGCGTCATTTCAGTTTCGAAGCGGTTTATGACGTTTGCAGAGCCGTCTGAATGCTGTATCGGAAGTCGGAGGATGGATTGGTGTCTGGACCGCCCTGCCCTGCCGGGTTTGACTTGACATACAGTACGGGGTGCGGGGCGTGGCGGGGCGGGGCGGGGCATGGCGGGGCGGGGCGGGGCATGGCGGGGCGGGGCGGGGCATGGCGGGGCGGGGCATGGCGGGGCATGGCGGGGCAGGGCGCGCAGTGCAGAGCGCGCTTGGCGGCCAAGGCCAGCCAGGCCGAAACGGGGACCCCGCTCGACCAGCTCGACACAGCCAGCGCGTGGCGGGGAAGACACTTCCGGCTTGACTTTCCGGCTTTACTCTTCCAGCTTGACACTTCCGCCTTGACACTTCTGTTGATTGGCATTTCCGGCTTGACTAGACACTCCCGGCTTGGCACTTCCGGGTTAACAATCCCGTCTTGGCACTTCCGGCTGGACACTTCTGGCTTGGCACTTTAAGCTTTGACACCTCGGACTTGACACTTCCCCCTTGGCTGCTACCCATGGGGCGTGGGGTATCGCCGCTGCACGCGCCCAACCCCGTGCACTCCAATGCACCCCTTCCCCTTGCACCCCGATGCACCCCCATGCACCCCGATGCACCCCCATGCCGGCGTGGCGGGCGTGGCTCTGACTCGCAGGCCAGTCCGCCCGTTGCTACCATTGCCCATTCATAATGGATCAGCACTGCCCTGCCCTGCCCTGTCCTGCGCCGCCCTCCCTTGCCCTCCCTTGCCGTGCCTTGCCCCCTGCCCCCTGGCTGGCTGGCCGGCCGGCCGGAGGGCCCAGGACCGAGGCAGGACCGCCTATATAACACCGCTCGCCCCCGGGCAGCCGCGCAGAGCTTGAGAAAGCCTCTAGCTGTCCAGAACTCCTGGCACCGCAGAGATTCTCATACCTCTCGCTCAGCTCACACACAAAAAAAATCACAAACATCTCGGACTAACACCACAAGCAAAATTCACCCACACAAACAACCGAAACTCGCCCTAAAGAAGACCGAAACCAACTCATCGAACGAAGATATCAATCAAGAAACAACAACAGTGGTTCCCAAAGTGTGCTGATAAGAAAATTTCCCCCTTATTTCTCCGTGTCAAAGAAAGTCAAATTCACATCGAAATGGAGTCCCTGTTCGCCGTGAGCGCCTCCACCTCCCTCCTGCTGTGCGCCGCCGTCGTGGTGGTCGCCCTGTTCCTGGCCGACCGTGCGCGCCAGGCGCGCGCCGCCGCCAAGGCGAAGCTCCTCGAGGCGGAGTACGGCGACGAGCTGCAGCCGCCACCGGGCCCCCACGCCTGGCCCGTCATCGGCAACCTCCACCTGCTGGCCGGGTACGCCGTGCCCTACCAGGCGTTCGGCGACCTGGCCCAGCGCTACGGCAGCGTGTTCAAGCTGAGCCTCGGCAGCGTGCCCTGCGTCGTCGTCAACGGCCTGGCCAACATCAAGGAGGTCCTCGTCGCCAAGGGCGCCCAGTTCGACGGCCGCCCCAACTTCCGCCGCTACCACGAGCTCTTCTGCGGCGACAAGGAGAACTGTGAGTTGACTCGCTCTACTGCATCCGCCGAAAAGGGGGAGGGGGGTTTCGGTTTCGGTTTGGGCCACTGGGGCCACTGGGGTCCGCTTGCACGTTGCACACGTTGCACGTTGGCTCCTCGCCCCACCCCGCCAACGCCCCGCTCCGCTGGCTGGAGTCACGCGGTGGTGGCTGGGCTGACACACTTTGCATGACCTGCTCCCGAATCGAATCGAACCTAATGGAACCAAATGGAGTCGATTCCATGCCCATTGGCATGGCCATTGGCATGGCCATTGGCATGGCATCGCGTATGACCGGAGTGTCACAACGCGGACGGACGGGGCGCGGCTGTCTCACTCACTCAGACACGGCCCGCCGCATCGCGTTAGCGCGCCGCGCCCAGCAAGCAAAGCGCGCGAGAGATGGCATCTTAGCAGCCGTCTGATTCCGAACACTGCTTCTCGTAACCGCGCAAAAGCAAGCGCTTGTTCCATACAGACGGCCGAACATCTAGCGGCTGCCACAGCAAAAAAAATCGCTCAAAAAAATGATGGCGGTGCCGGGACTCGAAGGTGGTCAACAGTTCTTGTAGGTCCAATGGCTATGAAGCCAACAGTTCGAGGACAAGTGGCTTTGGTCGCGGCAAGCTATCAGTTCCGAGCCAGAACGGTCCATTGCAGACCTCTGCTCTGGCCCACTGTGCGAAACGGGCCGCGCGTAAAGGCAAACATGGCGACGTGTTGCAGCGCTGGCGTTCTGCGACTGGTCCTCGGTGCAGAAGGCGCGTCGCGAGATGCTGCGCGCGCACACCTTCCCGCGCGCCATGTCCTCGCGCTGGACGCAGCTGGACTCGCTGCTGGCCACCGAGTTGGACGCGGTGCGCGGCTCGCTGGCCGCGGCCGGCCCCGGCGCCGCCGTCGAGGCCAAGCCCCTGCTGCTCGCCGCCTGCGCCAACGTCTTCACGTCCTACTTCTGCACCAAGCGCTTCCAGCCCGACAACGCCAACTTCCAGAACCTCGTGCGCAACTTCGACCGCATCTTCTACGAGGTGAACCAGGTCAGTGTCTGGCGTACTACTGTACAAGGGCGACAGGGGCGGATCCAGATCCAGTCGCAAACGTCGCAAAGGTTGTCCCGCCTGACTCCGTACCCCTTCCAGGGCTACGCCGCCGACTTCCTTCCCTGGCTGCTGCCCCTGCACTCCCGCCACCTGTCCCAGCTGTCCGGCTGGAGCCACAAGATCCGCGACTTCATGACGGAGTGCATCGTCCAGGACCGCCTGGACTCGTGGGAGCAGGCGCGCGTCCCGGAGCACGACCAGGACTACGTGGACGAGCTGATCGGCCACGTGCGCGGCAACGCCGAGCCCGCCATGACCTGGGACACGGCCATGTTCGCGCTGGAGGACATCGTGGGCGGCCACTCGGCCGTCGGCAACCTGCTGGTCAAGGTGAGTGGTGGCAGGTTCGTCTGGGTGCACAGCCCGGCGCTTCACAGCCCCGGCGCTTCACAGCCCCGGCGCTTCACAGCCCCACCCACACCAATCCTCCAAATCCCTGCAGCGCGCCCTCGCTCACGAACCACCCGCATGGCGCATTTCCCGCTGCGGCTTCGGCCTCGCTCTCGTTCTGGGTTCGAACCCCCGCCGCGCTAAACACACAGCCGGGCGAGCCGGGCGAGTGGCGAGTGAGGCCGAGGGAGGGTGGGCAGCAGGGTGATTCCGCGCAGTGCGGTCGTCGGTGTGTCTCTCTCGCGCCTTTGAGACGACGAGACCCACGAGGGCGAGAGAGATAGACCGACGGCCGCACTGCAGTTCCGGATGCAACACCGTCGGCGGAATCGACGGCGTCGCGACCTGACCACCGTGTGCTCGCAGGTGCTGGCGTACGTGGCGACCCACCCCGAGGTCCAGGACCGCGTCCACGAGGAGGCCGTGCGCGCCGGCGTGTCGCCCGGCAAGGGCGTCACCCTGGCGGACCGCACGCTCATGCCGTACACCGAGGGCGTCATCCTGGAGTCAATCCGCCTGATCGCGTCGCCCATCGTGCCGCACGTCGCCAACCAGGACGCCAGCATTGCCGGTAAGGGGAGCGAAACGACGAAAACGGTGGCACGGCACGCCTGCAACCTGCAGGTGGTGAGGTTCCCAGAGGGCCGGGACGCGCGCCCACAGTGGGCCAGAAGTCCGGCGCAGGCGGACAAAAACTCTACACGCGTTTTGAGCTCCAGGGTCGCTGAGTAGGACTCAAGCCGAACGTGTGACCCCACCAATGGTTTCCTCATTCGGAGGGCAATCCATCGGTGGGGTCACACGGGTGGTTTGAGTCCCATTTAGCGACTCTGGAGCTCAAAACGCGTCCGGGACCTTGACCGCCTCCACTGGTCGTCTGGTCCACTGTGGAGCCGTGCCGTCGTCGGCGTCCTCGTCGCCTCGCGCATGCTCACGCCCGCGCCTTGTTCCGCAGGACACAAAGTGGAGAAGGACACCCTCATCTTCCTCAACAACTACGAGCTCAACATGTCACCTGCGCTGTGGGACAAGCCCGAGGACTTCATGCCCGAGCGCTTCGTGTCCCCCGAGGGCCGCCTGTCCAAGCCCGAGCACTTCCTGCCCTTCGGCGGCGGCCGCCGGTCCTGCATGGGCTACAAGATGGTGCAGTACGTGTCCTTCGCCACGGTCGCCAACCTCCTCAACGAGTACAGAATCCTACCAGTGCAGGGCCGCGACTACACCGTGCCCATCGGCAACCTCGCCCTGCCCTGGGACTCGTTCCAGTTCCACTTCGAGCGGCGGTAGTTCCGTTTAGGCCTTTATTTAATGCAAATTCAAATAGCGAGGAGGGGAATTAATTTATGAATTGAGGGGAGAAGGACTTCTTCGGAGAAGTTCGCCATGCCACAGAAGTACTGGTCTTTTTCCTTTTTTAATTTTCACATCAGTGTTATTTTCCATGATTTGAATTAATCACTGGCAGCCAGGTTGCCCGCGAGTAACGAATTTAACCGGTGTATAATCAAACACAATTGGCGACTGGTCTGTATAAGTTCGCGCCAGTCATTATTATTTCGTTTTGTTTCCTTCAGTTGAAGTTGTTATTTATTTCTCGTAAACAGTTGGGCTGCGACAGGATGAAGTCTCTGCCTTGCAGTGTGGAGAGGCCTTTTGAAAAAGTGTCATGAAAAATTGGTTCAAATGTTTATCCATTATGGGCAAAAAAATATCTATACAGAAGCAAAAGTTGGGGCTAAAAAAAAATAATTTGTTTTGGTAGGGAGGGGAAGGGAGGGACTCTTGGGCGCTATCAGGCGTTCTCAAGCTCTTTTTTAATCGGAAGGTTCCGTCAAATTTCAGACAACCTTTATGTTGTCCTACTCAACCCGAAGGGGAACCAGCTTCGGCTTTTTCGGCACGAGGTCAAAATTCGACATGCGTAGTGGAATGGCATGTACCGGACTGACAAGGGGAGACGGTAGGGTCGTAATTTGAAAGGCCCGAAGTCGGTGGTAAATGGTATCGATCCCCGATTGACTGAATAAGACATTCTTGGACTGCTTGTTGAGGCTGACAACGATTGCCAAAGATAATGACCATCTGGACGTTGAGAAAGTATCGGAAATAATGTTGTAAATTAAAAATTTATGCTCTCACAACTCCAGTTTTTTTTTTTGTAAAAGGTATTTTTCATTGATGTTCTGTTGAGCAAGTGACGCGTCAAACGAGAACAAGCGTGCCACAGACCGTGCACACAATCGAGTCTTTTTTTATATCTCGTAACATATTAGTATTTATTTTGAAATCGCTGTTGGACTTATAACGGCGTATCAATCTGACAAGCAACAAAAGGCAGGAACTGAATTGAGCCTTTACGGAAAAGTTGAATTAAAGTCAAACAGCTCCATCAATATTTTAGTGAAAAACAAAATGATTCTTTCCTTGTTTGTAGATTTCCGACAACAACTTGTTTTGGCTCATTGTAACAAAACTCTCATTTTAAGAAAGGTTTGAAATGAAAATTCTCTGTTTTGCAACTCCGCTGGAGTTTTGCGTGTATCAATACACGGAGTGCTTCCTTCAGAGCATTATGACTACATGTGACGGAGGTCCGTCGGCCTCGCAAACCATATTGCGCTACGAATAAAGATATTGAATATACTTTGTGGTATTTCTCTCGCGTCGCACTTTTCCCTTCCACCAATGCACGAATGCCAACGGCAGAAACGATGTACTTCTTCTTTATCCCAAAATACAATGAAACCAAAACCAGGCGGCGTTTTTAATAATTCTTTTTACCCCCAACGACGCGTTGCATGCAAACGTGTTTTTCCCTGGGCGGGCGGGCCGTCCTTTCCCGTGCCGTCCCGTCCGCGAGGCCGCGGCAGGCCGGGGTGGTTGGACTGGTTGGACCGATCCTGCTTAGGCAGCTGCTTCCTTTCCCAGTGGCCCCGGTCTCCTCGGCCTGCCTCGGCCCCAGTGCCCCTCCCTCGCCTCCCTCCCCGACCGCCATTTTGCGCCCCGCGACTATTGATCCGTCAGGTGCGGACCTTCCCACCACGCCCCACCGCGCCCCACCACCGCGCCCCACCACCGCGCCCCACCACCGCGCCCCACTGCGCCCCACCGCGCCCCACCGAGGTACGCGGTTGCAAACGACGCGCATTCTGTTATCGTTTGTTGTTTTGAATTATTGTGTCGGGTTCGTGTGGCATCCGTGTGGCGAGGGCGTGGCGACAGCGTTGCAAGCACGGCAAGACCGCTGGAGGCGCGGCCAAAACTCTAGACGCGTTTTGATCTGCAGAGTAGCTGATACGGACTTGAATCGAACGTGTGACCCCACCAATGGATTCCCCGCTCTGAGAGCAATCCATTGGTGGGGTCACACGTTCGGCTGGAGCTCAAAACGCGTCCGGGATTTTGGCCGCCTCCGCCGGTCTCCTGGCCCACTGTGCAGCGTAGCGCAGTCGCTGCTTGTCCCGCGCCGCCGCGCTGCCCGCCGCCAGTGCGCCTAATGAAGGCGGGGTAGGCAAGCCCGCCGAACGGCCCTGCGGCACGGGACAGGCTGCCCACCGGGCGCTTGGCGCTCGCCCGCGCTCGCCGGCCCGAAGAGACCGGGCGAAAACAAGTGACGACGAGCGGGCAGATAGACGCACGGACACACGGACGGACAGACAGACAGACAGACAGACAGACAGACAGACAGACAGACAGACAGACAGACAGACAGACAGACAGACAGACAGACAGACAGACAGACAGACAGACAGACAGACAGACAGACAGACAGACAGACAGACAGACAGACAGACAGACAGACAGACAGACAGACAGACAGACAGACAGACGGACGGAGGGTATGGGGGTAGGGAAGGCGGAAGAGGGATGAGAAGATGGGACCGGTCACGCTCCGGAGCGCAACTCATCAGCACACCTGACTAGAGCGTCATTTCGGTCATTTCGCCGCTCCCCTCCCCCTTCCAGTGGTGCAGTATTGCTGTCACCCCCCGGCAGAGAGCGCTGGGGTGGCGGGATGGCGGCGGGCCGGGGCAGCTCGGTGGCGGCGCGGCTCGGGGTGCACACTGCGCGCAGCCCGCTGGCTGGCTGAGGGGTGGCTCTGCCTCTAGCTGCGCCTCTAGCTCTGCCTGCCCTGCTCGCCCTGCTCCAGTCGTCCCTCTGCTCGTGCGCGCGTTCGCCGCTCTGCCGCCGAGGCCTGGCCGAGGCCATGCGGCACTGCCGTCCGCGGCCGCCACGTAGACAGCCTGCTCGCCGTCCTCGCCGCCCTCGCCGCCGGCAGCGAGCGGACACCGCGTAGCACGGCGTAGGCCGTCCCGGCACGACCACGGGCAGCACCGCCTTCGCCACCATGTTCAGCCTGGACGGCTACGGCACGCTCGGGGACAGCTGCTCCTCGCACGGCGAGGACCTCTGGCTGGACGACGACGACAGCAGCCACAGCGAGGACGCCTTCAGCGACCAGGTCAGCAGCCACACCCGAAAAAGTAGCTTCTTGAACCCAGGGGAATTTACTTGGGCGTAGCGAGTAAATTCACCTGTTGTCAGTCAATATTTCTTGGTTGAAGAAGCTACTTTTTTGGGTGTCACTACGTCCGAAATAATGTGACCTTCACTGAGGCTATCTTGCCGAGGTCCAAATGAGCAATCCATTTGGTGGGGTCTCGGTTCGAGTCCTGTTCAGCGACTCTGGAGCTCAAAACTCGTCTAGAATTTTGACCGCCTCTACCGGTCTATGGCCCACTGGCGAGCGCACTGGGCATTGCCAGGCATTGCGATGCCGGAGTCTGGGTCACTTCCGAATTTCGGCAGATCGCGCGTCACGCTGACGAAAATAACGCAGCCCGCCATTGCGCGGCAAGGTGAATGTCGCCGGCCGATTGCACACACACACAGACACACAGACGTGCTCACAGACGCACACAAAGACGCACACAGACACACAGACAAGCGTGCGGCCCACCGAAATACATCGCGCCCCTCGCATTTGAATTCCCGAGAGTGATGTCTCGGAGACGCAAGTGCATACATTGGTGGCCGCCAACGCTCCAACGCGCCGACGCCCCACCGGGAGCTCGTTTTGTGAGTGAAAGACAAAGACGTGCGCGCTGCGCGATGGCCACGTGACGGCGGCGTCCTGTTTCAACGAGAGAGGAAGACAGTGGAGTGTCCAACCTTGCCAGCACTTCTAAATGCCCAGTCTCGCCAAGAAATTTCCAATCATGCGAATTAAATGAAAGCGCAATACAGTGGCGGATCCAGAGTCAGCCCAAGGGGGGGGGGGCAGAGCAGCACTTTTTGCCTACTTACAGGGGCAAATTGGTGCTTTTTGCCTACCTTTCAGGCGGCTATCTAGGGGTCAAGGTGGGGGCAATTGTCCTTTTGCCCCCCCCCCCCCCCCCGGATCCGCGCTTGGCGCAATAAGGGTAATGTTACTTTTCCCCCGAAGCTTTTCCTGTGTATCTTACAATGAAAATCCCCCCCAAAAAGATTCCCAATATTGAGGAATTTTCGAGGGGTGACCCACTGTAAAATTTTGTGTACAATGATTGTGTGAATGTTCAAGAATGTGCAAGATTTCAGGCGTTTTTGACACACATGTTGCCTACTTACAGGCGTTTTTGCCACCTGAATGTGGAATGTGGTCAAATTTTGTACAACGAATGTGGGAAGCTGTTCCCCCCTCGGGAATTTTGCTTCGTCTCATGGTTGCGCCGAATCCACAGCAACATGCGGGTAGCTCAAATTTAATCGTGTGTTAGACATTCACAGTGTGTGCTCGGCGGGCGCGTCCCGGGTTCGAGTCCCACCCGCGGCGGCAATGTCCCTCCGTCTTCGTCGCGATGACACGCGCATTTCGCGTCTAAATAGTCCGTGAATGCGCTCGTAATGAGTGCGAGGAGGTGCGCGGCGGACCGCGACGAGAAGGGGGGGGGGAGGCAGGGGTAGGGAGAGAGGGGGAAAGGGAGGGGGGCAATTGTTACAAATGAGGCGAGAAGAGCATCGAACACTGGACCTGCCGGCTGTGTTTCGAATTTCACCCCAAGGGGCCGACCTGGCTGATGCCTGGGGCCTCTCACAGTGGGCCAGATAAGAAGACCGGTGGAGGCGATCAAAATCTCGGAGGGGTTTAGAGCTCTAGAGTCGCTAAATGGGACTCAAACCGAGCGTGTGACCCCACCAATGGATTGCTCTTCGAACGAGGAATCCATTGATGGGGTCACACGTTTGGTTCGAGTCCTGTTTAGCGACTCAAAACGCGTTTATACTTTTGGCCACCTCCAACGGTCATCTGGCCCACTGTGATGCGGCCCCTGCGGCCCCTGCGGCCCCCGCGGCCCCTGCGGCCCCTGCGGCCGGCCCCGCCCGCGTGTCCTTATCACCGTCGTCGCATCGCGCTCCGAGAGTCAACGAAATCGAAGCAACTCTCCAACTCAAACTCCGACTCCATTTTCAGTTGGGTGTTTTCCGTTTCAGGAGAACCGGCGCGGGCGCGGCAGCAGCGGCGGCCGTCGGCGCAGCTCGTCGCAGCAGGCGTCGCAGCGTCAGGCCGCCAACCTGCGCGAGCGGCGCCGCATGCAGAGCATCAACTCGGCCTTCGAGGGGCTGCGCGCGCACATCCCCACGCTGCCCTACGAGAAGCGCCTCTCCAAGGTGGACACGCTCAAGCTGGCCATCGGCTACATCGGCTTCCTCGGCGACCTGGTGCGCGAGCGGGACCGCGCCGCCGGCCAGGGCGTCGCCAGGGTGGGCAAGGGCTCCAAGCCGTCGCCGCCGCCGCAGCCGAAGGTCATCCTCAGGAGTGAGTGCAATGTCTTCTTCGCGTGCGTACGTACCGAGGGGTTACCCACTGGTTAATTTTGGTGAACTCAGTACATCTCACGAGAAAAGTGACGGTTTTCGAAGACCTTTCTTTGCTTTCGAGTGCCTTGTACGTTTTGTAATCACTACCATAGAATGGCTATGTCTGTCCATTGCAATTTTAAATATTTTCGATAAAATTTTAAAAAAGTTACGATTGATTCCCGGACTAAGCCTACTGTACAGTGAGTGTACACATGATTCCCCGAGTGGGTAACCAACGCTCGGTGCGTACCGTTGGGCCGCACAGTGGGCCAGACGACCGGTTGGAGGCGGTCAAAATCCCTGACGCGTTTTGAGCTCCAGCGTCGCTGAACAGGACTCGAACCGAACGTGTGACCCCACCAACTGATTGCTCTCCGAACGCGGAATTGGGGTCACACGCTCGGTTCGAGTCCTGTTTAGCGACTCTGGAGCTCAAAACGCGCCTCGAGTTTTGTCCGCCTACACCGGTCTTCTAGCCCACTGTGGGGCGGTGGAGGCGGTGTTGCGACGCTGACCGACGCGCTCTCTGCTTTGCTCTGCTTGCAGCCAGCCACGGCTCAGTGCACACGGCGCACTCGCTGTCGTGGTCCACGGACAAGAAGACGTGCACCAACGGGGTCATGTACGCCAAGGTGTGGACGCCGCAGGACCCGCGCGCGGCCGGCAACCCGTGCGGCACCGAGTCGCCGTCGGGGCCGCACATGCAGCACGACCAGGGCCCCTACGGCATGGACTAGGCCAGCGGGGCCTACTTGGCCTCGCCGGCGGGCGGGCAGCGCCGGCGAACACCTGCAGGAGGCGTAGCGCTGTCCGAACGTCGCCGCGCCGCCCTCGGGGGCCGCGCCTCCGCGTAGCCCCGCCCGGCCCACCCCAGCCACCCCCAGCAGGCCCCGCCCACCGCCACCGCCACCGCGGCGCCGCGACGCCGCCATGCTGCAAGGCGGTCGCCGGCAGAGCGCTGCGACGATCTTCCACGAGAAACGAAATCAGTGGCTCTCTTTCTAGGACGCTGATGACAAGTGTGGGCTAGGCAGAGAAGGACAGACAAGCACTCGGCTGGTGCGAAAATATAGAGGCAATTTCTGTGATAAAGAGAATCAATTTGACGTAGAGTAAGGTACGCCTAGGTATGCGACAGATTCGCTGGGCTTCAGGCCCGACATGTGCACGTGATTGCGGAGCTACGGCACACACATACACTGGGCGGTGTTAGTTCATCGTGTGTCGTGCAGTTACAGTGGCGAATCTTTCAGCGCTTCAACATGTTGTTTTCTGTCTCTGAATTGAACATTCCTTCCATAAGTTAACGAACTTGTTTATTTTATTTGTTTTTATTTTTTGAACAATAAGTGACAATCTACCAGCTGTTCTAGTCACTTTGAATGAACATTGTCATACGGATCTAGTCATGATCTTTCGGATCTTAGTGATACTCACACTATCGCATGTTGCCATACTCTCTTTTTTGTTATTATTTTTAAATTTAGATTATTTTTGTTTCTCGCAACGAGTTGGTCCTCACCAAAGTAGCAGAACAACAACCCATTTACTAGATGGCGCCAAACTGTTAATTTTCAATTTTGTGTTTTGTTTGAAACTATAATAAATTAGCTCATAAATGTTATTCAACGCCGCATTTCCATTCAATTCTAATTTACAATAATTTTTTTTTCACGGCTTTGTGCCACCGGCGGTGGCGTCCGTTACCCGAACCGTATATGACGTATCCATGTGTGTATCGCGCTGGATTACCGAACCCCCCCCCCCTCTCCCCTCCCCTTCCCCTGGGCGTCGCGGTGGTCCGCCAGGCTCTTTCTTTCCCAGCGCTAATCCCGGTCGAGGGCCACGCGGCCGCGCAGCCGCAGGGGGGTCCACCCCTCCGCAGCGCTGCGCAGTGCCTCGCAGTGCTCCGCAGTCATCACACCCCATTCGCGCTCCATTAAAGCGCCATTCCCGCGTGTTTATACAGTTGTCGGCCTGCCCGAGCGCTTCCGCACGACGCCGCCGTCGTCCCGTCTCTCTCGCGCTCGTCTCGCGAGCGCGAGAGAGAGAGAGAGAGAGAGACGGAGCGACGGAGCGCTTGTTCGGAGTCAGCGTACAAAAGGAGGGCAAACACGTGCCGAGGCGTGCAAAAGACACGGCGGCGGACTCGGCGCGGGACTCGCTGGACGGACAGGCACTTCTCCGCCTCGCCGGGGCGCTGCGCGCTGCGCTTCGCATGGGGGTGGGCCGCGGACGCCGCCGCCAATTCGTTTCGTTGATTGTTTCTGCCGCTCGCCGTGACTAGCGGTGCCGGCGGTGCCAGTCCTCCGCGGCCGCGGCCTCGGCCACCACCTGGCGTGCCATCCGCGTGCTGGCCGCCGGGGCGGCGAGGCAGGCGAGGCCCGCGGGGTGCTTGACGTGGCGGGGCGAGGCGATGCGCACACATGTGATGCTCCTGACCTCCCCCACCCCTGTCGCCTGCCACCTGAACTTTAAACTTCCCCCTCACGCACCCTGGCCCTTTAAACCCGGACAGCCGGACGTCGGACGTCGTCGGGGAGGTCCCCCCCCCTTTCCCCCTTCTGCTTATTACCGCCATACAGGACGCGTTAAATAATTGAGTGGTCTGGAAGTGGTTTTGACGACGCACCTGCAGCTAGCCCGGTGCTTACCGATTCCCCGCACCCCGCCTTGGTCTGCCTTATCCACCGCCCGGCCCGGCCCCGCCCCGCCCCGCCCCGCCCCGGCCCGCCCCGGCCCGCCCCGGCCCGCCCCGGCCCGCCCCGGCCCGCCCCGGCCCGCCCCGCCCCGCCCCGCCTCGCCCCGCCCCGCCCCGCCCCGCCCCGCCCCGTCCCGCCCCGCCCCGCCCCGCCCGTGCTGCACCTGCGGACTGTCGCTGGGCTGTGGCGCGGTGTGGCACGGCACCTGCATGTGCCACGCGGCCACGCGTGTGCAGTGCTTTCAGTGGCGGTCGCCGCACTCATCAAGTATTGACGACGAGCTTTCCGCCTCACCACCTCGCCCGTGCCTCCAGGGCCTGCAGGATTTCCAAGACTTCCAGGGCCCTCGGGACCTGAAGGATCTCCAGGACTTCGAGGGCCTCCAGGGCCTCCAGGAACTCCAGAGTCCTCGGGACCTCCAGGACTTGCAGGACTTGCAGGATTTCCCGGACTTCCAGGGCCTTCGGGACCTCGCAGGGCCTCCAGGGCCTAGGGCCTCCACGACCACCAGGATGCCGAGGCAGTTTGACTATGTCGTGCCGCGGAGCCATATCTTACCTGTTGAAACTCGGAATCGGAGTTCAAAATCGGCCTTCCGAAACTTGAAGTCGCGAAAACAGAACGGATTCCCCAGCTGGCCGGCTCAACGTATGCGCGGCCAGCTGGGCGATGTTATCGCTACGCGTCGCTAAGCGTTGATGCGCTAGGGACGCAAGGCGGCTGCTGCTTTGACAGCGCTGCCGTAATCCCTGATTAGGAGGGCACGGCCCGGCACGGCCCGGCACGGCTCGGGGGCGGTGAGATTAGCGCCCCCAGGACCCCCTCCCTCCCCCTCCCCACCCCTCCCCTCCCCCGGCCCGGCACACGCCAGCACCGGCCGTGCACGTGTCCTCACTTGTCCACACCCTTCGCGTCGCGTCGCGCGCGCCCTCGCCACCGCGGTGCAGTTTTGATATTGTTTGTAAACTACTTCTCGCGGGGGAGGAGCGAGACGGGCGAGATTTCAATCTGCAGATTTAACGCTGGCCGCTCTTGGAAATGTAAATCCCGTCCAATGCGGTGCCTACGGTGCCGACCGAAGAGCCGAAGACCGAGGACGAGGGTAGGCCGCGGCGTCGCGGCGTCGCGGCGTCGCGTCGAGGGCAAGGTGGACCGGTCGACCGAGTCCGGCCGGGTCTTCGGTATTCATCCCGTGCCGCCCACGCCGCGACCAGAGCGAACAGAACAGAGTCAGTCTTCTCAGCGCGAACATCAACTGTCGCACATGGAGTCAGGTATCAAGCCAGGTAGGCTCTAGCAAACACACAAAAAAATGAAATCAGCCTGTCAAAGTCTATTTTATTTCTTTTGCGAAAGAAACGGCAAAGGAAAGGCGGACCTGGAATATTTGAGAATGTTTAAGCAAAGCAGCGCATACTTCACGGAACGATTACCACGTGTAACAATAACCGGAAGGTCCGCGCTAATTCCACTCCACTCGAAGGGGAGGGGTGGGGGAGGGGAGGGGTGCTGCACGCCGTGGCCGGGACCTCCCCGCCGCACCCCTCCGCCGCGGAGCTGCGGTGCCGCGCCCTCAATAGCCACTTAATACGGGGGTAATATTTGTGCGAGTCAATCAACGGCGCAGCTGGGCGTCGAAACCGCACGCCCCGCCCCACCCCGCGGAGTTTCGGCGCCGAGATCCCGTTTCACGTCAAACAGTGCAGGATAGCGGACCGCGGCACAATTTGCTCGTGCCGGTGTGTCCACTTTGTACCGCCAAGACACGGCCCCCTGCCCGCAGTCTCGGTGCTCGCTCGCTCTTCGCCGTCCTCGTGCTCGTCGACGACCTCGTCGACGACCTCGTCGACGACCTCGTCGACGACGGCGACCTGCTTTCGGCGCCGCCGCGCTGCTCCAGGTGGCCAAGTCCGCGACCCCGCCGCTTGGCCTCTGCGTCGCGCTCCAGTGGCCACGCACCCCCCGCCTCCCCCGCCCCCTCCGGGTCGTCCTCCCCCTGCCCCGCCGCCCTGCGCCACCAGGATCGGCGTGAACGGGAACATCGCATCTAATGAGTCCGTGCCGCAGCGCTGCGGGCCATTTGATACTCGCCCCCGAGACCCCCGAAAAGACGGGGGCGCACAGTGGGCCAAACCGGTGGAGGCGGTCAAAATCCCGGACGCGTTTAGAGCTCCAGAGTCGCTGAATAGGACTCGAACCGAACGTGTGACCCCATCAATGGATTGCTCTCCGAACGAAGAATCCATTGGTGGGGTCACACGCTCGGTTCGAGTCCTGTCTAGCGACTCTGGAGCTCGAAACGCGTCTTTGGCCGCCGTCGTCCGCGCTACATGCGATTCCTCGACACGATTCTGGGGATTCTGGGCGCACTCGCAGTGCGTCGCGGTGTGTCGGTCACGTGCCACCAAGAAAAGAGCAGCGGGCAGTAGAGGGGGTGGAGGCGCCGCGCCACACTGCGTTTGTGTGAGATTATACGCGAGGAGAAACATCTGTTTCTGTAACGCAATCGTGTTTTGTTTTCAATGGGGAGGCCTCTCCGTGCTTGTGCTCCGTGCCCTCCCTTGATGGATGACACACCCTCCCAACTCCCACCCCCGCAGGGCTACGCTGGGGCTGCGCAGGGAGGCACCCCCCCCCCTCCCTGCTCGTTCACACCTCGCGCGATGAACCCCGCTCCCCTCCCCCTCCCACTCAAAATCATCAAAACGAAAGAAAACGCATGACGGAGCGGAAGTATCCGTGGCTAACGCCGCTAACGCCGCTTGTGTGGAACGGGCGGTGGTCGCCGCAAGTACAAGCCGCCTGGTGGCACCAGGCTGGTGGCGCAGTAAACGTGGTGTGTCTGCACGGCAGGCAGGAAACGTTGAGTGTGAGCCCAGTGGGTTTGGAATGCAGTTTATTTAACGATCTGGCGGCGTGCTGGATGCACACTGAAAGCCGAAGTGAGTACTCACTTGAGTACTCAGTACACTCAAGCTTTCGGTGCGTTCTCGGTTGGCCGAAGTGTTCAGAACGCCCTGGGGCGGACGGGCCGCTCGCTTCCCCAGCCCCAGGTATCGTCCCCGGGGGGCCGCGGCTCGAAGGGTCCGCCGCCGGTCACGGACGCGATGGGCGGACTGCTGTAAAGAACAGAGAGAGACACACGATGAGAGCGATCAAGGAGAACCTGGTCGAAAGAGTGGCAGAATCGCGAACAGGCGATGGGATTTGAACGGATTTGAACCCCCGACGGCGGCGGCGTGGTGCTTACACGTAGGGGGGCGACTCGTCGACGGCCCGCGTCAGGGCGGGCACCGAGGCAGCGCCGCCCGCGCCGCCCGCGCCGCGCATCAGCAGCCACAGCCTCACGGTGAAGAAGTACAGCACCTCCACGGCGCTCATGAAGCTGCAGCCCAGGAACAGGCTGAAGATGCCGCCGAACGACGCTGCCGAGATGAAGCAATCGCCACTCTGCTTGGTTTTCTTTTTAATACGTTGTCAGTGTAGGCGTTCTCTCACGCTACTCACACATGAGCTGCACCGTGTTGCTGACCAGGTCGTTGACGTACAGGACGGCGGTCTGGCTGTCGAAGTACACGTGCAGCAGGCAGCGCCCCGTGGCGTTCAGGTCTTGGCTGCGGAACCAGAGGCCGCCGCATTCGCTGGCATTCTTAAGTAGCCCAAGATTCGTTTCGTTGCAACACGGCACCCGGGCGCCCGCCACACAGTGGGCCGGAAGAACGGCGCCGGCGGCCGAAACTCTAGACGCGCTTTGCGCTCCAGAGTCGCTAAACAGGACTCGAACGGAGCGCGTAACCCCACCAATGCATTCCTCGATCGGAGAACAATCCATTTGTGGGGTCAAACGTTCGGTTCGAGTTCGAGCCCCAGAAATCGACTCTCGAGCTCAAAACGCGTCCGGGACTTTTACTGCCTCCACCGGTCTTCCGGCCCACTGTCTGCCAGGCCCTTGGCCAGGCCGACGTACTAGAAGTCGCGGTGGACCTGCTGCGGCGCCCTGAAGTTGGCCGTCGTCGTCTCCAGCTCGTAGTTGACGGAGTTGCACTGCGCCAGGCAGCCGCACGACGTGGACATCGCCTCTGACAGCTTGTCCGCTGTAAGTCCCGGGTAGGGCGCCGTCAGACACGGTCACCCACCGCGGCGCACTAATGTTTAAAGAATTGCCAACGTCAACCTGCCTTCTGCGCAATATTCTGGCATTTCCATCGAGAAGTTGCAAGAGAAGTTGCATAGTAGGCAGGCTGAGGTTGGCAACCCCTCCAACACTGGTGCATTGTAGGAATTTTTGCCTTCTGCTGTGGCAACACCGGTTTGGCACGCCAGAGCTTCTTACCTTCGCCTGGATTGGACGGAAGTGCTTCCCCTCTGATTTGACCCTTCACCATGGTGTCGTGTTCTTCCTCTGCAACGCACCAACACACCACAAAGGCGTCATTCGGGCATTCCCCCTCCACGCTCCCTTCTCTTTCCAAACCAACAAAACGTTCTGACAATCAAAGATGTAGCGTGAACATCAGATGCGTACCGTGGAATTTGGCTAGGCATGGCAGCTTGTCAAGGCCACAGAGTGTTCCTAAAAAAAATATTAATTAGATCGTTTATAATTGTTTTAAGACCTGCTAGTTTGGTTCTCTAGCAGTATTTTCGGCGAGGGGTCTGCCATTTCTTGCACTCATTGTTCGCTCCGAACTGAACCGAACTGAAACCCACTCAGGAAACACACCTGCACGAAGGACTCATGCGGTACAAACGCCTGTACGGAGGCAACAGACAAGGCCCATCTCGCTATCAATCCGAGGGGTGAATCACCAGTGTACTCATGTGTACAAATTGGCCCGTACTCATAAGTCAAAATTTAGCCAAATTTGCTAGTTTTAAGTAAGGTTTGGTGTTGCGTATTGTCTGAACACTAGATAAAGGTTTTAAACGATTAAAAATGTGAAATTTATGAGTTTTTGAAGGTGTACTCACCCCTACTTATGTACTCATGTGTACTTCAGAACGCTGTATAATTCGCCCCTCGTATCAATCTCACTAGTGGACTCAGTCAGTGGCATGGCACTGCATAGACCCCTCCATTTTCGGTCCGAACTCGCGCACCTCTCAGTCCCAGGATGCGCGGGAAGTTGAGCGGCCGGCACTTGCAGACCTTGAAGATCTTGCTGGCGTCGCACTCCATGGCGCACGTGTCGTAGCTGTACTCGTCCGGTCCGTCGGGGTTCTCGTCCTCGAAGAGGCAGCGGCGCCGCTGCGGGTTCACGTCGCGCAGCGAGGGGGACGCGTTGCGGATGGACGGCAGCACCTGCACCATGGACTCCTTTTCCATGGGCACCATGGCCTGCGGGGTGCGCTCCGTCGCCACCTCGTTCTTGTCGTGCACCGCGCACTGCGGCAGGCCATGCGGTAGGAAGCACAGTCAGAGGGGGCCAGAAGACCGCTGGAGGCGGTCGAAATCCCCGGAGGCGCTTTGAGCTCCAGAGGCGCTAAATGGGACTCGAACCGAACGTGTGACCCCACCAATGGATTGCTCTCCGAACGAGGAATCCATTGGTGGGGTCACACGCTCGCGCTCGGTTCGAGTCCTGGTTAGCGACATTGGTGTGGTCTGCACAAAAAACTGTAACGCCCCCTGCAAAATGTGTACAAAACACGTCGGGTCACACACCACGATGCCGCCGGAGACGAATGGCCCCCAGTAGTAGTCCTCGGTCTGCGGCTTGAGCAGCACGGTCAGCCCCAGCGGGTAGCCGAAGAAGGGGGTCTTGAGGATCGTGGGCTTGGCCGCCGTGGGCTGCACGGCCCGCCTGCAGCACAGCGCAGCACAGCGCAGCGCAGAGGGATAGTCAGTCAGTCGGGACTCGGAGAAGCAGTCAGGTTCAGCGACGCACAGTGGGCCAGAAGAACGGTGGAGGCGGCCAAAACTCTAGACTCGTTTTGAGCTCCAGAGTAGCTAAGTGGGGCTCGAACCGAACGTGTGACCCCACCAATGGATTGCTCTCCGAACGAGGAATCTATTGGTGGGGTCACACGTTCGGTTCGAGTCCCATTTAGCGACGCTGGAGCTCAAAACGCATCTGGAGTTTTGGCCGCCTCCACCGGTCTTCTGGCCCACTGTGCGACGGCCCTACCCAAGGCGCGGATCCAGAGGGGGCACAAGGTAAGACAACCCGGGGCCAGCCTGGAAGGAAGGCAAACAGCTACACTTTGCCTCCCTCAGGCCGGCCCAGGGCAGGACTCTTACGAAAAGTCGACGTCCGAGTTGAAGGCGCAGCAGAAGCCCATGAAGCTCATGGTCCTGGAGAAGATGGTGGAGCAGTTGACCTCGCGGCCCTCCCAGCTGCAGCGCTCCAGCATCTCGGAGCACGGCTGCCCCACCTCCTCGAGCACGGCCTCGGGCGTCAGGTTGTTGTGCTTGAGGATGACGTCCAGGCGCGCGCGCCCCGCGATGTTGGTGCCCATCTCCGCCGAGGACAGCAGCTGCCCCAGCAGCGGCAGCAGTCCCATCATGTCCTGGCGCGACACCGACAGCGTCTCCGGGACCCTCCTGCAAGAAAGTGGCGGCAGTCCGCGCCAACGCCTGGCGGGCAACGGGTAGGCCAGCCCGCCGCTCAACGCTGTTGCGCGGGACTTGGGAGTCATTTTTGACGCTCTGTCTCTCTCGCACTCATGGAGCGTTTCGTATGGTCGCGGAGAGAGCCAGAGCGACGAAAACCACTCTCGGAATCACTGTGCAGCGGTAGGCCCCATCACACTTCCTAAGCGTGGAAAATGACAGTCAAGACTTCAGAGCGCCCCAAAAAGGGCAGTGTAGTTACAGCGAGTCCACCAGGCGGCGCGCCCTCGACCGGAAGATGCGGTTGACGTTGCACAGTGTGATGGCGGGGAAGGGCACGTCGGCCACCTCGTGGAAGTTGGACTCGACGCGCGTCATGGTGGGGTTGCCCTGGAACTTGGTGAGCAGGTACAGCAGCATGTACACGGCCCCCGTGATGCACACCAGCTCCGTCACGATCCACAAGAACCTGCGCAGAGCACGACGGAGTCGGTCGGCGCACTGCAAGCGGGCTGCCGGCTGCCGTTCATAGGGCCAGAAGACCGGTGCAGGCGGTCAAAATCCCGGACGCGTTTTGCGCTCCAGGGTCGCAATATGGGACTAGATACGAGCGTGTGACCCCCACCAATAGATTCCTCGTTCGGAGAGCAATCCATTGGTGGGGTCGCACGCTCGGCTCGAGTTCTGTTTAGCGACTCTGGAGCTCAAAACGCGTCTAGAGTTTTGGCCGCCTGCGCCGGTCTTCTGGCCCACTGTGCCGCGCCTGGCCGCTGACTTTTGGCGGCCACCCACCTCTCGACCCAGCGGCGTCCGTGCTCGGCGATGTACCGCACGCCGTGGATGGAGGTGTTCTCGGAGAACTCGCTGATGGTCTGCCGGACCGCGCTCAGCAGTGGCGTCCCCGCCCCCGTCCTCGCCATGGCGTGCCAGCGTAGGAGTCTACGGGGCGGCCGGCTGTTTCTCGGCCGTCATTCCGGCTGCGCGGCGTTCGCGGCGTCTGTTCGGTAGGCTGCCGTCCTGAGGCTCTCCACGACCATTCGGAGGGCGGCCCGGAGCGGGGGCAAGCAGTGGCTCGCCGCGGCCGCAGGCATGTCCAGCGCACTGTGGGCTTTCCCTGTGCGCGCGCCACTGCGGCCCGGGCGGACGCGGTCTTGATGGGGAGCAAGGGCACTGCGTGGAGGCCCTCCGACACCGCCACGTCCAGTGCGGCAAAGTGCGACCAGCGCGGCGCCCCGCCCGTTTCCGCCACGCGCCAAACGCCGATCGACCACTTTGGGGCCCGGTCGTAAGCCAGCCTGGTACCCACACGAGACGCTCTATGAGTGCGAGAGAGACAGAGCGACGGAAGCGACTGTCGGAATCAGTCTGCTGCCTGCGGAGGGGTTGAAATTTAGGAGGATGGGGGCCTCCACTTCCGGTCCGGCGGCCTCAACGCGGCCGAGTCCTCTGAGTGTTCTAGCGAGTCCCGGACGCCCCCCCCCCCTCCCCCTCCAGGGCCGCAAGTGCGCGAGGCTCCACGCAAGCACCGTCACAACCATCGACAGCTGGAGGGCTGGACTGGAGCGGTGGGAACGCGGGCGGCTGTCACCGAGCCTGTCAGCCACTGCACTGTCAGCCTGTCGCACTGCCGCCGAGGCGTGGCTGGGGCTTGCCCTTGTCTCTCAGACCATGAGAAATGCTGAGACACAACCGTTATCGGGAGGTCGGCACGTGGACGCAACAACAGCGATTTGACAATGTGGTCCTTTGGCATGTACGCACACTGTTTCGGCACATCGCAATTTTTCTCATGAATGATTGTTATTATAATTGGATTTATCTGGACAGTTTACATCGGGAAAGCCGATTTCCGTCCGATCGTAGATTGCGTTGGTCGCCAGTGGTGTGCGTGATGACCTAAACGGCCTTCACTATCGCGAAAGGAAAAGTGAAAACTAAAACACAATCATGCATGAGTAAAACAAAATATTTTGATTAAAATTGTAACAATTGAACAGTATAACAGAATAACATAATCACAAGGAACATCACAACTTAAGTGCTGATTTTTTCAATATTTATATTTTAAAAATATATTAGTACACTTCAATATCACAATCCACATCTTTGAATTCATGCAGTCACTAGGCAGGAGTTTTATGGTCATGAAACTTTCAAAGTTTTTTTCATCACTGGTATGTTGCTGCTAGCAGTTCACAATGTTTCAACATTTCACTCTTCAATATTCCCCTTGAATCCCGCATACACGATTAGCAGGGACAGCCACATCTGAAATGATAAAAGATTAGTGAAAACCAATCTACTCCTTCTACATCAAAGTACTACCATTATTTTGTTAAACATTCTTACCAATCTTCTTTGGATAAGGCAGATTCAAATTATTCATCAACTCAATAAATTCTTCCAGAGATTTGGTCAACCGAGGATTTAATTTTTTCTCTTCCTCAACAGTTGTGACCATTAATCCTGTAGAAGAAAGAAAAATTTTCCATGACACGTTGTACATTAACAGGTCCTTTTGAGCACAAAATCTCCAGGAACACTTTTAGATGGCAAAAATGCCTAGGTAAAGAGAAGACAATTTAAAAAAAAATAATATTTACCATCATATAAAAAAATATTTATTATGGATGAAAAAAAAATGAAGTTATGTGACACACAGTGAATATTTACCTTTATAATCATGGGCTGGAAACAACTTGAAATTTTCTGGCAATGAGAAAATCTGTTCATGAACTGATTTGTATAGGGTGGCAGGATCTCCCTCTTGGAAATCTGTTCGACCACATCCACGGATCAAAACTGCATCCCCAGTGAAGGCAATGCCCTGTTCATGACACACATATGTCACACATCCTGAAAAAAAAATTAAAAAATGAAGAGACAAAGCAAAACAAAACAATACATTAAATTATTCAGATAAGATAAGAGAACGAACCACTTGTATGACCTGGTGTTGGTCTCACTTCCAATTGATGGCGCCCAAATTGAATTTTCTCGCAAGGAACGACATGGACATCAGCTTTGGCACCACTCGCTTCAGATATGAGACTCTTGCATCCAGGAACAACACTCTTGAGACAACCAGTGCCAGTTATGTGATCAGCATGCATATGAGTGTTCACTAGAGGAAAAGAGGGGATGTGAAAAAAGATGCCTGGATAAGAAAAATACCAATACCGTCTCACACAACCCAGTACTTACTGACAAATTTAAGGGAGAGACCAAGATCTTTCACGACTCCTGCATCACGATTAACTTGCTCCAGCACAGGGTCTATGAGAACGGCTTCCTTTGAGTCTAGGTCTGCCAGAAGATATGTGTACGTAGAACTAGTAGGATCAAACATCTGTAAAAACAAAGTGGATTGTTCACTTTGAGAGGGACAATGTAACAATTACACCTGTCTTCTTGTGCTTGCACACAACCATATCACTTGGGTCAGTGTGAACAAGACCGAGAAAAAGAGAACTCACCAGAGAGGAAATTCTACAATGCATGAAATCTTACCTGTCTGAACAGGAAGTCTGCAGAGAAGGGAATCTGGTTGGTCATGGTGGAAGCAGCGCGACTCAGACTCAGGTTTTGTACTGTCAGGTGGAATGTATCGATCGGCCGGGCTCCTAGCGGAAGGGCATTTCGTGCCAAGCCCCCCAACTTGCGTAGTGTAATCTGTATTGCGTGACTCATAGTAGCGCGAGGTTAAGGTAATTAGCCTTATGTAACCACAGTTTGGGACAGTGACAGTGCCTTGAGACCTCCGACCACGGGAAAAATTTTATCAGAACCTTCCAAATGTTAATTTTCAAGACCTGTCATGCAACATCAAGCGCTCGGCGCTGAATTTACAGATTGATAACCTAAGGAATGTCAATCACATGAAACGAACGCCTAGTCCCAGCAACATCTCCAACTTCCCCCTCCAGTCCAAATATGGTGGGGGGGGTATAGTACGCGTCTGCCAAAACGTCAAAACAGTGCCAAAGCAGAGTGCGGTCCTGAATCATTCGGGATTCGACCCAGCGAGCGGCGCACTTCGGCGTGCTTCTTCATGTCGAGCTTTTCAAGAATTATAGAGGGTTGTTTTAGGGAAAACGGCATTTCACGTGCTTCCACAATTTATTCATCTCACACTGATAGCCACATATACAAACAGATTAGTCCTCGCTCGGATCCTCACAGAGCAAGCAGCTAGTTCATGATTCATTTGCTTTGTAACTATTCGCCCCTGATGTATCTGAACAGTACACAAAGATTTTCAAACTGATCTTAAGAAATAAGAATTCCAACCGACACCTTAAAAATTGTGTCTAACAAACAGTCACAAACAAAAGAACAACGAAATTAGAACACAGGCACACATCTTGAAAATGGATTAGTCCGCCATGCCTTGATCCCTCTTCAATGAAAGGCTGAGAACGCCAAAAATCACAGATTTTATGACCAGCTTCGGTCTAACTTAAATTCACAATCTGATGCAAACACCAGCAAATTTTTTGTTTGGCTGAATTGCACACTTCCTCATGAAATATTGGTTAAAGCTACAACCAAATCACTGCAATTCAAATCCAAGAGCAAATGCATCATAAGTTCAGTGCTCCAAGTGTTACTATTCTTAAAAACAGTTGAATATAATAGCAGTCATTGGATATCATCTAATTCAACAGAAAATATGGCCGCGTGACACTGTCATTACATTTCCACACATAAACCAAGCAAGCAAACGTGCAAAGCACATCACTCGCAGTCACTCTATAAAATCCATAGAGGTGATCACTCCATGAAAATAATAACAAAGACACATCAACCAGTGTGTGAATACAGAAACAGTGGACATTGGAAAATATGATACTTATGGAAGAGTTAATATTTAAAATATGGAAGTTTACAATTGAGTGATACCAGTAGCTTTTATTTTAATTTTTTTTTCCTCAAAAGGTTTTGAGTAGGAATAGACAGCCATAAGTAGGATAATTAATACATCAATTACTATTTACTGTCATCACTGTTGTCTTCTCTTTTCATAGACTTCAATGCACGTTCCCTTAAGCGTCTTTCAAGTGATTCACCCCTCTCAGTTCCACTTTCAGCAGATTCCTGGAATTAAAACAATTATCTTGTAGTAAAAAAGTAGCAAAGCAGACAACAACACTGAGTCCATCCAAACAGGACGACACCTACCTCACTAGCATCAGATTTGTGCTTTTTAGCCTTCTTGGTCTTCTTATGTTTCTTGTGCTTCTTATGCTTTTTGTCCTTCTTTTTCTTTTTTCCACTTGCCTCAGCATCACTTTCCTGAGAGACAAAAACAAAGATTAGTAGAAGCAAAATATACTGCTGGCTTGATACAAAAATTTCCTGACAGTTTCAGTAATTTTATTACTGTTACTTTCAGAAGGAACTTACTTCAGATTCACTGCTAGAACCAGCCGCTTTCTTCTTTTTCTTCCTTTTCTTCTTGGATTTCTCTGTTGTCTCTGGGCTGGATTCTGTAGGTTTCTTCTTCTCTTTTTTATTATCATCATGCGAGTTTTCAGAATCTGATGTTTGAACCTACTCGAGCAAAAGCACAAGAAAATCCATGAGAACACAAATAAAAGAATGAAAGATGGTGATATCGTGCAGGATGTATGTACCTCCTCTTTGGAGCTGTTCAATTTCTTTCTTTTAGGCGAAGGGGATCTTGATTCACTCTTCTTCCGGGCAGCTTTACTGGTTGATAAGGTATCACCTGAAGAAAGTGTCTGTTTCCTAAAGGGTAAAAGTTTCAAAATTATAACCTGTGTTTGACAGAAGAAAGAAGTCAAATAAAGTAGACACTTGCTTATCAGCTTTCTGCTCTGCACTGGAATCTGTTTTAACAGAAACAGGTTCAGGTTTCTTCTTTGGTGTTCGGGAGTCAGACTTGGACCTTGACCGAGAGGAGTCTCTAGAAGAAGACCTGGACTTTGATCGAGACAATCTAGTAGACTTTGCCGCCGGTGGAGATTTGGATCGAGACTCTGTTCTTCCATGCAACGCCTTAACTGGTTGAGTTGGTGGTTTCTTGGGCAGAGTTTCATCTTCTGAATCAGAAGACTTGGACCTGCACCCAAAGACCACATATAAAAGTAAACTATTTGAACACATGGCTTAAGGACAATTTAAATTTACAGTAATTACCGTTTACTTTTGATGGATTTGACTTCTTTATCCTTTTTCACAGGGGAAGGGGTACCAGAAGAGCTGCGTGAACCCTGTTGACAGTCAGGTATAGTATTAAATTAAAAAATCCAAGGTACCTGTTGTACGCTCAACATTAAGTAACAAGTAACAAACCTCTGCAACTGGCTTCTTTACAGCAACAATGGGACTACGAGATCTAGATTTTTTATCTAATTTATTATCTTGTGACCGTGAGGGAGGCTGCCTGGAGTCTGATATACTCCGTCGCTGTGACAAATAACAGCAGAGTGAATAAAGAAAATTTAATTCTATCCTAATAACAACATACGAACAGGTCCAGCAACAATGGAGAGAACAATGAACAAGTCTTACAGGTGATGGTGAGTGCTTGGAGGACGCGCTCTTGTTTCGTGGTGACTCCGACCTCCGCACACTCCTGCGTGGGCTCCGCCTGGGACTTCTTCGGGGAGATCGTCGTGGACTATCTCTACGAGGGCTCCTGCGGGAATTGGACCTGGGTGAACTCCGGCGTGGGCTCCTACAAAACACAGAGGCCATTTAATAAAATTTACACAAAACGCCAACTTAAGTTTGAACGGAACTTACCTCCGCCTCCCTGATGACAGTCTCTGCCTTTCCCTCTCCCTCTCCCTTTCTCTCTCCCTCTCCCGTTCCCGGTCCCGTCGGACCCTCTCGCGCTCTCTCTCCCTCTCCCTTTCCCTCTCACGTTCTAGCGAACGACGGCGACGTTCTCTCTCTCTTTCTCGATCCCTTTCGCGCTCTCGTTCCCTGTCCCGATCCCGGTCCCTCCGATCCCTGTCCCTGTCACGATCCCTATCATCATCTCGTCGACGAGACCTCGGGGGTGAGCCAAAACTCCCTCTATGATCCTGCAAATAGTGAAAACAAAAAAATTTCTACACTGCAGTATAAGGCATGAAATACACATCGAGACTCAAGGTGGATGCAAAACTTACTCTCCTGTTTGAGCGACCACGGTCTGAATCAGATCCAGAAGAGTCCCTATTATTTGAGCGATAATGCCTTTTCTTCTGAACACTATCCTCCTTTTTTCTAATTTCAAAGTCTGCATCTTTACCTGAATGCTTTCCTAATGAGAGAAACAAAGAAAATATTTTAATAATTGTTTCTCAAACACACTAAAAGCTACCAAAAGTCTTATATGCAAACCTTTACGGGAATCATCAGAACTGTAACTGCTTGAACGTGATGAATGCCTGTCTTTCTTTTCATCCACCTTTTCTTTTCGTGATGACCTTGAAGATGCAGACGAGCTATGTGAGCGAGACCTATCACGCTTGACTTCTTCTGGGTCCTTTGGCTCCTCTTTACTGAAATTGAAACCAACCATGTCACACAGTTCTCCGGAGAATAAAACAGCACTTCATGGATTGCAACTAAAAATTGAACATACACTACAACTTCTTTGCTATCCCATCGGCCTTTGGGTGCAGTGTCGCCATTTCCTGAAGGCTCCTGCTCCACTTGCTCTTTATCAGGGATATCACCATTGCTTTGACTGTTTTCAGGAGCAGTCGCAGAAGATCTGTCGAGTCAAACATACATTAAGGCTATTTTTATGCTAATAAAAAATGACTTGGGGAAGGAAAATTTTAAGTCATACCCTTTGTCTTCCTCTTCTTTCTCCTTGGGCTTGTCACTTTCAACTTCTTTAATAGATCCATCCTTTGGTTTGTCCTTCACCTTTTCTTTATCCTTGTCCTTTCTGCGGTCCTTATCCCTCTTGTCCTTTTCACGGTGCCTGTCACGAGAGCCACTTCTCTTCTTTTCACGGCTTTTACTGCGACTTCTCTTCTTTTCACGGCTTTTGCTACGGCTTCTGTCCCTCTTCTTTTCTTTTTTGTCTTCTTTATCTTTCTCTACTTTCTTTGCAAGGGTTTCATGCAATTTCTCTTGCTCCTCCTAGAAAAGATACCAAAGAAATAAGTGCAATGGAAGACAAAGGGAATTCATGGAAAATACTGTTTTGAAGAAACAAACCATTCTCTTCTTAATTTCCTCCTTTTTCTGCTCCAGGAATTGAGTTGGTATTCCAGTCACAGAGTCCTGAGCTGACAACAGTAGATCCCATAGTTCTTGCATGAAGAGGCGAGCATTCTTTCCATTCAAGAATCCAGTCAAATTGATCTGCATCTTCTTGGGGTCCGGGAACTATGGAACAAAAGGTGGGAAGAGGAGACAGCTTTATAACTACTTTCTAGAAATAGCAGCAATAAAATAATAAATGCACCTCCAAGCTAAAGGAGATTTGGTTTGAAAGCACTCTAAAAGCACTGTGGCGTTAATCGTACATTATCCTTCAACAATAGGAAGTGTGGTCAAGATACCCACTCCAGTTGAAAATAAAAATAAACACCTGGTATTGAACCCTACATTGGGCAATACATGTGTAAATGTAAACACTATTTGATGAGCTCTGGTGGATCATTGTCGACCTTCCTTAAATCTAGTATTACATGGAGATCTGTACCATCTGCAGGCCTGTTCAGTGCTGCAGGGGTCCATAAATGTATATACCACCTGTGTGCAGTTCAACCTCCGTGGTCCCATGCCATAGCTTCTTTATGACTCAGACAAGTACGCCTTCTTCCGCTAGAATGCTGAATTGAACCATAGTATAAGTTCAGTGTCATATTTTACATATTTCACAGGGAAAATTGCGTAGCCCACCACAGTTTGATACCATCTTAAAAATGGAAGACAAAAGAAAAGAAACGCAAGAAAAGTGAAAGGAAACTTGGGCTGGGGTGGGCAATTTCCCTCTGAAATATGCACGAATAGTATGTTCATTTCAAGATATTGAAAATTACGTGTAAATAGTATCCATCATCATGAGAGCATTTCATTAAGATTATTGCCAAAATTATGCAATTGCATGCAGATTGAGGGTGGCTAGAATTTAATCACTTCCAATTTAAAAAATTTTTAAACCACTAGCAAAAATGAAAAATAGTTGTTTGTAACTTGATACCATGTCAATGTTGAAAACTGACTTTTGATCAACATTAGACATACTAAAAATTTGGAAAGCACCACAATAAATATATATATATACACAATTTGGAAATTTGAAGGAACACACTCAAAGAGTATTTTTTACCACTAGACCAAGTGAAATGGCTGGAAGTAATTAGTTTGATATAAAAAAAAAACTTTTGTTAAGCTAGAAGGAGCACTCCGTAGTAATACTATGACCAATACCCAACATGGGAAATAAATCAGAGGCAAGAGCTGATGCAAATTATAGGACTAAAAGATTTGGTACAAACCTTGCATGTTAACACTTTACTGACTCAATTGGTGGGGTGAATAAGATCGTGGGTACGAGAGGCAGTCCCGCGGAGCGAGTGAGCCGCGGGCCAGAATACAACCAAACTGTCTGACCAGGGCGAAACAAAATTTCGCATTATCAGTCAAGCGTAAAAACTCCCATACACTTTCCTACAAACTGTTCACTGGTACACATTCATAAAAGTCAAGTAAACCTATGTACACTGTTTCAAAAAGAATGAAAAATAAAGAAAGGGACACTATTTTTAGAGCTGAAAATCCAAAGTCACAATCTCAAACCATTTTGAAGGTGTTTTCTTATGATGAGGATCCATCATGAAGTACAAGACACCACACTGATTCACATTAGGAAGCATTTCTCAACACACAGATGAGTCCTACAGATAAATCCAAGGAGAACAATTCACAGAAGTACTACATAAAGAATTCTCCAGAAAATTGAAGACATCCCCCATAAATCAAATTAGCCAATTTAAAAAAAAAAAACGAATCAATTCTCACATAAAATTAAATATTCTGGCCAGCACAGCAGCTTGATATGATGGTCGAAATCAATGCATCCACAAGAGAGATAATAAAAGATACAAATAATATTCTGATGATGTTGAAAGTATGAACTGAAGCAAACTGGGAGCTTGATTATGCCACTGTCTACCAAGAGGAACAAAGCTGCAAAAAGCTGGCATACTAAAAATGAGACACTGTTACCTGATAGATGCATAATCTAGGAGTAATGTGCCTACACCATGGATTATGTCTTGTTGTTACTAAAATTGAATCTACACAAATATTCCAGTAACTAAACAAATACAAATAACCAGTACTATCTCTTACAATTAAATAACAGGAACCCAGTTTCTCACCTTTTCCTCCAGTTGATTGAATACAAATTCCACGACAACATCATCTTCAAGCTTGAGAATCTCGGTCAGCTTCTTTGTAATCCATGGTTTTATCGAGTCCAGCTTAACTTTTGACATGTCAACCTGAGAATTAAGTTTTAAGATTAAAGCAGCGACATTATAAACCAGCAACAATTTTTTGTTTTCATTTTTTGAATGTAGCACTCACTCTTCTTGTTAAGCTGTCGCTGAATTTCATTTGCTTCAAAAGTTTCTTCTCTTTGTCACTGAAGCGGTTGTCTTGCTCCGCAGTGGTCCCCTACAAACAAAATGACATTGCGGCTCAGACAAACATATAAATGCAGCCACCAGAACAACACACTTCCAGCAAAGCACAAATTCAGCACAATACACAAATGCCGAAAGTGAGGTTAATTGACAACTCAGATGCGATTTATCAAAAATATTTCTGATATTAAACCAACTTACTGTGTACATCATTTTGGCGGGTGGGCTTTCTTAATCCGATTGGGTGTTGAAATTATCGTCAGTGAGGCACCGACAGTGATGAGAGAGACGCTTATCGGCAAAATGTCGCAGGCCCCGAAGCCGACATGGGAAATACCCAAACTTCAACGAATGGAACTCTTCACATCAGGATCTAATGGACGAGCGAGAAGGAGGCTTAGTTAGAAGCTGCTCATCAGGCAGTCGCACAGACCACTTGCAGAGAGTCCCAAAGCCGTAAATTTCTCCCAATATGCTTGGAAAGTGAGATCGGACTGAAAGGTCTACAAGACAACTCGCGTTAATATTAAACTTTCTTAGAACCTACACAGTTGTCTTCTTGGGCACTTTAGCACTGTGGCTGGATAAGTTATCCAGTTGCTGTCGTCAACAATTCTCACAAAACAAACAGCTGTATTCAAAAAAGTTGTTTCACCAAGTTTTGCTTGATTTCTTCAGCTTTCAACAACACTTCAACATTTGCTTTGCTATGCTTGGAGAAAAGAAGAATACCAGGAATCAAAAGGGAAACTTTCCGGAAAGGAGCCGAAACGGAAGTCATAGGAGCACCGGGAATTTTCAAATTCATCAGCGAGCAGAACACCACAGCGGACCTGCCTTCACTTAATCGTTAAAGGAAAAGTTCTACAGCCATACACTTAACCTTCCAATGTTTCGGGTGTCTTTAGTTCAAAAATTCGCTGAAGCATTTACGAAACAAAGTGAGTTTTTTGACAAGCCACTTCCAGGAGCAGTGACGTTTGACGGTTGGCAACAGAAATCACAATCATTAAAACTCGTCTGCCATGTTGCCCTGATCGTCATCGTCTTGAGTGGAAAATGAAATGAATGAAACTTAAGTTTTCCAATAGTTTTTACGTAAATTTTTAGGTATGTATCAGTCGTGTGCCTCCTAATACGTTGAAATGGCCCGCCACTTCTCCTGAAAGCGCCAGGCCTGGGAATCAGTGCTTCAGTACGCCGCTCTCGTCCACCCATTCATCGATAATATCGCCTCAAATATTGTTTTGATACTTTCGACGCGTCATAATTGCGACTTTGGTTGTTTGTAGAAGACGTCACAGTTGTTGACAGTTCAAAAGCTTGCGTGCATACTTAAGAGGCGAGGCTCATAGGCCATTTTCTCTTCGTTTTATTCTCATCTTTTAGGTTAAGGACTGATCATCTGGCCCATATTTTGTCCTGATCTGCTTGTCACCCTGCCCTTTTATTTTGAGTCTCAAAAAAAATTGTTTTGAGCTGAACTTTATGCTTGTAGCGTTTTCTTTTCTTTTTATATGTGTCCTTAGGGTGAGGGCATTTGTTTATTTAAGGCAGCTGTCCAGAGTTTTGCAATGGCCCTCCCTATCACTTCTCTTTGACATTTCTGATGTAGCTCAATTTTCTATTCACATCTTTGATACTGCTGAACTATTTTCGTTACTTGGACCTTCTTTTTAAATTTTGGCTGTCCAAGCTGAGCTAGTTTTGTTTTCTTCAATTAATGTTCTATTCTACTTTATGTTTCTTGCATTTTTTTATTCACTTGACCATATTTTGATCTTTTAGGATGTATTGTTGATGATAGTGTTTTTTATTCGACTCTCATGAAAAATATTAGTTGATTTGTTCCATTGATGGTAGTAATTATTCTAGTATTAAACATCAAGGATTATGTTTCTCTTCAATCATGATTATTGACCTATATTGACCTAATTTAATGTGTTGTCCGCATTGATTTCTCTTTCCTCATTTTTAACTTGTTTGCTTTAACTTTCTCTCAGCAGGCTATTGGCTTTGATATTGTGACAAGCCATGTCTTTGAAGCCCAAAACAGTTGATTTTAACCAAACATGGGATACTCTTCAAGAAACTGTAAGAGGAGTGGTAACATTAGGAAATGTTCCTCGGGCTATTTGGAATGACCGGTTCAGCGATGTCTATTCGCTGTGTGTGTCATTCCCTGAACCACTAGCAGATCGACTCTACTTGGAAACTAAAAGTTTTCTTGAGAACCATGTGAGAGGACTTCTTGAGTTAGTCCGTTCAAAGGGAGAGACTAGTTTGCTTCAAGCCTACCATGCATCATGGGTTGAATACAGCCAAGGCATCATTTACCTTCACCGTCTCTACTTGTAAGTTTTTCTTAACTTGTTTAGTATTATTGAATTATTATCAAAGTAATTCTGTCACTAAATTTATTTATTTTTGTAGATACCTTAATACACAACACATTAGAGGCCAGAAGCTCTCAGAGGCTGAAATAATTTATGGAAATGTTACTCCCAATGCTGAGGAACAAATGGAAATAGGAGAATTGGGTACGCTCCTGATCGAATGAAACTCATCTATTATAAATGGAGCAGTGTTTTTTTGGTTTTTTTTGTCGTTGTTGTTTTTTACATACAGATGATGTCTACTCTGGTTACAGGTTTAGAAGTATGGAAACGTGAAATGATAAAGCCTCTTCAAGCTAACCTTGTTAGTCATATTCTGGAAGGAATTCAACAAGATAGATTAGGGAACCCTTCTCACCATCTCACTGATGTCATCCGTGGTGTCATAATGTCATTTGTAAGCGTTGAAGAGTACCGCAAGTCCCAAAACCCTGAAGTAAGATATGTCAATTTCTTAAAGTTGTAGTGAACTTTGTGTTATTGATCTTGCCATGCCCCTAAATAACACAATATTTTCAATTTCTAGCTCTACCAGGAAATATTTGAGGCTCCATTTTTAAAAGCAAGTGGGGAGTTTTACAAGAGAGAGGCAAGCAAGCTATTACAGGAATGTGATGTGTCCCAATATATGGAAAAAGTGACACAGCGTCTGGAAGAAGAAAGACTTCGTAGTCAAAGATTTGTCCATGTTTCGTATGTATCCTTTCTATTTTAAAATAATATTATCAGGTCAATTAAAATAAATCCTTTAAAAAAATTTTTTTTTTTTCAGAACACATCCTAAAGTGAAAGCAAAGTGTGAGCAGCATATGGTGGCTGATCATCTTGGACTTCTTCAAAGTGAATGCCACTCAATGGTTGTGCAAGAACGTGAAAGAGATCTGGCTCTTTTATATCCTCTCCTCCGCTCAGTTCAAGGAGGAATTAGCGTGCTCATTAGCGAAGTAATGGAACACATCAAACAGAAAGGCACAGAAGCTATTGCTGGAATACGTGGTGACAATTACCATGTCCTGTTCATTGAAAGCCTGCTAGCTGTCCATAACAAATACCGGACATTAATTTTGGTAAAGTTGTGTGATTTATTCTGATTTCCTGTCTTTCCTGTGAACTTGGCAAATAGGTAGTGTTAATCTTTGTTATCTTTGCAGAATGTATTCCATGGTGACTTATCATTTATTGGAGCTCTGGACAAAGCATGCATCTCTGTTGTGAACACTCGGCCTAACCCAAAAACACCTTGCCGGTCACCTGAGCTGTTGGCAAAGTACTGTGATTGTTTACTGAAGAAGTCTTCCAAAGGCATATCAGATACTGAGATTGATGAAAAGCTCTTTCAGTCCATCACTATTTTTAAGTACATAGATGACAAAGACGCGTTTCAGAAATTCTACTCAAGGATGTTAGCAAAGAGGCTTATACATCAACAGAGCCAGAGCATGGATGCAGAAGAAGCCATGATTGACAGACTTAAGGTGTGTAGCATTATGCACTGGTTAACAAATTTTATTTTCCTGAGCTTCTTAAAATGTTTTGATGTTTGCACTTCTCTCACAGCAAGCATGTGGCTATGAGTTTACCAACAAACTCCATCGCATGTTTACGGACATTTCTTTGTCAACTGATTTAAATGTCAAATTTAATGCTCACCTCAAGGCTGAAAGCATTGACTTAGGAATCAACTTCTCGATTTATGTATTACAGGTGAGTACAATTTGTTGCACTCTATCACTGTAACACCAGCACATACTATTGAAGAATTATTGCATTCATTGTTGTCCATTTTGTTTTGTTTTAGGCGGGTGCTTGGCCTCTAAACCTCACATCACTTTCCACTTTCTCTGTACCTCAAGAGCTGGAAAAATCTGTTCAAACGGTAAATATTGCAACAGTAATGCATGTTTGATTGATTCATCCATGCTGAAGTTTCTTTATGTGTTTTGCAAACAAAAAATAAACTAATTTAATGTTTCATTTTTAGTTTGAAACTTTTTACCACAAAAACTTTAATGGACGGAAACTAACATGGTTCCATCATCTATGTCAAGGTGATTATTCTGTGATTGATGTTAATCTTACTGTGGACCTATCTATCATCTCTTTCTTGAATTTATCACCTTGTTACTTGTTTTTTTAGGTGACTTAAAGCTTGGTTATTTGAAGAAGCCATATATAATAACTATGCAGACATTTCAAATGGCTATCATGCTCCTATTTGAAGATACCAACGAAATGGCATGCAGTGAAGTTGAGCAAGCCCTAAAATTGAGTCAGGATGTTATTCTAAAACATATTGCAAGTCTTATCGATTGCAAGCTCTTGCTTTCACCTGATCCATCAGAGGTAATGTGCTTGAGTCTTACAAATGCAAAGTCTTCAGTTTTGATGGACTTGAAAGTAAAGTCTCTTTCCCTTTTTTTTTTCAACAGAATCTGACCTCTGAGAGTATTCTAAAACTAAATATGGATTATAGTAATAAACGCACAAAGTTAAGGATCACTGCTGCTATGGTTAGAGACTCCCCTCAGGAAGTGGAACATACCATGAATGCAATCAACGAAGACCGAAAACTATATCTTCAGGCAGCTATTGTAAGGATAATGAAATCTCGACGGGTTTTGAGGCACAATGCGCTAATACAAGAGGTACTGTATTGTTTTTAAAGTCTTTCATGGAGGTTTCTGGCATTCTCACCATAAAACTATTATTATTATTGATTGTTTTGTGTTTTGCTTTATAGGTGCTAGGACAATCCAAAGTTACATTTGCTCCTTCAATCAGCATGATAAAGAAATGCATTGAATCTCTCATTGACAAACAATACCTCGAAAGGACACCCAACTCACCTGATGAATACATGTATATTGCTTGAGAGAATATTTATTTGTTTGCTTGTAGAACAGGGTGTAAGCCAATGACAAAAGAGCAAGATAATGTGATGTGTGAATCATTAATTTTTGTGTGTGTGGAACACACACTCAACATTGACTTTTGACTGTCACTGACAAATTTGCTGATGTTTTTCCTGGATTTTGTGTTTATAAGGTGTGATGATTAACCAAGCTTTAGCTGGAGACAAATGTTATGTATTTCTCATGTTTAAGTAGTTTTCTGGGTCTACCTTCATCAACAATGAAGTTTGACTTTCATGAACCACTTCTGTTTGTCAAATAGCTGTGCCATGGAGTTCATATTTTCTCATTTGTATCATACTTTTTTTCACAAGGGGCATGCCGTATTTGTACCCCTCCACTTCTTGGTCCAAAATGGATGATAGATCAAATTACTTCACATATAATTAATTTATGAAAGCTAGTAAAGTTATGCCCAGGCTGTGAAAAGCGCATGTGTTCAAAAACAAATTGAAGCAGCATTTAATTGTTGCTCATACATGGACTACCATACTTCTTCTCATAACACTTGTCTACCTCATTGCCTGAGGCTTTGCTGAGCTGACAAATGATTATGATATTTGTATTTTATTTCTGAAAGTCTGAGTGTGTTGTCATTTCTAGGCACTCTTTGCAATTCTGGATGTGAGCCTCTTAAGTGCAACTTTGTATTGCTATTTTTAAGGAAGTAACCCGGATAAAGTTAAGTTTGTGCAACAGTTCATAATTTGAATGAGATGTAAGCAATCCTTCGTATTCATATTGGTATATTATGTAATTTTTTATGAATAATAATTTTTATCCGGTGTTGTTTTGTGATAAGCATGATGATGAAATTTCTGCTAAATTGTTTTGTGGCAATTTAATCATGTTTGTTTGAAAAGGCAGATAAAGTTGTGTTTATCTATAATTATTGTCCTTCACTTCTTACTCCCAGAATTCAAAAGAAATCACTAGCATCTATCAGAATTTCAGTTTAATTATTATTATTATTACACAGCGGTCTGCTGGTTGGTGTTTGAACCTGCTACCAGCCCCTGCTCCCCCTCGTGCCAGTATACATGGTGGGCGAGAAGCCCTGCCGGAGTGCCGGGCCTGACCTGGCCTGCCTGGCCGGGCCGAGGAGGGGCGAGTAGGGAAGCCCCTCAACATTGAATCGATGTGTAAGGAAGAGGGCTGAACAGGGAAGGCTTGGCGGGTTTGCATGCCGCACCTTGGAGAATGGCGTGGTGTCTCCGGAGTGAAAGGGGGGCGGCGGGATGGTCCAGTGGAGACAGTGTCGGTCAGCCTCGGTGGCGCGCTAGTCGCGCTAGTCGTTGACTTGGTGGAGGCCGAGCCTTCCGATGAGGGCGTCGGTGGCGCCGTGGTGGGCGTGCTCGTGGTGCCCGTGGTGTCCATGGTGCGGGGCTGACTGCTGTTCGTGGCCCTGGCCGCCTTGGCCCGGCGGCGGCTCGGGCGACGACTTGAGCCTGGCGAGGTCGCCGTCGTGCGGCTGGTGCGGCGGGCACCCGCCCACTCCGGACACGGGGTACGACGCAAAGCCGCCCACGCCCCACTCCATGCCCAGGAAGAGCCCCATGCCGGACACCGGGCTGGGGTCGGAGTGCAGCGAGCCGATGGAGCCAAGCGGCCCTAGGGGTGGCACTGCGGGCAGGAGCACGAGGAACATGAAGGACGGACCGAACAACCCGCAAGACGGGCCAGGAAGGCGTCAGTCCTTACCCAAGCCCATGGCGGCGCTGCCCAGCATCGGGCCTCCGTCGGCCATGGTGGGCGCAGGGGACGGCGTCGGGGACACCGACACTGCAAGGGGAGAAACATTCATTCGACGAGCAAATAAATGAACTTCATTCAGCCATGTCGACTAGGAACACCAAGACGCGCAGGAAAAAGACTAGCAGAGCAAGGTTTCGATCCTCGGACCTCTGGGTTATGGGCCCAGCACGCTTCCACTGCGCCACTCTGCTACACAGTGAGAACGCCCACACCAAGCACGCCTGAAGCTACGTCACGCACAGCGCAACCGGGCACGAGCATGCGCAGAAGGCGCGACCGCGATCACGAAACGCGCCTAGATTCGAAGATGAGCCAGCCAGTGGGAGCGACGCGACAAGCTTCTGTTGACTCTTCGGCGATAACGCTTGAACGAAGGCAGGGTGATGCAACCTCACCAGGCATATTGATGTGCGTGGACGCCACCTCGGAAACGTGTTGGTAGTGGTGCAGATGTTCCGCCTGCTCCTGCTCTTGTGATGGCTGCATGCGTTATCAGAATTACGAAAATGAAAAAAAGAAACACCTCAAAATTAGCCCTTTCCTTGAGTTTGCTTTTAGTGTTTACCGCGTGATGGTGTGGTTGCTGGTGGTGGTGGTGCTGCTTGACGGCGAGCTTTTCCTGCTTCCGCCACTTGGCCCTGCGATTCTGGAACCAAACCTGCCAAGCCGCACACCGCGTCAAAGTCGCCAAAGTGTCTCTACACTGTAAATCCAAAGGCGATACTTTTAGTACCTTTTTTGGCGATACAATTGAGTATCGCGGCCTTAACGGCCTTACGGAAAAGTATTGCCTTCAAAACGGCGATACACGAAATCGTCAAAATTTGGCGATACTTTGGAGTATTGCCACGATTTGGCTAGAAACGTTGAAGAAATCAAGGAGACAAGTTCTTAGTTTAATGCCGTGGTTTTGGCGATACTTCCGTGTGTCGCCGTTCTGAAGGCAATACTTTTCCGTAATGCCGTTTATTGGCGATACTCAATTGTACCGTATCGCCAAAAAATGTACTCGGGTATCGCCTTTGCATTTGCAGTGTACCTAACCTAACCTAACCTGCACGCGGGCCTCCGTCAGGTCGATCCGCAGCGCCAGCTCCTCGCGGAAGAACACGTCCGGGTAGTGCGTCTTGTGGAACGCCCGCTCCAGCTCGTCCAGCTGGGCGCTGCTGAACGTGGTCCTGAGCCAAAAGACGAAGAACGCGGAGCTCTAAAGTCATTCCAGGACAGTGCACTGTAAAAAGTGATCGGACGGCATTAGGAGGCCACCCAGCCACCTCAAGCTACCGGTACCTGTACCTGTATCGCCTCTGTTTCCGCTTGCCGTGCCCCGTCGCGCTGCTCGGGAGCGCAGGGCTGGACAGCGGCGAGAAGCCGAGGGGGGACGGCGGATCCGCCCCTTGACCCGCGGACACCCCCGCCCCGCCTCCCGCCCCCTGCCCCGCCCCCGGCGACAGCCCCGGCCCGCACATGGAACCGGCGTACACGCTGTCGTTGTATCCTGGAAAACAAAAACCTGGCTGTCAGTAACATTTGTGCTAAACCATCCGGGATGGAATTAGCAGCAAACCACTCGTCTGCCGCGGCGTCCGGCGCCTCGAATCAAGCCGCTCCCCTCCCCCTCCCCACGTTGCACCCCCTCGCCCCGCGGCCCGCGCCTGCCGCCCTCCGCTCCTTAATTAGCTTACGTCACAACAGGTTTGTCCTAACCAAATTGAGTATCGAGGGAGGGCGGAGCCAAGTGTAATGCATTTAGAAATAATTTGATAAAAAGGCATAATGCGACGGGCAGGGAGGGGGCTGCCCGGCGGCCGGCGCCGCGGACTGGAGTAGTTAGTCGGACGCGGCGTGCTGCGGGTCGCGTCGCGTCGCGTCGCCCCGCCTCTTCGCGGCCCCCGACGGCGTGGTCGCGGTCTCCGCGAGGTCCGCGACGTGCCGTGGGCCTGCCGCGCTGCTCTCTGCTCACCCAGTTTGCTGAACGCGAGGTGATGCTGCGTGGCCGGCTGCTCCGCCTGCACCAGCGCGCCCAGGCTGCCCAGCGTGCCCAGCGTGGTGCTGAGGGAGCCCGACAAGGTGCCCAGCGAGCCCAGGGTGCCCAGGGTGCAGTCGCCGGCGCCCAGGGACTGCAGCAGCCCCGTGATGGAGTACTGCGACCCCGCTGCCACCTGCGGCCCGGCGGGGGCGGGCGACGGGGCCGGGGCGGGGGGAAGGCCCGCGTCCAGGGCGTCCAGCGGCTCCAGCGTGCCGGCGAAGCGGATCCTGTACTCGGAGCCGCAGCCCCCGCAGCCCCCACAGCCGCCTAGGTCCGAGTCCAGCTCGCCGCCGGGATCCCCGGCCCCCCCAGCCCCGGCCCCGGCCACGATGGTCACTGACATCGCCTCATGACGCCCAAGTGCGGCGAGGCGGTCAACGCCTTGGTCAACGCCTTGGTCAAGGCAGCGAGCAGCCGCCAGGTGGGTCCCTCGCTAGTCGTCGGACTGTCCCTTCGGCCCTACAGGAGCCGAGGCTTTTGCTTCGTGACACGCCACCCCATGGGGCTCGGCAGACACTGCAGGGTGGTGGGCTCACGGCTTCAATGGCACCAGCATCGTCGATTTTGCCGATTTTCCTAACAACTTTCTGGCGATGGCGTTTGGTTCCGCGGTCACTCCTCTGTCACTGTGGGCGCGGGGCGCGGGAGAGGCGAGGGGGCGGGGGCGCTCCGCGGAACCGTCCGAACATTATTCAATCAAGAAATTAAAGCGGGTGATCCCATTAGCGGGCACGGTCTTCCGGGAGGCGAGGCCGTCGAGGCCGTCGCGTCGAGGCCCGGCGCCGTGACGAGTGTCGAGTGCTCGGCGGCGAGGCGGAGCGGCGACTGGGGGTCTGCGAGGGTGAATCTGTGTTGCGGCCAGGGGTGGGGGCGGGGTGGGGCGGGGCGGGACGAGGACGGAGGACGAAGAACCGAAGAACGGCACGGTGGCCGCCGAGGGGCTCTACCAGCTCTAGGCTCGCAGGGCGCCGGCTTTGGCGCCTCCTGCACCTTGCCCTTGCGGTGTGCCATCCACCCTTGCATCTACCTCCACCCTCGGCTTGCCCTCGGCCAGCGACGCGCCCGTTTTCCTTATTAAACTGGCGCACCGCGTTCGCACCGCGTTCGCACCGCGCCTCAGGAATTTGGCAGAGGGGGCACACTGGAAAGAACATAGGCGCCGAGGAGAGAGGCTGTCCAGGTGCCGCGACAGTCCACGTGTTTTGTGGACGCCCCCGCCGCGATGCCGTTCTTTTTGTCGCCGTGTGGAGTTGCTAGAAAGGGCAACGCACGCGCCACGCGGCACGTCCCTTTTGCCGGCTGTACGCCACTGTAAGGCTTCCACCCCCGCCGCGCTCGCGCCTCGCCTCGCCTCGCCTCGCGCGGCCTCGCGCCCTCGCGCCCTCGCGCCACAACGCACAGTGGGCCAGAAGACCGGTGCAGGCGGCCAAAACTCTAGACGCGTTTTGAGCTCCAGAGTCACTAATCAGGGCTCGAACCGAACGTGTGACCCCACCAATGGATTGCTCTCCGCACGAGGAATCCATTGGTGGGGTGACACGTTCGGTTCGAGTCCCATTTAGCGACTCTGAAGCTCAAAACGCGTCTAGAGTTTTGGCCGCCTGCACCGGTCTTCTGGCCCACTGTGTGCCGCCCCTGCCCCGTCCCTGCCGCCCCGGGTCCGGGCCTTCCCTCCCGCCGTAGACAAGCTCCGCCGAGGGCTCAGCTTCGCCTCACAGCCCCCCCCCCCTCTTCCGACTCGGCCTATGCTGGATGGAAAGTGTTTGGTGAGCTGTACCCTCGCCGCTACAATGGCAAGAAAATCGCAGGAAAGCATTCGATTGATTCCCAAACCCCGTCTGCTCAGCAGGACTGCTCTAGAGTAGAGTGGCGGTGGTCCGCGTGGGGCCGCGTGGGGCCGGGTGGGGCCGGATGGGGCTGAAGAGGGTGTCCCACGGGGCGTCGTCCGGTCCCTGCGCTTCCCGCCCCTGACCTCTGGAGACTGATTCCGAGTGTCGTTTTCGTCGCTCTGCCTCTCTCGCACTCATGGGATCCTGCAGACCCATCCAGGGCGCCGTCACGTCCGATAACCCCATCGACCCCCTGCAGGCCCTGCAGGCCGTGGGACCGTGTCCACGAAGGCGTGTCCAATCGATGAGACCGCTTTCCTCAGCGCGCAGCCTGAAGACTGGAAGAACCGAGCCTCAGATGCTTCCGGTACTCGAGCCAGCACACCCGGCACGAGCGCCGCGCGGTACATGGCGTCGCCGCGGTCGCGGGTCGCGTGGCGGTCCAGGTCCGTGGAAGGCCGTGGTGGCCGAAGGGTGGGAGGGGCGCCAAACTGCGTGAAAGTTCCGTTCGTTACCTCTGCAGGTTCAGTGACTACTGGGCGCGTGGCGAAGTCTTCTTCAATGGACGCGTCGCACCGCCGTCGGGGTCCACCGTGCCGCGCCCTGCGTCCCCTACCCCCCTCCATAAGTGGGGCCGCGCAGTCCTGGGGGGACGCGTCGTCCGGTCCGGAGGTACTGCCCAAAGTACCAAGCGACTCACGTAACATTTTAGCATGCCTGCACTACATACAAACGGGATCACGCATATCGGGGCGTGTAGAAAAGTAAAACCGCGGTTTCACACCAAAGTTTTAGCAGCGAGCACTCTTGTGCGCTATAGCGCCTGTGAGGTATGCCGCCGGCCCAGCCCGCCACACTCCGGTGTGCAGACGGTGGCCTAAACCTGCCCCTGCCCTCTTCGCGGGGGCAAGGTAGGCCACCTTCTCTACAGCAGTGTGTTGCAGGCCGGGGCGGAAGCCTACCTCATTACCATTACCATTAAGGGCTAGACAATGATCGTATGCCATTTCATGCCCGACAAGGCGCTACTGCCCGAAACGATTCTGAGAAACGTTTCGTCGCTCTGTCTCTGTCGCACTGGTGGGACGTACTGTGGGGTGCGAGAGAGGCAGAACGTCGAATCGAGCTCCCGAAGAGAGCCTGTTGCTGGTAACTGCAGGCAGCCTGTTGCCCTGCTGCCCGTTGAGTCCCAACGCAAAACGGTTGGCACCTTTGACAGGCGTGGACTCGTGGGACGGGGTTCACGTGCAGGACGATGCCGCGGTCCAGTCCAACGAGGCCGGCAAGCAGCCCGGCGGCGACGCCCTGGACTACGCCGGCACGCCGCTCGCCCCCGTGGTGTACGGGCTGGCGGCGAGCGGCATACTGCCCCTGGCCATCCGACACCCCCGTGAGTCAGGTTCCGGAGCAGAGGTACCGATTCGCTGCTTTCTCTTCCTCTCTCGCACTCTAACAGTGTGCGAGAGAGAAAGAGCGACGAAAGCTCCGCCTATCCACGGCAGCCTTCCCGACGCTCTCAGCGCAGGTTTACCCAGCCTGCACCCGGGCCGCTCCACCCTCCTGTACTGCGGCATGGTGTTCGCGGTGTGCACCGCCTCGCAGACGCTGGTGTGGAGTGACCAGGTAGGAAACGAGTTTCTGCGACGGGCACTGCGAGTAGACATGCAGCTCTGTCCCTCTCGCACTCCTACGGGCCCACTGTGTGTGCCAGAGGGACAGAGCGAGGAAGTGCCTGTTCGGAAATGAGGCAGCTGAGGGACGCTTTGCAGTTGATGGTAGCGATCAGCTCGTCGGCCCGGTGGGACGACCGCCTGTTCGCCGTGGAGGTGCTGGTGCTGCTGGTGCCGCAGCTCTTCGCGCCCTACGCCTGGGTGTGCACCTCCACCTTCAGGAAGATCCTGCAGGACTTCGCCAAGTACGAGGTACTGTGCGAACTGCAAGCAACCTCTCGGACCTGGGTGGCCTCGGCCTCGACTTGCGCGTCCAGGAACTGGAACTGGAAGCGTCGCGTTAAAGCAATGCCTCGCTCACTGTAGGCGCTGCATGCCTCGATCGCCAGCACGCCGCTGGCGCCGCGCTGGGTGCGCCGACGCCGCCTCTTGGCGAGGATCATCATCTCCTCCTGCTTCAGCGGCACCGCCTGTGTGCTGCTGGGCATCACCTTTCTCAAGGTCTGTCCCTGTCGGTGACGCACCAGGGTTGCCGAACCTCTCGAGAGCAAAGTCCGCTGTGATTTCTCCCCCGGCGCACAGTGGGCCAGAGGACCGGCGCCGGCGACCTAAACTCCAGACGCGTTTTGAGCTCCAGGGTCGCTAAATAGAACTCGAACCGAGTGGCCCCACCAATGGATTCCTCGTTCGGAGAGCAATCCATTGGTGGGGTCACACGCTCGGTTCGAGTCCCATTTAGAGGCTCTGCAGCTCAAAACGCGTCCGGGATTTTGACCGCCTCCACCGGTCTTCTGGCAAATCCACTGTATGCGGCGCAATCGCTTGGCACGCATCCCGCTCTCGTCGCTGCAGCTGCGCTACTTCTACTTCCCCGCCGCCTTCTACTCCATGATGATCCAGTTCCTGGTCACGCTCTTCTTCGCCACGCACCACCACCAGCTGTGGGAGGCGGCCAGGGCGATCTGCGCGGAGCTTCACCAGGTGGGCCACTGGAATGCCGCACGCCTCAAACAAACCGTCGGCAAGCCTGCCTGTCGACCTGTCTCTCTCGCGCTCTTGCGGGACGCCCCACGAGTGCGAGAGAGACGAGTGCGGAATCAGTGTGCTGCTGCCGCCATTTGGCGCTCACTCCAACCCTTCTCCCGGTGCCAGATTCCGGTGGCGTCGGGCCCGGCGGACTTGCAGGCCGGCGAGCAGGACAAGCAGGCCGGGCTGCGCGCCATCGGCGCCATCCGCGACGGTCACCGCCTCTGGGTCGCCCTGCGGACGCTGTACAACCACACCGAGTACTGCTTCCTGGACGTGTTCCTGCTCCTGCACCTGTTCCTCAGGTCCTGGAGCCTGGAACGAGGCGTGCGAGCGATTTCGCGGCCGCGGCCATTGTGGGACGCGGCCCAAATTCTGGGCGCATTTTGGACTCCAGCGAGTCGCTGAACGGGACTCGAGCCGGGCCTATGTGACCCCACCAATGGATTCCTCGTTCGGAGAGCCATCCATTGGTGGGGTCACACGTTCGGCTCGAGTCCCATTCAGCGACTCTGGAGGTCAAAACGTGTGCGGGATTTTGACCGCCTCCCATATGGGTTTCCAGAGTATTGCGTCGGACTCGCGTCTGATGTCCCCTGATTGGTGCCCCTCAGCCTGCTGCTGGCCACCTACATGTTACTCGTGTTCGTGGCCTCCGGCGTCCTCTACAGCGCGGCCATCGAGATGCTGATGGTCGCCACGGCCTTGCTGCAGCTCGGCCTCATCACCAATGGGGCGCACTACGGCACGGAGCAGGTGGCTGACGGTGCACCGGGCATCGCGTCTCACGTCCACTGTTTATTTTTCAAAATTCACACAATTGTTCGATGCCATTTCAGATGTGTGGCCCCGTGGTCGATGCTCTGGACAAGCTCTCCATCGTCACGGACGACCCTCAACTGTTCCAAACGGTGTGAATCCATTGAAGTCAGCCACGAACACCAACAGCCTGTCCATCCGGCAAATAGAACTACTTTCTAAATACCTTTTCAGGTTATGTTGTTCTACCAGTCTGTGGTTGCGTTCCCGGCTGCTGTTTCACTGAGTGGTTTCACGTCCGTCGGTCGGCCTCTCTTTACCTCGGTGCGTCAACGAAAATGACGTCATTTTGCTGCTTCGAGTGTTTGAGCCACATGATCCTTACTGCCCACTTTGCCCCAGGTCATCTCCGCGACGGTGACGTACATGGTGATCCTGATACAGTTTCAGCAGGGTGTTCACGACACGCTCCAGACCAACGCCAGTCATGTCGATCCCCACATTCAGCAAAATTCAGAAGTTGCTCGATAAATAGTTGTACGCACTGAAATGAGACGTGGCTCCAAGAAGATTTCAACCCAAACACATTTTTCATTTTAAAAAAATTATTAAAAAATGTTGTCACTTTGAGCACACTAGCACACATTATCACCCTTGACATGATTTTCGCAAAAATAAATCACGTTAACGACTACCTCATTGTTTCAATTACATGCCAGATGCATCTGGCCAAAATCCTACTGCGTAAATGTCTTTTTGTGACCTTATCAAAATAAGAATCGATTCAGTCCCCGAAATGGCGCTTGGCGCTCGTCCCACGCTCTTCCCACCCACTTCCCACCCACTTCCCAATGCACTTTCCACGCACTTCCCACATACTTCCCACGAACTTCCCGGCCACTTTCCACGCACTTTCCACGCACTTCCCACACACTTCCCACGAACTTCTTACGCACTTCCCACACACTTCCCACAAACTTCCCGCGCGCTTCCCACGCTCTGCCTACGCTCTTCCCACGGATTTCCCACGTATTTCCTACGCTCTCCCGTGCACTTACCGCACCGCCTCTGGCCTCCGCGCCGGACTGGCCGGCATCGGAAACCAACACGCAGCGGGCGAGCGGGTTGCCTATACTCGACTTGGCGGGCGCGCCGGAACGGAGCGGCGCTGTTAGGGGCGGAGATTGCGCCCCTGCGCCGCGGTTCACGCGTTTTTTTCGCGGCATGGCGGCTTTGCGTCACTGCCACGTCTTGACTCAACGGTGCGCGAGGCCGCGAAACCGTGAAACCGCGGCTTCAGGACTTCAGGACTTCGCGACTTCGCGTCACCGCGGATAGCTCAGGACTCCAGGACTTTAAGAATCATGGACCCTGGAATCCTGGAGTCGCTTCGGCGGTGGGGTGTGCACCCACGCCCCGTGTGACCTACGCCCTTTGCGAAGTCCTGTAACCAGTCATTGCTGCAGACCCATCCGGGGCGCCGTCACGTCGGACGACCCCATCGACCCCTGCAGGCCGTGCAGGCCGAGGCGCCGCGAGGCCGTCTCCACGAGGGCGTGGCGAATCGATGAGACCGCTTTCCTCAGCGCGCAGCCTGAAGACTGGAAGAGCCGAGCCTCAGATGCTTCCGGTACTCGAGCCAGCACACCCGGCACGAGCGCCGCGCGGTACATGGCGTCGCCGCGGTCGCGGGTGGCGTGGCGGTCCAGGTCGGTGGAAGGCCGTGAGGTCAAGGGGTGGGAGGGGCGCCAAACTGCGCGATAGTTCCTCTCCTTACTTCTGCAGGTTCAGTGACTTCTGGGCGCGAGGTGAAGTCTTCTTCAGCGGACGCGTCGCACCGTCGTCGTCGCCACCAGAGCCGCCGTCGGGGTCCTCGGTGCCGCGCGCGCCGCGCCTTGGGTCCCCTACCCCCCTCCACAAGTGGGGCTTCGCGGTCCTGGGAGGGCGCGTCGTCCGGTCCGGAGGTACTGTGGAAAAGGGTTTGGCGCTCTGTCTCTTTCGCACTTGTGGCCGCAAAGGTACTCCGCAAACGACCGGCGTTCTCGTCATCCAACCAATGCTGGCCGACGACGGGTTGACTTGGCATTGTAGCAGCCAACAGTCTAGCGTGCCCTGTAGCGCCGGGCCCGAAATGGCATACGATCATGTGTGGTCTATAGCCCTTAATGGTAATGGTGAGGTAGGCCGCCATCCCGCCCCGCGACACACAGTTGCAGAGACGGTATGCGCTATCTCCACGACTCAAGCTCCAGCAAGCCACAGGCAAGCGGTGCTCTTGCAGAGGCCGGCTGCCAAAGTCACGCAATGCAACAACACGTGTGTGGCCGGTGTGGCCTTTGGCCACAATCAATGACATAACTACATGTGGGGCTCTCCCGGCTCCCCGTAGGGGTGCGAGAGAGACTGAGGCTCCTACCAAAGGTGCTCTACCTCGGGTTAAATCCCAACGCAAGCAGGTAACGCCATTTTGGACGACCCTTTGGCAGGCACCACAGACTCGTGGGACGGGGACCGCGCACAGGGCCATGCGCGGGTCCAGCCGTGGGTCCCGGTCGCCGACGCCGCCAAGGCCCAGCAGCGCGGCGGCGACGCCCTCGACTTCACCGGCACGCCGCTCGCCCCCGTGGTGTACGGCATGGCGGCGTGCGGCATGATGCCCGTGGCCATCCGACACCCCCGTGAGTCCCGGGAGCCACAGGAAGATTCCGGCCATTCGTTGCTGCCTTTCTCGCACTCTAACCCCTTGAGTGCGAGAGAGAAAGAGCGACGAAAGCTCCGCCTCTCCCCGGCAGCCTTCCCGACGCTTTCTGCGCAGGTTTACCCAGCCTGCACCCGGGCCGCTCCACCCTCCTGCACTGCGGCATGGTGTTCGCAGTGTGCACCGTCTCGCAGACGCTGGTGTGGAGCGACCAGGTAGGAAACGAGTTTCTGCGACTGACGCTCCTGCGTGCGGACATGCAGGCTCTGTCCGCCCACTATGAGTGCGAGAGGGACAGCGAGGAGAGTCCCGTTCGGAAATCAGCCCGCACTGTTCACAGTTCCCGCTGGCGGTCAACTCGTCTGCCCGGTTGGACGACCGCCTGTTCGCCGTAGAGGTGCTGGTGGTGCTGGCCCCGCAGCTCTTCACGCCGTACCTCTGGCTGTGCACCTCCACCTTCAGGAAGATCCTGCAGGACTTCGCCAAGTACGAGGTGCGTGCGAGCCACACTGAACGCGAGGAGCGCAGACCAAAACTGAGTTCCGCGAGCTGCCTCTGGCAGCAAACTGAGAGTCGCTTTCGTCGCTCTGTCTCTCTCGGACTCGTGAGGCGTCCGCATGGGTGCGAGAGAGACAGAGTGACGGGTCGAAGAGTACTGTGGACATGTCGTAAAGCGGATGCTCGCACACTGTAGGCGCTGCATGCCTCGATCGCCACCGCGCCGCTGGCGCCGCACTGGGTGGGCCGACGCCGGCGCGTGGCGAGGCTCGTCGTCTGCGCCTTCTTCGCCTTCACCGCCTTCGTATCCGTAGCCGTCACCTTCCTGCAGGTCTGTCTGCAGGCAAACATTTCCACGATGAAGCTGTGTTGAAAGGGTTGCCTGCCTACTAGGCAACGGGCAATAGCCATCCTATGACGTCATTCTGACGAGAAACGAGCACTATAGAGCTCATATATGATTGGTGCAACCCTAGGCGGGCGCCTACGCACGAACAAAAACCCCTGCAAAGGGGTTTTTGCCCCTTTCCCTGTGGCATCTAGATAGCCGCCTGAAAGGAAGGCAAACAGTCGTCCTTTGACCAGTGTAAGTAGGCAAGAAAGGCTACTTTGCCCCTCCCAAAGGCCGCCACTGGATCCGTCATGCTGCAGCTGAGCTACAGCTACCTGCCGGCCGCCGTCTCCTCCCTCATGATGCAGTTCCTCGTCACGCTCTTCTTCGCCACGCACCACTTCCAGATGTGGGAGGCGGCCAAGGCGATCTGCGCGGAGCTTCACCAGGTGGGCCACTCGAATAATCCTACTGGGTCCTAAACTGCGTCCTTCCGGGTCCCTCTGCCTGTGTCCTACTGAGTCCTACTGGGTCCTACTGTGTCCTGCTGGGTCCTACTGGGTTCTTCTGGGTCCTACGGAGTCCTACTGGGTCCTTCTGGGTCCTACTGGATCCTACTGGGTCCTACTACTGGGTCCTACTGAGTCCTACTGAGTCCTACTGGGTCCTACTACTGGGTCCTACTGAGTCGTACTGAGTCGTACTGAGTGAGTCCTACTGGGTCCTACTGGGTCCTTCTCAGTTCTACTGGCTCCTACTGGCTCCCACTGGGTCCTACTGTGTCCTACTGGGCCCTGCTGTGTCCTACTGGGTCTTACTGGGCTCTATTGGGTCTTACTGGGTTCTACTGTGTCCTACTGTGTCTTACTGGGTTCTACTGGGTCTTACTGGGCTCTACTGGGTCCTACTGGGTTCTGCTGAGTCCTACTCTCTCACGGTCGCTTCCAAGTCGCTTCGCTGCTGCCGTTTGACTCCCACCCTTCTTCTGGCGCCAGATTCCGGTGATGTCGGGCCGGGCGGACTCGGGGGCGGGCGAGCAGGACAAGCAGGCCGGGCTGCGCGCCATCCGCGACGGCCATCGCCTCTGGGTCGCCCTGCGGACGCTGTACAACCGCACAGACTACTGCTTCATGGACGTGTTCCAGCTGATTCACCTGTTCCTCAGGTTAGTTTAAACGTAGCTCCTGAAATTCTCTCTCGGTGTAGTTTCTGTTTCTTACCTTGCAACGTAGAGTAGGGTTCCTTTTTCGCGCGTGATTTTCCCTCCCTCCTGATGACCCAGCACAGCTCTAGCTTAATGACTTGGTGCCCCTCAGCCTGCTGCTGGGCATGTACATGTTCTTCGTGTACGTCACCAGCGGCATCCTCTTCAACGCCGTCATCGAGATCCTGTTCTCCGCCGTGATTCTGCTGCAGCTGGGTGTCATCACCAACGGCGCTCACTTCGGCACGCAGCAGGTGGCCGATGGGTGACGGCGCAGGGCAGTATCAGGCAATGCGTCTCGCCTTTACTATTTTCCTTTTCAGTTCGGTCTGTTAAAATCCTTACAGTTGTTCGATGCGATTTCAGATGTGTGGTCCCGTAGTCGATGTGCTGGACAAGCTCTCCCTGGGCGCCGACGATCCCCAACTATTCGAAACGGTGTGAACTCATTAAAGTCAGCCACAAACACATACGGCTTGCCCACCCATCCGGCAAATTAAACAACTTTCTAAACATTTTTGCAGGTTTCACTGTTCTACCAGTCTGTGGTTGCGTTCCCGGCCGCTGTTTCTCTGGGTGGTTTCACGGTCGTGGGTCGGCCTCTATTTACCTCGGTGCGTAAACGAGGAACCCGTCATTTTGCTGTTTTGAGCTGCACCTCATGTTCCTTTGTCGGATGGTTTCACTTTGTTGCAGGTCATCTCCGCGACGGTCACGTACATGGTGATCATGATGCAGTTTCAGCAGGGTGTTGAGGATGCGCTCCAGCCTAACGCCAGCAGTGTCGAGTCCAGCATTCAGACAAATCAGAAGCTGCTGAATAAATAAATACATTGGACCCAAATCCTACAGTATCAGAGCAAATGAGTCATTGTCTTTCGGAGACTTCGACCACCGCGCACTACCGCGCACCGAGTCAAACGGGTGGCGGTGGATCACGTGACGACGTTCGACAATCTGCGCAGGCGCGGTGGGGTGGGGGAGGCGGAGGGGCGGGCGGCACGGGACGACGGGACAAGGACAAGGTTATGTTTTGCACGTCAAGTCTGGCTTGTTGATTCTTTCGGTGGGTTTTGTTGTAGTGTTCCTTCGTACTAGTCAGGCAAGAAATGCTTGTCTCTAGAATAAGTCGTCTATCAACGTATTTCACTAAACATCAGAAGACGCGTGTCCCCTGTGCTGCGTCAAGATGTATTCGTTATCTACAAACCTCACCCAACTCGTACCACGGAGAATACGAATACGAGGACCCGAAATCCGAAGAAGAAGTTGTACATGTCACGTATATAGACAAAAATGGCAATGCATCTCGCATAAGGGGGAAAGTGGGAGACAATGTGTTGTACCTCGCCCATCGTCATGACATTGAAATGGAAGGTGCTTGCGAGGCTTCCTTGGCTTGCACCACTTGCCATGTTTACGTTGAAAGTGATCATGTTGATATCCTCCCTGAAGCTGATGACAAAGAAAATGACTTACTTGACATGGCACCCTTTCTCAGAGAAAATTCGAGACTTGGTTGTCAAATTATTCTCACCAAAGAGTTAGAAGGCATTCAATTGCGTCTTCCTCAAGCCACTCGAAACTTTTATGTTGATGGACACAAGCCGAAGCCTCATTGAAGATTGTTGAAGTTGTATGATTAAAATGAGATGACAACTTGTAATAACATTGTTTGTATTTTATATCTTTTGTCAAAATTCTCACATTTTGGAAGTGACCGTATAGTCCAGTCCCCAGGATTGTGACAAACAAAGTAGAACATCTAGTTAATGTTAGCAATGTTCATATAAATTAATTTTGTTTCTATTTTTTTATGTTGTCTTTAACAAAGTAGCACTCCTGTCAGCTCTATTACATCGTTGTTTCGATCCGACTATTTCAATAAAGGCTTGGAACTTGTCCTCCTTAAGTTTATTTTACCTCATACATGTAGTTAAATCTATAGCCATGTCACTTTCACTATTTGCTTAATGACTTCATTGGTACACTCTTGATTGACATTAGCAAAAAAGCATCAATATGCCATGTGCAGATCAAATCTTAGATTTTAATACTTCCATGAATTTATTTCAGATCTAGCCCATGAGCTGGAAGGATGAATGCTCAGGATTTTTTCATGAATGCTCAGACATCTGCAGAACTAGCAGTCCGTTTTGATACAAGTGGCCAGTTGCCAGCAGCCCTTTATTACTATGAGGATGCTGCTAGTCATTTACGCTATGCAGCAGAACTTATTGAGGATAAGGAGATGGGCACAAGTTGGCTTAGGAAAGCTTCCGAGTACCATGAAAGAAGTCAAGGCATACAGCAACAGTGTAAGTAAACTGAAATTGACAAGCACAGTTGATTCCGCAACCACAAACAGACTCCTTTGTTATCTGGAAAAAGAAACGAAAAGATTAAACAAGAACTATTTATTTTATTGCAAAAATGATTTGAGATACGTCCAATTTTATTTGCAGTGCAAGCAGCAAAATGTAATTCCCAGCAATCTGAAGATTTGCAACAGCTACAAAGGTGTAGATTTCTCTTTGGCCACGCTCTTGACGCTGATGAGGCTGGACTGAAAGAAGAGGCAATTGAGCTATACACACAAGCTGTGGAACTGAGTATAAAAGCTGTAAGGAAGCGTTTCCTTGTAATGTGAGCTTACCTTGGTTGATTCAGAAAATAGGACTTAAGGTTTTTTTTTGTGTATTTTTAGAGAGCTGTGACAAAGGATCCTGAGCAGCAAGAAAAACTAAATACTCTACTGCACAGAGCTTTAGAAAGAGCTGAGACACTGAAAGGAATTAGTCCTGCTGAGGCTGCTGTTTCATCAGAAGCCTCCAAGACATCACCATCATCTACTCCATCTCACATTACAAACGTGCAAAATATTTCAGGGAAAATTGGCAATCTGACATTAAAATCACCAGGCAGTCCTTCAGGTAACTGAGTTGAATTTCAGAACTGAATAGTAGTAATGATGAAATCATGATGAAATTGTTAGGAAAGAGACAATAATGTTGTTGTAGGTAGCCATCCACCTTTACATCGTGGATTTAGTGCTCATCTCAAGGTTGTTGGAGGGTCCAACACATACACAGAAGAAGAAAAACGTGTTTTGCTTTCCACGTCTAGAATTAATGAAAGGGAGTATGTGCCATTCATGAGCATAGACCTCAAAGAAAAGTTTCAGTATGCTATTCCATTCTCAGACAAGGATGGCTTTTTGGCTCTATCTCCAAAGCAAAGATCAGCTTTTGACCGATGGGCTCGTCCAATTGATTATTGTGAGGACCCTGTGATGGTTTTTGGAAGCCAGGTTGATCCTTACAGTATTAAACAAACGGTATGTCGAATTTGAATTGTTTGTTTCTTTTCACAATTCAGTTATTATTAAATTATTGTCTTCATCCTTTTGAATATTTCAGATTGTGTCAGATTGTTCATTTGTAGCATCTCTTGCCATTGGAGCGCTGTATGAGAGGCGGTTTAAAAAGAGGCTAATAACTTCCATAATATACCCCAAGAACCGACAAAAAGAACCTGTTTACAACCCATTTGGTATGTTCTCTGAGAAGATTTGAGGAGACTGTTTGATTTCATTTTGATCCCTGTGTGTGTTTTGGTCCACCTTGGGTCTTTCTCATGTTCAATTAAAAGACTATGAATGAATGTGTTTTCCCCCGAATTTCTAGGAAAATATATGATAAAGTTACACATCAATGGTGTGCCTCGTAAGGTAATAATTGATGATTCTCTCCCTGTGGGTCGACATGGAGAGCTCCTGTGCTCTTATTCCATCAATCGCAATGAGCTTTGGATATCTCTTCTTGAAAAAGCGTACATGAAAGTTATGGGAGGCTACAATTTCCCTGGTTCTAATAGTGTAAGTATTTGCTGCACAGCATCTAATTTCTTGACTGAATTTAGAGAAATTTTTTCATTTGTGTGTTTTGTTTAGAACATAGATTTACATGCACTGACGGGGTGGATACCAGAGAGAAAACCTCTTCTTCCAAAGGAGCCTGATTTTAATGGTGATGCCCTGTTCGATATGCTTTTGAGTCACATTCAGAAAGGGAATGTTCTGGCTACTGTGGCGACTGGTGAATTGTCAGAGCTAGAAGCTGAAAGAGCTGGTCTTGTTCCTACTCATGCCTATGCTGTTCTTGATGTAAGAAGAGTGAATGTAAGTCAAGTTCAACAATTTATTGGCTCTTTACCCTGCTTCAATGTCATATTGTTTCAGTATTGCATGAACCATAAAAATTAGCTCTTTCAATTATTTTTAATGAAGGGTGTTTTTTTCTTTTTTTTAGGGTGTAAGACTTATGAAATTAAAAAATCCATGGTCTCACTTAAGGTGGAGAGGAAATTACTCAGAGCTTGATACTCAGCATTGGACCAAAGAAATGAAAGAAACTCTGGGTTTCAACCCTGACAGTGCTGCCATGTTTGATAATGGAGTGTTTTGGATTGATTATGAAAGTATTCTGCGATTTTATGATGTATTCTACCTCAATTGGGACCCTCAAATGTTCCAATATACTTATTGTATTCATCAGTTAGTAAAGATGCTCATTCTATTTATTCAGTGTGCATTACATGAAGAATTAGAATAATGCTGGCTTTATTTGTGTCTAGATCATGGAAAGCAGGCACTGGACCAATCAAGGATGCGTACAATATTGGAGACAACCCTCAATTTCGTTTGGAAGTGGGACCAGGTCAAGGAGCTGTATGGATTCTTCTTACTAGGCACATCACAAATATTCAGGACTTCAAAGAAAATCGTGAATTCATAACAGTTCTAGTTTACAAGACTGAAGGAAAAAGAGTCTACTATCCATGTATGTTTCCATGTCCCTGCTATTTATAGTGAGTTTGTTGACCCAGGCATTTAATTGAACAGACCATTTTCTTCTCAGACGATCCACCACCATTCATAGATGGGGTTCGCATAAATAGCCCTCACTATTTATGTAAGATAAAATTGTCTGAGAATAGTGCAAGAAAGTACACTCTTGTAGTGTCACAGTATGAAAAGATGCACACAATCTACTACACTTTACGTGCATATGCCACATGCCCTTTCAAACTTGAACCTATAAGAAATCCATATGTGCACACCAAGGAGGTAACTACCAACCCAACATTTCAATCATTTGATAAACAACTGTTTCCTTTCCCTCTAAATATTTGTACCTACCAAATTAATTTGCAGGTAACTGATGGGCAGTGGAAAGGTACCAGCGCTGGTGGATGTGGAAACCATCCTGACACTTATCTACACAATCCTCGGTATCAGCTAGTCTTGGAATCGCCCCACAATAACAATCAACTTTTGCTAGATTTGAAAGGTCCGAAGCAGTTTCAGATGGGTCTGGATCTAATCCCTCATGATTCAAGCTCCAATAAAAAGAGATCTTCTGGATTATTCAGGTGTGTTTGCCTATTAGAAGCATTACATGTAATGCAAAAGCTTACATACTATGAGTTATCATGAGAATATTTTAAAAATTAATCCTTGTGCTTTTTCAGGTCTGGCTTTGTAGCTTTTGAAATTGAAGATTTACCATCAGGCACGTATGACATCGTTCCAAGTACATTTCAGCCTGGCCAGGAAGGTCCCTTCATTCTTACAGTGAAGTCATCATGCCACTTTAAGTTAGGACGGATTCAGTGATTTTATTTTTACTTCTTATCTTGTCAAATGCTTTGCACTTTTCTTGTATTTAAGATTCTCTTTTAAGCACCTTGCTACTTGTTGTGTTTGTGTCTTCAAATTTTATTAGCCTTTTTTGTTTTGTATATATCAGAATTTAAATTGAATAGATGTTCAATCATGTTCCCGACACCAACAGGTTGAAAGAGTTTTTTAGTTTGTTTTTACATTCTGGAGTTGTTTTCTTCTCTACTTTTAATATTGTTTATGCTGTGATAATATTTATTGTAATGAATTTAACTCTATGAATATTTCTTGAGAGGATGATGTTTTGAATTATCTGTGAAAAATGATTTGTAAAATCATGCACCATTTTGTCATGATCTGAAGCTATCAGCGGCTTATTTTGATTATCTACTAAGATTTGCTGAAATAAAATCTAATGGATACATACATATGTGAATATATTTATTTATACTTTAATATAAATGTAAGGATTTAATTTTGGAAGGACGGATGTTACAGGCACTTTGGAAAAGGGACGGAGCAGTCACAGTTTAATCACAAAATTGAAGAAAGAACCTAAACTCAAGGTATCAGCTAGTCACCCAACAAAACTAAGTACGGACTGGTAGTGGTAATGTTACAAAGATGGCAAAGCCTGTCAGGCAACTAGTTGTAAAATGACCATTTGCTACAGTAAAGTATTCAGACAGTATGTTACATTCTAAGCAGTAATGGTCAATTTCAATGCATTAACTTAAGTACGAAAGGGTCTTAGACTAAGACAACAATGTAGAGACATTCAATACATTGCTTGGAATGAAAATTGTTTGTGAAGACAAAGTCAAAAAACAAAGCCCTTTATAATGGCACACACAGTTAAAGAAAAGTATAAACTGCACATTTACAAGGTACAACTGTACCAACAAAGGATTATTTGACATGTGAAGAAAACCTCCAAAAGGGGAGTACAGGAGATAAAATTCATACAGGAATAGTATGGACCATACCTCTCAAACCAGTATCAACAATATCACAAAACACCGGTTAAACCAAACAGTAAGAACCTTATTAATTGTTAGAAAATAGACTACTTAATAGCACAAAGCTGCATAATACAAGGTCTCTGTAAGGACTAAGGACAACAATATGTTACTAACATCAAGTAAAAGTACGTCATCAGTCATCATATTCATATTGATCCACAAAACTCCAAATGCTGGAATATATGATACCGTTTTCCTCACAGTAACAGAAGAACAAAAACATATGAAATGGATTTAAGATAATACTTGTCATGCATGAAGATTTATGAGGCTTGTAAAGATACAGCCTAATACAATAATTTGGCAAAACTCTGGAAGAAGGTGCATCTCCTACTTCAAATGAATGCACAAAACACATGTGAATTATACCGACAAACAATCTGTTCCTTAAAGTTTGCATTTGTGAGAATGCAAGGCAAATAAGTTCATGGGCATACATACAAGTTATATCACAAACTACAGTTATCATAGATAGGAACACAGATTCCACTGAAAGAAGATTCAGTCACAATATTTTCTTTCTGATAGCCAAATCAATTCAAATAATCATTCATGGGAAAATTCAAAGCAATGGTTTTACGTAAAATGAGCTTCATCTCCAGACACAATCATTTTTAAGAAACAGCTAGAATCTGCCTGATCTAGAGCACAAACTATAAAAGAATCACAGACAAATTATCGTACTTTTTGATCCCAAATAAAATAAGACACAGTGAACAAAAGGGTACTAAAGACATTTTACTACTGACCATGGGAGTACCAGCCCATTGGCCCAAAGTTTATCAATTTTTTATAAAATTGGTCAATTAACAAGGACTTAAAAATATAAGTAGTACAGACCTCGATTTGTTCAAGATTTTTATAGAATGCAAAAGTTAACATTGGCAGCAATACAAAAGCTGGCACAGTGGTCAACTTCTCAATTAAAGAATTGCTTTATGTAAATACGAGGTTGGCAGAATAAATCAAGATCCAAAATAAAATGCAGGGTTGTTTCTCTTTTCTCTCATCACATCAGAGTTTTTCATCAATTGCGACCGCAGCTCCTAATCTGGTATTCAAGGAAGTCATTTAATACATATTAAGAAAGACGACATAAACCCATCAAACCACATTCCATGTAGAATATAAAATTTTAATTAAAAAAAAAAAAAAAAAAAAGAAATGGGTCATCAACAAACAATAGAATATCAGGTAAAATCATAGAACATAAAAAATTATACATAGACACCTCACATAAATATTTATAAATTATAAGTGGCACTCACCGCACAATGGTTTAGTAACTGCATACATTTAAACTAAAATCATTAACATGCAGGTCTGGCAAAACCCTAACAGTCAGTTACTCTACTAACATTGAGAGGAAAGGCTTCTTAATATGAAGTAAAACAAGGAGAGAGGACAATGTGTAGTATATGTTCGGTGGGGCAAAAAACACATACATTGTCTTTTTACAAAGTCAACAAAACTTTCAAATACTGAGGAAAGGCCTTACTTCGATTCAGCTAAAGCTGAGTAGTAATTACAGTTTTTCTTGTTATAGACGATTCTTTTATCATTTTGGCTGCTTGTTGAGCAGCACTTGGGCCAGACAGAGTGTCCGATGCAACCAACCAAGGTGAAAGTTGATTGAGGGTGGTAGGAGGTGTGGAGTTGGACATCGGAACAGCATTTGCAGTAGAATTGGCTGGTGATGAAGTTGGGACGGAATCTGTTGCAGGAACTGAGCTTGAAGAAACAACAGCTGTTGCAGGGATGTCCAAGTTTCCATCTGGTTGATCATTTACAACAGCTGAATCCTGCAAAGGAATAAAATTGGCATTCAAAGTTATGTCACCCAAAGTTGAAAAGTAGCCCCCCCCCCCACACACACACACAAAAAGAACAAAAACAAACAACACACACACACACATACAAACAAAGTTTAAAACACTTCAATTTAGTAACACAAGAAAACAATTAGCTAGATACACAATTGAAGTAAACTTAAAAAACACAGCAATAGTTTTAAAAACTAGATAAATATAAAGCAAATACACAATTAAATTTCATCTTAGATTTTTTTTTTAAAGTTTCATTTATAAGTGAATGTGACTTACACTACACTATGTGCTTAAAAGCAAAAAAAATAGGTAAAATAAAAAATGAACAGCTGCACAAATCTTACCTTTTTATTGGGCGCATCTGCACTAGCTACCTTCTCAGAAGGCATGGGTGAAACCAAAGCAACTGGGGCAAGGAGGGGAGGGTCCTCCGCACTCTCCGAATCTTTGAACGGATTCTTAGTATCGGTCCGGACCATCTTAGGGGAAAGGAATGGGTTTGTTTTGGATTTTTCAGATGATGAAAATGGATTGGAAAATTTTGTCTCCCTGGGGGAAGTAGGAGAAAAATTCGTCTTGGAAGAGAATGGATTGAATGGATTCGTGCTATAAACAGCAGTTGGGGTGGTTGCCTTTTTATCAACATGATCTGCACTTGCAGAAAAGAGTGAAGGAGACAAAGGTGAAGGAGATCGATTTCGCTGAGAGTGGGAAGCGTTGTTATTTACTAGAGTAAGGGGAGGTGGGGATGGAGAGGCAGTGGACAAAACCCGTTGCTCAAGTTTTCCTCTATCTCCCCAGGAGAAATGAGTAACAGTAACAGGGGTAGGGGATCTTGCTTTGTCTGAACGCTCTTCAGTAAGGCCATCTTCTTGATCCTCTTCATCAGAATTGGAAGCACTTTCTTTGCCAGAAACAGCTCCAACATTTGAGCCTTGCGCAGCACTAGAGCCTGAGAGAGCGAGAGTCAGCTTGTCTCCTCCCTATTTATAGCCACAAAGCCAAGCGGCAAACAAAAAGAAAGAGTCAACAAAAATGAACCAATAAGAAGCGAAACACAACACTATGTTAAACAACAAGTAAAGCAATAAACATTGTTTGAAAAGACTAAAAATTCTTATTCTTGGAGAAATGCCCAAAGCAGTTTAAATCTTTTATTAAAAGAAACCTTTTATAAGCATCTCATTGTCACAAAAAAAGCCCCTTGGCAATTATGCATTTAAAAATTATTACGAGAAAATCTCATTTGTAGCGTCTCAGCCAGGTTTATCAAGCAGATGCAAACATTTAGCAGGCAAAAGTGATGAGTGGAACACAACTAGGTCCCAAACAATATAACTTTGACTAGAACAAGTTCTTATAAGGTCTACTCTACAATCCTAATTCAAAGCAGCCTTCAGAATCTCCCAATGACTAAGATTGATCAATGTGCAGTATGACTACTTTAAGTGTTACTTTTAAAAAGCCAAAATTTTAGCAAAAAGGAAAACTGAAAAGCCAGAAAACTGACACATTTTAGAGTAAGACCAGACAATCTTTACTCACCCCCATTATTTAAAATCTATACACCTGGCAGCAATAACAAATCAGTCAAGAATTTATTATGATAAACCAATTAAACTTCTAAGGACAAAATTCCCAGCATTTGACAAAACACAAAATTCAATTCCTCCTTGTATGACACAAAACATATCGAAAAGAGAAGGAAAACAAAAAATGTGCTTACCACAGAAACAAATGTTGCACTTCTGGTGTCAATAGGTGAATCCATGAAAAACTTGTGTCCCAGTTCACTTAAAAATATGAAAAACCAAAACAAATGAAAGAGCCTGTAATCAAAGCTTAAAAAACACATAAACATAAATTATTGTAAAACACTTACCCATTTGTCAGATTCTTCTCCAAAACATCTCCTATATTGGATAGTTTGCCTTCTTCAGCTTTGGCTTGAAAATAAAGAAGTTAATAATTTGAGTGAGTTATTGGCAACGGACGAATAAGGGCTTATCTTCATTCCTAGTAAATACCTTTAAGAATATTGCATTTTAATTGGTCTGGAGGAATGGGACGTGCAGGTCCAGCACTACTTGGGGTTCGTTGATTGTTGCGATATTTAGGTAAAGGTGACAAAGTAAACGTTGTACTTGATAATGCAGGACCAGTTATAGTAGATGGTGTAAGAGTTGGGACAGGATCACCAACCAGCTCAATATCTGAATTTGAGGCAAACCAAATGAACATAAATATAAATACAAAACACCAATTTGATTGAAAGTTTGCAACAACAAAAACAGCTCTAGTTCATTTTGAAAAATTGTCAACCACACACCTTCACTAATAGAGCTTGAGTCATTGGGATTATCCGCATTAAGAGCCGCACTTTCTTTAGCTAAGCTTTTGAGAAGGGTATCTAGCCGTTCCTCAGCTGTAAATGCAAATGAAATGTTAAATGTTTGAAACCAATTCAGGAATATTTGAGAGAATGGGATTAGCATATAGAACCAGTTTGTCGGGGTTATTTTACCTGGGGAAGATGCTTTCTGACGCTTCAGAGTTCCAGACAACACAGGACTTACAGGATCATCAGATGTGTTAACCAAAGTTGCAGTGGGGACATCAACTTGTTTGGATGATGAAGCGTCATGATTAGAATGACCAGCACCTGAACTGGTTCCTACACCTGACATTTGGGTTTCCAACGGTTGGGGCGCCGCTGACCCAATGCTGCGAAAGCTACCAGTACTAATTGATGAGGGAGCAGGAGCTCCAGCAGTTGCATCCGAATTCTTGAAAGTGCCACCAATACCCCTACAAATTAAAATTAGGGAAGTTTTAGTAAAGGGAAGAACAAGTAAAGCTACAGACACAGTCAAAAGCATATTCTTAAGTCTGACCTTTGTCTTTCCCGCAGAACATGTGATTGGCGACGAGCATATCGCTGACTTGGTCTACGTTCAAATTGAACAGTACGCCTTGCTCGGTTCTGTTGAGTTGTTTGGAACTCAGTTTTACCTTAAAATATCAAAATAAAAACATGATACATAAATACAAAAATGTTCTTTAAAATAATGAAAAGAAAAATTCCTACAGATAATGTCATATGTGCTTACCGCTGTAGCGAAATCTTGACCCCATACGAAAAAAGTTCTGCCGTGCAGAAGGACCTTTTACAGGTGCTTGGAGCCGGAAAAATGCATGATGCTCCACAGCACATTTCCACAAATGTTTACAAGCCTTTTCATTGTGAAGCCTGACATGTACAATTAATAGACAACATTAGAAAAAACCCATGAAATTCAGGTCGAAGATATTAGGTACACAGAAAAGAATAAATCACCTAAAGACAAATGTATGCTCCTGCTCATGTCCCTGGTCATCATCTTCTACAACAACTAAGGTCAATTTCTTTTTCTTGAAGTCAAGTTTTCCAATTTTAGGCCAAATGAAGAGACCTATTTTTTGAGGACCCTCAAATACCAGAATTCCAGTAGGGGTAAGTCCTAAGGAGTACTCACAGCTGTCTTTCCCAAGAACAGTATGGTTATCCACACCATACATTTCCAACCATTTCACCTACAGAATTAACAATATCAATTAATGCATCTGCCACTGAGGAAACATATCAGGCGGGTTCATAGTCAGTTTTTCTAGCGCTATGTTAAGACTGTTATGCTGCACCAAAATCAACGTCGCGATCGCGTATCGATACGTGGGAGCATTTACAGTGTTCTTATGGTCCCTGACGCCGAGCCAACTGTCGGATGGTTATTTTAAGCTAAAAACCAACAGAGTGGATTTCTGGCCATGAGGACAAATCCAACCAATAAGGTGCCGTGTCGGGCGTCATTGCTTAAGCCTAATAGCGTAAGAACTACCATCTACGGTCCGTCATGTTGCCGTGCGGTAAGACCATCAATGTAGCGTAAAATTCTTGCTAAAGAAAAACTGTGTATAAACCCGCCTTTACACAAAAAGACCACAGAGAGTTACATACTTTGCTCAAATAATTGCTCTCTGCTTGAGCTGGAGTTAAGCCTTTGCATCGTTGGTATTCCTCAAGAACACCAATTTCAAAATCTTCTGTTTGGTTCGGAACAAACCGAAATTCTGATATGAAGGCGGGGGTGTGGACCCCAGGTTCATAATCTCCCAGTTCAGCTGGAACATAACAGGCACATGATAGGATGATATTCAGAACTTCCATACATGCACAAAAGTAATCAAAACCCAAGACAAACAAACTTACATTGCAGAGCTAGAGCACATAGCTCAATTCCAGTTGGTAATGGACACTCGAGACGTCCTTCTAATATGTCTTGTTTCAGCTGAAGGAAAAACTGATACCTGGTAAGTTCCTCTCTCAATTGGCTTGGCTCAGATGAATAAAACTTCACTTTTAAGAATAATGTGTATGGAGGGCCAACTGAAAAAAAAAAGTTTCAAAAATGAAGGAACATTGTGATTGGAATTAAGCTCAGTAATACTAATGAAAGAAGAAAACATTAGAAAAATTTCTTACTTTTGACCTGTTTTTTGACTGCTTTGGTGGGATCTAACCAATGCTAGAGTTGAATAAGAAAGAAAGGCATTAACATAAATTTGTAGAGTGGAAAAAACAGTGTTGAAGCAGGAGATGGCCTCAGCTCAGAACCTCTGGGCCTTTATTGGCTTCTTTCACAATAGGATAAACCTGCAGCACTTAGGCTGCTTCTCTGTTGCACTACTGTGCTTTGGAGCCATTCAAAATGAGGGACAGAATACAACAGAGTAGCATGGGATTGAGGAAAATAACCCTGAAACTACCATAAAATGGTCTACTTAAGAATACCATAAATTATAATGAGGATTCATAACTTTACCTTGACATTGTTGGCATCTGTGTACTGTAATCCAAAGTAGTCCTTTTCAATAAGATCAAGAGAATAAAAGACTTGTTCATAGAGATCGCTTCCAACTGCTTTTTTCTGAAACAGCAAATGAAAGTAAATTTGTGTCATAACTAATTAGTTAGAGCTACGCATGAGGATGACTTTTCAAAAACTCAAAAAGAATAACTTACTAAAAATCAAGATCTCTTAAAAATTTAAATAGGTGCAATATATTTGAATTTGTAGAGAAAATCTGTATTCTTTTCAAAAAATGGGAGTAATCTCAATCGGTATAACCTCAAATTGACTATGGTTTGACCTTAATAAATTGCAAATAGTATAAGGAAAGCGACTCCGGCGATGCAATTAATAAACTAAGCAAAGACTGATGCTTGTGTAACATTGGACATACTCGCCACAAAGGGAGATAAAAGCGAGTATGCGTGAGAATAAATTTGACGTATGCGAGGAAAGGGGGAGGTGGCAGGGTGTCATGAGAAACAGGTACATTTGTGGGTACTTACTGTCAAATCCACGGATAGATCTGTACCGTCCAGAAGCACCACTTTACATTGTACAAGGTGCTTGTTCGGAATAAACCGCTGAGAAGAGCCAGAAGTAACTTGTGAGGGATTCTTCTGGGCGTTTCGACCCTTTCGTCGACTGAGAAACCGTAACATTTTCTGCTTATTTCACAGGTCCATTTAGTTCAAACAAAGTTCATTCGGACGGGCGAAAAGCATCAGTTGTCGCACTGAACACTTGTATTCGCGCACCAAGGGGGAACGGCAGCGAGAAACATGCCCAAATCACTCAAAAGAAAACAATTCGTTGACACATTGCCAAAAGCTAAACATCAACAATCAACAATCCGCAACAACAGTGAAAACAGCAACTGGAACCGGATTTGGACACTTGACAACTTATGCGCATCCGGTCGAATCTCGGACGCAGGACGAGGGGCAACGAGGGGGGAAAGGGGGAGTGGTGAGGGTGAGGAGCGGAGCAGGCCACGGTACGGACACGGACGAAAACTGGACGACGGGTACGATCTGCTGCAAACTAGCCCTTTACCGTTTTAAAAATTTTGAAGAAAAGGCTTCAAGAACCGTGGGAAGTTCATCATCCAACAGTTTCAACTTTTCATCATGTCAGACTCCCTGAAGGATATTTCCAAATTGAAGGTATAATGCATGGACTTGAAGTTTCGTTTAAGCGATGTTCTAACGATGCCGGTTTGTTTACATGTTGTGGTTTCACTAGGAATCCACCTCTTTTGGTTGATTGTTTATAATCTACGTGATAATTTTCTCTTCTATTAATGGGGTGCTTCTGAATTGTGATGCAGCTTCTCTGCAGCTTCGTTTCTTGAGCTGCTAAACTATTACTATTAAGATTGTAGTTCTTCCACATCGTTAATCCCCGTGCAAAATTTGTATTTTTGGGGGCTTTAGATTTATATTTTTGCAAGTTATTCGTCTATTTGTACGTACAGTGTCCGAAACTTGACTGTTCGGCCTCATCTGTCAAAGTAAAATTTGCTTAGCATAACCTCTAAATTTACACTACATTTTTCCTAATTTTATTTCATTGTTGTTTAAATGCAAAGAAACCAGTCTATTTTTGTAGGCTTTCTGTCACTTGTGTCCTAGCCCCGTTGACACGTCGTAACTTAAGGTATCTTCTCTATATGGCCTCCTCATGCAATTGTTTTCTTCCTGTCTAGGTTGCTGACCTGAAACGAGAGCTGAAGGTGCGTGGCTTAAGCACTGTGGGTAACAAGCAGGAGCTTCAGGATCGTCTCCAGGTGGCTTTACAAGATGGTACAGGTATTTTTATTTAGTTCTCTATCATCCAGCCATTAGTGCTCTTGTCGTAACTAGATTGTCATTGTATTTCAGATTCAGCTTTGCTGTTGGACGACACAGGGACGGTAGACACCGAAGACATTCTAAATGAGGATGATGTTTTAGCAGTGAGTTCTTAACATTTCTGTGGCTGTGTTTGAAAAAATTGGGTGCTAACATTCTGTAAATCCTCTGAATGCTAATGAAACATTCTTCATTTTGTGCCTGAAGGATGAAGATGACTCGAGTACTCATGCTGGTATCGATGAGGTTAATACTTCTCTCAAGAGACATCTGGATGAAGAGTTGGATGAAGATACAGTAACCAGCACACCAGCTGGCAAAACAAGTGCCTCGGAAGCGCAAGACAATGGTCCTCCTGCGAAAAAAATTACTCTGAACAGAAAAGCTTTACCACAAGCTGCTCTAACTGTTGAAGGAACATCTGAGCAGGAAGACAAAGCCAAGGAGGGTAGTGATGACAAAAAAGTTGTGAAATTGTCTGAAATCTCCATGAAAGAGGTATTTACTCCTCTCTGGCTTTAGTTTGTCTTATTTTGTAAATGTTTTATGTGGTTATGTTCTTTGGATGTGGTCATTTACGTTCGTTTGTCTGGCAGCGGCTTGCCTTAAGGGCAGTGAAGTTTGGTGCCCCAGTCTCTGCTGAAGCTAAGAAGGTGGCTCGTGCTGCTCGGTTTGGGGGAGCCACATCAGCTGAATCCAAAGCAGATTCCAAGAAGGAAGCAAGAGCTGCTAGATTTGGTTCTTCTGCCTCTTCTGTAACATCAGCAGGCAATGTTCCAGTAAGTGTCTGCCATGTGGTAACAGTTTAGCTTATCAGAAATTCTGAGACTTATCTTGTTATCAATTTCTAGGAAGTTAATGTGGATCTGTTAAAGAAGAGGGCAGAGAGGTTTGGAATCCAGCCGGGTAGCAAAGTTGAAGTGGTAAGTAATTTGAGTATTGGGAAAATATTTTCGGTTGTTACACCTCATGCTAGTACTTATCCAAGTTTCTCTGTTTCTGGTTGTCAGGTGGAGATGGAAGAGAAGAAGAAGAAGAGGTTGGAAAGATTTGGCTTAGCACCTGAGGCTGCTGCAACTAATGGGTCCTCAAAAATCACATTACCTAAGCCAGCGATAACTCCAGCTGCAGTAAAACCAGGTCGAATTCCCATTACAGCACCATCGTCAACACCATCTAGCAAAGCAAATCTGGATGACAAGAAGAAACAGAGAGCTGAGCGCTTTAAGACAAACACAGTTGTGTCAGCAAAATAAGCATGCTCTTCTGTCTTTTAACGACCCTAGGTGCAGTGGTAAACTGAAACGGCACAACTTTCATGTAGCAGTTTTTAAAAAGTGATTAATGATTTCACTGGGAATTTTCTCAAATTTGCTGTGTTCAGTCAATCAAATGCTTCTTGATAAATGTTCACTGTGCATTACTCACTGATTGCACTAATGTTATGAAGTTGGTGTGTCTTTAAGTTGTTTTTTCCTCAGGTTTTTCCCTGTTTTTTTTTTTTTTTTTTAAGATTTTGACTTATACAACTTATTTGCCAGGCATCAAGTTGTCTGGAGGTGCTCTCCAATCACCTTTTCTGTATTAATCATAATGGAATTGGAATTGACGTGGCATGCAAGAATACATTGTAGAAATTCTGAAGTGTTTATTAGTTTCAGAGTATACTTCATAAATTTTGTTAAGAGACTGATCTCTTTTTCTTGAGTTTTCATTTATTTGAAATCTGGATGTATAATTACAATAAAAATACATCAATTTGAATTCACTTAAAACTTATTTCTCAAGACACTTATTACAACTATAAGTTGCTGCAAGAGAAAAACATGACCACATTACAGGCTTTGTAGCACTGAACAAAAGAAAGCATTAAAATCAATTAAGTTTAACACCGATGCTTTCGGTTTCTGATAATCATGGCAGAAACTTAGTCCCTCTGATGACAAAATGCCACCTATTGGTTCAGTTAGCAGAAATATAAGCTGCATCATAAGAATACACTTCATAAAGGGTCACTTTTCTCTTATATGTCAAGAGTTCTATGAGTTGTTGAATTACTTCAGTCTTGTTTCTTGTCTCCTACTAATACCTTGATGACAATTAGCGATGGGTTAGGAAAAACAATTATTTCCAGAACAGTTAACATATGACACCATAAGCACTGCTGCGAGCATGTGGCACAGACTTTTTAACAGACAAAACAATGTAGACAGAGGGTACCTGACCCAAACCACTGAAGTTGAAAAATTCTCAACTGGTGCCAAACACAAAACTTTAACAACTCAAAATGAGCCTATTCTCATCTATAGCCCCAGATAGATTAAACCAATGCACATAGATTTGTTCAAATACAGTAATTATTGAACACTTTTCTCTTTATTGTACATAAAGAAAAAATGATCTGAAGACAAACCTATGCATGCATGTGCATCTCAATGATGATCTGTAAACCCCTTAAATATCTGGTATCAATCAAGCACATTCTCACAATTGCTAAGAAGAAGGCTTCAGAGAGTAAACCAACATTAGTAAGGCCCTTGCATCTAAGATTACCTTGAAAAATTTGCATGTTAGTCAATCTACAGTCACACATGTAACTTCTGCTCCTCTGACTAATGTTGGAGAAGGACCATGCCCTACTCCATACTTTCATTTATGTGATAAAGTATTTTGAAAGAGATACAAAAAGAAAAGAAAAAACTTTACTAAGAGCAACTTTTTTTTTTGCAATTTTTTTTAACATGTGAAAGCATTATCTACTTGTAAGAAGTATTTCCAAGCTCAGCGAATTACACTCATTAATTTAATCTTAGATGAAAACATACACCATGAAAATTGTTAGACCCTACAAACAAGTTCCCTCTGATATGAAATTCAGAAAGCAAATATCACTGAGAATATTTAACACAGTTCTACAATATTTTATTAATATTATTTATTATTATATTTCATGAATCAGTAACCCAAAAAGGTAACAACCAGACATTCCCATCAAAAACTCAGGAAGCAGCTTAAAAAAGAAACAACAAAAATAAACAATGTTAAAGGGAATTTATGAAATGTTTGGCTTTCAGATGCCAACAAAGTGCTGATAGAATAAACGTCAGTATTGTACACAAGAACTTCATGACGTGAATTGTCTACAGGCATTATAGAGCAAATAAGATTCACTATCCTTATTGAGAATCTGTTAATAAAATATTGAAGTGTAACTTGTCTAGAAAGAAACTCTGCCTTTAAATATACATATTTTCAGCCATATGAGACATTTTTCTGGGAATATGGACAAAGAGATCGAAATAACTGGCAAGTTCATCAATAGTAACATCATCACTACCACTGCTGACATGACTTGTTCCAACCATTCTTGCTTGCTGTGAACAAGTTGTTGACTGACTGCCAGAGGGATGCGAAGAGGTCTGTCTTGCTGACAGTGTGTTTGATGTTTCACTGATAGGGCGGGTCTTCATGCTGCCTTCTTTCCTATGATCTTTCTTTCTTTTTACAACCTTTGAGGGCTGGGAAGGGGCACTAAAGCGAATGTGACGGTAACTTGTTGCTGTGAACTGTTTCGGTTCTTTAGCTTCTAGGGAAACAGACTTGGATGGACAAAGCCTGCTAAAATCAGTAGGTGTGACTGATGTGCAAGCACCAAAAATTCTACCCTGTGACTTGCTTTGACCCAGTGATAATTTGGAAATTTCTCCAGGCGTTTCAGTAGCTGGTTTCTTATCCAATCGCACAGGTGAAGCTGATGAAGAGGAGCTGATTTCTTCTTTCCTAGTTAGGCTTTCAAGTTTTAGGATTGGCTCTCTTAAAATCCATGTTTTAGATCGAGAATTACTAGTTTTAAATCGACTTTTTCTAATGATGCCAAGACTTTGAGTACTACTTAACTGGGATGAGAAGGGTTTCTGGACAAAACGACGTCTGTTCCATGCACTGCTCGTATTTTTATCACATGTTTGGCCTTTCTTATTGCATTTGCAGGATTCTTGTGGGCACTCATCACCACGAAGGGTCAGCGACTCTAATGTGGGCTGTGATTCTGAATCTATCTGGCTGTGTAGACAAAAGAAACAAATCAAGAATCAGTACACACATTCTCCATAAAATAAGTGAATAGTATGTAGGTTATAAATATACCTTAAGGAGTCAATTTCCAATTTCTGCAGACTTTTGGGTAGCAAGTCATCTTCTGCCATATTTTTATTGGGTCAGAGCACCTTAAAAAAGAAAATGTTTGACAATTATTAATAACTATAAAGCACTATAGAGGCAACCGAGACAAAGGATATGTTTACATCCACACAAAGGTTAACAAAGTTAAGAACACAGCATGTATCTAAAACAGTTGGTTTGGTTCAAAAGTTTTTTTTTTTTTCATTCTCTTAAAGTTTTATTTACTTTTTGAGTACCCACAAGTCATGACCCACATCAGACATTATCTGAATCAAAACTGGCAAGAGCAACCTAGTTAAACAAATCCAGCAAGTGGCGTGGATCCCAAGCAAGGTTTATCTTTTTCAGTGGTAACGGACCATGGAAGTGCTCGAAATTGCACTGGAATTGCATCATGAGGGAAGAAACGAGTAAATGCGCAAATCGACAGAGCAATGCGGAAGTACAGTCGTCTGCTTGGACGTCAAACGTTCATAATGGATTGACGTAGGTCCTGGACCACAACATAACATTCCATGCGCGTTGGCGATCAAGACGAAAGGTGCCGTGAAAATGAGACAGTGTAGGCACCGATTATATGGAACGTTACTGATCAATCACGCGATACGGATAGGACAGGGAATCACGATCACAGCCATATTTACCTCCAAGGACAGATGGCAACATGAACACCAATGACGAAATTGTCCGAAAAACGGCCGTGAATCACGAAAAAAGGCTGATTCCTGTCGACGTACCTCTCGCAGGGATTTTGAAGAGTTAACTGCATGTAGAGAACTTAGGCCAAGTCCTTCAAATTTTCCATGAACTGATCATAACAGTTGCCAAAACATAGCGCAAATGCATTCGCCATGATGAATTACAGAATTTGTGGTGGGTGCGGATGTCAAGCAGAGATGGGCCAGCAGACGAACCAACAGCAGTTTCGAGACTATCGCTTTATTCGCAGTGTTCGCGTTATTGGCAGCAGAGCGGTGTCAGCGGCCGAGGCGAGGGCGAGGCTAGGCGAGGCTGGGCGAGGTGCGGAGTTCAAAGTGACGCATCGTCAGAGCACAGAGTACCTGAGCACCTCCACTGCCCTTTTGCTTTTTCGCCTCAACCGTGCCTGCAACCTGTGGCACTTGTGGCACTGGAGCGCCTGCGAGGTAGGCCACTAGTCCGACCTGCTGCGCACCGGTGTGGAGACGGTGGCCTACCCTGCCCCTGACGTCTTGACAGGGGCAGGGTAGGCCACCGTCTCCACATCGATGTGTTGCCGAACGGGACGGTGGCCTACCTCACAGGCGCTAGAAGCGCTACCAGCGCTACAGACCTCAAGGAGGGCACAGTGTGGTCAAAACAAAACGTTGGAAACTTAAAACAAATCGCGCGAGCAGCGAGATCAGATAAGAGCGCCGTGGAGGCAGGCAACCCATCGCGCTCCGCACAATCCTTCTGTGGCGAGCAGGTGGAGTACGTTGGGTTGCCTGCCTCCGCGGCGCCACGCCGAGACGCCACGCCGAGACGCCCTGCCGACTTGACTTCGCCTCTCGCCAGTCCCGAGCTCCGCGAGCTCATTGGTCGTTTCCACCACACTTGCAGCGCTTTTCCTCCACCGGAAGTGCTTGTCCGCTCGCTATTTCTTGGAATCGACTATGCAACCGAATTCTGTACCATAATGCTTTTTGACGTCCCAGGGTTGGCGTGTCCAGAAGAGCGAAAATCCTTATAACAGCAGATTGGCGGTGTTCAAGAGACGGAGAATCATATCCACCACGCAGATCAATGTCATCGTTGTCTCTCTCCGACTCTTGGAGCCATACCGTTAGGGTGCGAGACAGACAGAGCGATGAAATCAGTATTTAGGCCTGGCTTCGGGCACCCATAAGAGCAATCCCCCTTCGATACGTTTTCGAGTGTAGCCGTGCCCTCCATCCCTGACTGACTGATGGAATCAGACAGCAGCATCATTCTTCTAGTGTCGCAACGAGCTGAACCTCCAGATCACCGATCTTTTGGCCCACGAATTTCGGCGGGTATGAGTCTGAGCACGAGTTAGTTGCTACTGGCTACTGCTGATCATTCGGGTGGTGCTGGCCGGCCGATTGCACTGATAGCACCGATTGCACTGATGGCACGGATTGCGCTGATTGCGGCCGGAACGACGTGGCGCACACAAAGCCCTGCTCGATGAGCAATCAGTGTTGTGCGGATGCAGAGCATGCAGAGGCAGTCGCAACGGCGGGGCGGATCAGCGACACTTGTTCCGCAGGCGGTGCGTTTGTGGGCCGATTCGCCGCGGCCGGGTTCACATTCAGATTCAGATTGGGGCCCGCGGGCTGCAGATTGGGATCGACATTGGCCGAGGCGGCAATCGGCATTCCAGCGCCGCAGCGCCGCACTTGACCAGCGCGACAATGGTGTCCGCCTCGGTGTCCGCCGAGGACTGCTTCGGAGAGTCGATCTCGTCGCTCTGTCTCTCTCGCACCTATACGAGGCGCCTCTTGAGTGCGAGAGAGACAGAGCGACGAAAACGACTCTCGGAATCAGTCTGCTGTCCGCCAAGGGCGCCACATTGTGTCCTTTTTCTTATGTGCTTGACGCTTTATTCATCTTTTTTCCACCGCCATTCTCTCTTTCTCTCTCTCACTCTGTCTCGCTTGCGCCACGCCATAGTCTGTCATGCCGCCCGCGACGCCGCGACGTGTGTGCGAGGGAAAGTGATTCAAATCCAGGCAACACTTTTGGCGGGAAAAATGTCGCAACGGCGCGGCAGCGCGGCGGGCCTCGCATCGTCCTCGTCCGCACTGGACACTGGACCACACTACTGTGCTTGGCGCGTTGCGCGCTGGAGCGGAGCCATGCTGCCATGCTGCCACACGTGAGGTGCTCAAGTTGTGCGCGCTCTTGAACCGCACCACGCCGCACTACACGGCCGGTCAGAGGTGGTCAGAGCAATGGGTCAGCAGACTCATTCCGAGAGTCGTTTTCACCGCTCTGTCTCTCTCGCACCTACATGGGACGCGCCATGAGTGCGAGAGAGACAGAGCGACGATAACGGACTCTCGGAATGAGTCTGCAGAGTGTGCCGGTCAGCGATTCCGCGCCGTGTGTTCGTCGCCCCGTCTCCCTCGCACACACGGGGCGCACCGTACGGGGTGCGCGTGCGAGAGAGACGGAGCGCCACCCGCACGGCGCACGGCACGGGCCACACAATACCGCTCGGTTCGGCCTCAACGGCGTTGCCAAAGCCGATCTTCGGCCGGCCAAACGCGAAAGGCGCGCTCGGCTTGCGGTGTGCAACAACATGCAGTGCCCTGGCAGTGCCCGCCGACGCTGGCTGCACTGCACTGCCCTCGTCGCTCTGTCTCTCTCGCACTCTCGGGGCGTCCCGTAAGGGTGCGAGAGAGACAGCGACAAAGGCAGCTCTCGGAATCAGCTACCGCTCGGCCGGCCAACAATATCGCTAAATTTGAAAAACAAAGCAGAGCGATGCGAGGAGAGGGGCCTGGCCGCGGGTGGCAACCCGTTCGTAACAAAACAGCGAGGTGGCAACCTCACCTCACGCGCCTTCGCGCTTGCGTCGCCAGATCGCCAGTGACGCGGATTGCGGCGTCGGACGGTGAGAACGACGCCCGCCGAGCCGTCCCGTCCCGAAGAATCGGATCGTCGCCCTGTCTCTCTCGCGCTCCTTCGGGCCACCCCGTGAGTGCAACAGGGACGGAGCGACGACAAGCCTCTTCGGAATCGGTCTGCTGACGACCACGTGCGGCGGGCAGTCAAATTACAAGGGGCGGCGGGGCGGCCCTCAGCATCGCCCAATAGCAGTGCGCCGTCGCTCCGTCTCTCTCGCACCCCTACGGACCGCCCCATGAGTGCGAGAGAGACAGCGAAGAGCGCCTGGCCATTCGGGCGGCGTTCGCGCTTGGATGCTCGCGTTGAAACGGCGCCCTGCCCGCGGCGGTCATTCGGCCATTCGGCCACGGCGCGTTTTGGGGCCGCGACTTTGGGCGGCCCGTGGGAGACGACCACTGTGGGGACCATGGGGACCACACTGTGGGGGAGCGCCACTGCCACTGTCGGCAAATGAATGAGGCTGCCGTTGAATGGCGGAGTGGCGCAAGCGATGGGCAAGCGACGCGCAAGGTGCGGCCGGCCGGCGGCCGAGGCGCGCGAGGTGTGCACCCGTCGCGTGCTTACCGAGTTCGGGATCCTGCACACTGTGGCACACTGATTCCGAGAGTCGTTTTCGCCACTCTGCCTCTCTCACGCACTCATGCGGCGTCCATGCGAGAGAGACAGAGCGACGAAAACGACTCTCGGAATCAGTCTGCTGAGGTTTCAGGCTCTGGGGGTGGTGATGGGACGTTTGGCCTCACCAGCCTCGGTCGCCCGTTTTCCGAATCCCGACCGCCAAAACGCGACCGGACCGGCCACCGCGCTACGCCGCCAAATCCACCACCGGCTGCAGGCCCCGAAACGGAGCTTCGTCGCTCTGTCTATGGGGCGTCCCGCAAAGGTGTGAGAGAGACAGAGCGACGACTGGAATGCGCCGTCCGCGACACTGCCGCCGGAGACAAACAAACTCGCACAAAGCCCAGCCGAGAAGGGCCGCCTTAGGGCCGCGAGGGCATTCAGGGATCGCGTCCGGTCCGCCGGCCTTGGCGGCCTTGGCGGCGACTAGTCGCCAGACGTTCAGCGCGATGACGGCCTGGCGGCCGCGCTCGTGACCGCGCCGACCTGCCGACACAGGGCAGAAGGCAGCAGACCGCCACCACCGCCGGCCTGCAGACCGTCGCCCCGTCTCTCTCGCACTCATGGGGCGGCCCATGCAGGTGCGAGAGAGACAGAGCGACGAGAAGCGGTCCTCGCGGTGCGGTCCTTGGCTTCCGGCTCGAAGTAATTGGCGGCGATGACGCGCTCGCTTTCAAATTCGGCGCGCTTTGCCGCGCCGCGCTGCCCTTTGTGCGGGACGTGGCCGTCGCGACACTGACGACGAGCCTCGGTGACACGACTCGGCCGGCACACTGCTGATTCCGAGGGTCGTTTTCGTCACTCTGTCTCTCTCGCACTCATGGAGCGTTCCGATTAGGTGGTGGAGAGACAGCGCGACGAAAACGACTCTCGGAATCAGCACAGCAGCGCTGGCCTTTAATTGGCTGGCTGGCTAGTGGCGCCGCGGTTCGGACGCTCGGCGGCGATGAAGCCGGCAGGGCCGCCGTCCGCAGGGTGACTCCGTTCAGTCACTCCGTCTCTCTCGCACTCGTACGGCGTTCGTGGGGCGTGGGGCGTTTCGCACGAGTGTGAGAGAGACGGAGGCGAACAGGGCCAGCAGGGCCACCACCCACGTCGGCGTCGGCCTGGCCGGGGTGGAGCGGGGTGGAGCCCGGAGTGAGCGGCGCGGCCTAGCCAGCCGTCTGATTCCGAGCACTGCTTTCGTCGCTCTGTCTCTCTCGCACCCCTACGGGCCGCCCCATGAGTGCGAGAGAGACAGAGCGACGAAGAAGTGTTCGGAATCAGACGGCAGGCATATAGCGAGCCATTTGCGTCCCGGCCGGAGACACATTGACAGACGGCGACGGCCGGCCGGCCGGACACGAGTACCACGGGCTGTCTCTGTCTCTCTCGCACTCGTGGGGCGTTCCGTGGGGGTGCGAGAGAGATGGGGCGACGGAACGAGGCTTCGGAATGGCGCGGCCGGCGCCGTGGCCGCGTCCCCGCCAAGGCTTGCCTGCAGGCCGATCCAGACCACTGCTTTCGTCGCTCTGTCTCCCTCGCACCCAGGCAGGACGCCCCGTGAGTGCGAGAGAGACAGGCGGCGTGCTGCCGCTGCCCAGATCCGGCTCTGATCAGCCGCAAGTCACACCCACGCGCCACGCGCGCCACGCGCCGGTCGCGCCCTGCACCGCGCAAATGTGATTTAT